AAAATTATCCAAAAAACTTGATTTTTTTTCCTTTTTAACTTACAGTATATTGTGCAAAATTCAATTCTAAAACTTTTTTCCTCTTCAATATGCTTCCAAAATGCATAGGTTCTAAGATTTAAGTAAAAAAGTCAGATAAAATAGGTATTTTTTAAAACTTTTTAAGCATTTTTACAATATTAACAAACATTTCTTTATAACAAATTGGTATATTTATTTTTAAATATTTATTAATTTATGTTGATTTATTATATACCAAAGTTTCACAAAGCAACACCATAAATGAAACGAGGTTACAGAACAAAAAGACTTTACAAAGTGGTAAAAGATGTTTCAATCTTATACTGATATCTTCCAAATGAGTATCGCTTGGTTCACTCGAGGAAGTCTTTGCTTTTATAACATCGTTTTGCCACTTGAAAGTAAACCCTGCCTCTAAAATTATATTCAACGCCTTATTAAATGCTACATAATGAGGGAAACCCTTTCTCATAATCGTAGTAGCTGGGAAAACAGCAACGTCGTGATTAATACAGTGCATGTTGTATTTATTTTCCAAAACCGTGTGTTTTACACGTAGCTTAGGCGCACAATAAGCGTGCCTGTTTGAACCTGCTACTATCTTCAAGCACTGGGACATGTCGGCGCAATCTTGCCATCTTTCCTTGATAAGTCTGACTGGAACACCTTGCAGAACATCGCTGTCATTGTATATATACAGAGCAGCTTGAGGCACCAACAAAGTTGTCAAATTGTCTCTGTATATATCTTCCAAGGAACTGTATTTCTGTATGTACCGAGGCGTAGAAATAATGCTCGTGAGGTAGGTGGTATACAGTAGAGTTGTCTCAAATCCAAATACAATGAATAGTGCCATAGCGAACTGGACCTTCAAGCTTCTGGGTAACGTATGCACTGAAATACCGAGAAGTACTGCAAAGTTGAAGAAAAACGTAGCGCTTAATGTTTTATAACACTTGAACTCGTAAATGTTGTAACGACTCAAGAACCAGATACTCACAGAAGCTGAAGCATATGCTAGAAAAACCAAAATCCACATGTCAGTGGTGAATATGTTAACCATATTCGGAGCCCTCTTCACCACGGGTATGCTTTTCGTGCACCAAACTAGAAATTCGTAGGTAAATTCGTCGCTTAGATCTAAGTATTTGTATCTGGGCAACGTTCTGATATAACCACCGATCAAAATATCCACGGAATTGTTAAGTAGCAGTTTGATATCATCAGTTGCCGTTCCGTTTTCGTAGATGTTTCCCCAGTAGGATCTAGATTCGTTATATTCTAAATCGAAATTCAAATGACCTGCAATCATATTTAACAAGTTCATCTCTGTGCCTTGACTGACGAAGTAGTTTGATGACTGAAAACCCATCTCTGCTTTCATCACGTAAGGTGGATGTTTCTGATAAATGATTCTTATACTGCAATTGTTAACACATTGAATAGAATTACCGAAAGATGGTGCGTTACTGTGAAATTTTCCAAAGGAACAGCAGTTGTTTTTGTCACGCTTCGACTGCTGATAAAGAGACCAAGAGTACATTTTGTATTTTATACAATTTTCTTTGTCTGGTAACAGAACTACGCCTTTTACTATGTTCCCTTTCCCAAACTCTTCAAAAAGTTTATAAACGAAATCTTCTGAATTTGGGAGTACTGTACTAGATGCTACTAAGAGTTTTGTGCGAATACTTTGAGTTGAGAGGATTTTCAAAACATGAAAAAACCAATTGATATCTGTTTGATCTGTCATATGTATGATACAATTGTCAGTACCAGCAATTCTAATTGATGAAGAATTACTCGTAGAATGTCGTTTTATTAGCAGTGACTGCAGATTTTCTACTTCAAGCGTCTTGATAATTGCATCTGCAAATGCTAACACTGAACGATTATTATAAAGAGTGTTGACAGACACAACACCACTATCAAATAGAAGTCTGCTTGTTTTAGTTACGCACTGGCTTAGAGAGGTCTTGGATCGAATATATTGTCTTGATAAAGGCTGAAGCTTCGTATGACCTAGGGTGGCTTGATAAATGACGAGGAGTGTCACAGAAAATAGCATTTTCATATGTTTTTTAAAATACTTAATAAAGTACCTAGCACTTGCTCGTTGTTTGATATGCTTATAAAAGAATTACAAGTGCTAGAAGCAAATTCCTTATTACTGAATTCTTTATTGAAACGTGTTTTTAATGATACAATACTTGACAGAAATAGTTAGGTTGTGCAGTTTACTCGAGTTGACATGTAGTAATAGATCATCAATTTCAAAGAATGTGCGTTTGTCACTTGACAAATGGCATGTCATAATGTGACAGCGGCAAATTTCCTATGTGAAAAAAACTAAAAAAAAATTCATAGTTTGTTATACAGGGTATTCTACAAGATCTATGACAAACATTCACAGATGGTAGCTAGGTTAATTTCAAACATTTTTTCTTATATGAACTTGGGTCCGATTCGTTTTTGTTTAGAAGTTACAAAGTAGTCTGATAAATAAAAATGATGGTTGTTGTTGCATCCCGGGTTTCCAATTCCATCTCAAGCTGCGTTTTACGACATTGAGCGACACTTTAGAGAAACAAAATCTCTTGGAAGACAGAAACGAAGAATTATTCCAAATGAAGAATTATAACTATATTACTATATTTCCAAGGTATGCAAATATTCATTCGAGGTTTACCATGGTAAATTCAAATATTAAATTATTGTAGAAAGACCCCATGAGTCCACAGTAAATGCTTCAAGACAGTTAGAAATAAGCCAAAATAAAATCATTAGAACGTTACATAAATATAAATACCGCCCCTGTAAAAACTTCTGCATTAATGACAAAGGGGGGATGGTTTTGGTAATATACTTTAATTCCACATTCTCTAAGACACGTACTAATAATTCTTCCTATTATACTTTCACGTCTAGCTAATGTTCCAAATGAACAATAGTTCGTTGGTAGTTCAGTATGATTATTTGTCAGCCTTGAATTTGAGGACCAGTAGTGAATTATATATCTTGTAACATTATTTTCACTTGCTAGAAATATTAATGCTTTAGTCACTTGGTGTCTTTCGAGTATATTGGTAATACGAGAAGCTATTTCGTGGGTATTATTAAAAATTGTGGTTGTAACGATCATGACTTTGCTACGGTAATTTTTGGAAGTAACAGGTCTCAATTCATCAAGAAGAGAAAGAAGATTCATAGGAATTTCGTATATAAATCAAGTAATTGTTAGTTTTCATGAATTTCTCTGATATAATATTCCCAGACTTACGCCATATTTGTAAACTCCAGTAACTTTCAATTTCAATTAATTTTAGCATTACTTCTACGTCAGATTCAACAGATTTAGTTACAGCTAATATTTTAGAACTACTGAAGTAAGATTTTGATACTTCAATGACGCATCGACCCAAAGAAGTTGTAGATATTATTCCATTTTTAAATAGTGGCTGTATCTTTGACTCAAAAATTCCCGTTTGGTTGAGAAACACTGACATCTTCAGAATTACCTGTAACTTCATTAATGACATACCTTTGACAGTATTCATAAGGCTGATGGATGTAAAACTTAAATAAATATGAAAATGTACTCTTTGAAATATTGCTTTTTGTTCAGAGGGCTGCTAATATAGTTTTAATGGTATGCTAATGCTTTAACCAGGACAAATATATTTCCTAGTATTTACCTAGTACGCATTATTTGTTTGAAAATATTGACTAAAGAATATTTACGTATTTATGGAGTGAACAATTGATACAGGATTGAGTAGGTCCTTTTTTACTTTATTTGATACTGACATCAGTAAATGAGTACAATTCCTGCTATCAGCATAAACACTATTTAATAAACAGCTCACAACGTTCTACACGCTGAAAAACAAAAAATTGAATACCCTTTTTCATGCTGGTCACAACAAATACGAAGTTATTTCCAAATGATAGATTTCCCTAACGATGTGTTTAAAGTCAAATAGCAGTCCTTTTGTAACATATCATTACGATTTTAGTCACTTTTGATTTTTACATTGCGTAATTGTGCTTTTCTTTATTTCATACGAAGAAAAAATGTTCGGATGGGTTGATTTATTCAGCTTCAACTGCAATTTTTAAAATATCGAAAAAATAATTTCGGGCCTCTCTAGCGTTTTGAAGATTACAGCAAACCAAATCGCAAAATTTTACCTACCATTAAAAATTGGGGTTTCTGTATGTTTAGGTAACAATAGTCTTAGCTGTTCTTTCTGTGGCACTTTCGTCCGATGTCAATTTCTCTTCTTCTGACATTTATAATTCTTCTGCAGCCTCTTTCTTATTTTCCTCTATTTCTATGTCTCCGTCTTCTTCTGCTCCTCTTTCTTCTTCTTCTTTTTATTTTATCGTTATTATTACTGTTTATATCAAGTTTTTTGTTACAAAAATAAACTTATCCACATAAACAAGCTGGACATACTTTTTATTCTGAAAACTGTTCATTTTCAAATTGGTATTTTTGTACTTTTTTCCACCGTGTAGAAGAAATATTGTCTTAACCGAACCAATGCTAATGCGGTCTTCAATCATTCTAAAAAAAACGTCGTAAGATAATTTATTTTTGCTACCTTTCACAAATTGGAAATATGTTTCATTCTCTCAAACGACAAGAGTCAATATTTGCACCTACTCAAGGACGAGAAATATAATTCCGTAAAGTTATCAACCCTTGCCTTGAGCTTTGTCTGGCTCACTCATAGTAACTTCGAACAGTTAAACGGGCTTAGTCACTTTGAACAATTTTATATGAATATCCTTTCGAAATTATCACAGATGTCCATTCAATTAAATGTTTTAATTGTTCATTTGTTTTAATTACAATTCGATAAACCAAAATATTTATGGTTTCGCAATCAAACAGCCATAAAAAGTATGAGGTCGTTATTAGTGAGCGTTGAAGAATCCAAGGAAATAGTGTCTAGTTGAAAAAAGAAATTGTCATGACTGTTAAGAACAAAAGGCCGGATTCCCACGAAGCTACGGACTTTGATAAAGCCATATGTTTAACAGGTGAGTTATACAGTCACAGTAAGTATACGCTTCTGATAAACTTTTTTGCTAGCCATATGTGTTTTAAATAAAATATGTAGGTACCAGGTCATAATATTTAATAGAAATAATTTTTCATTCGTCGAAAGAATCTTTATAGATATTTGCCCCTTTTAAAAACTCAGTTTAAAATTGTCTATTAAAGTTTTCAAACCAAAAAGAGAAAAAATTCACCAAATAAGGTGGGCATTTAGCATTGATCAAATTGTTTTTTTCTATTAAATTCGGCAAAAAAGTGTTCTAGCTTCAATAAATTAACTAAAAAATGTAAAAGTACATTCTGCAAATTTGGCAACAATTTTTGTGTTAAATATTTAAATAACAGGTTACATTACATACATGTGTTTCTTTGAGCAGTTAATGCCACTGATACCCTGTATCCCCGCCACTGGAGCATGTAAATTTTAGGAAAATCTCTCAGATTTTGGACAATCTATCTATCTAATGTTTACATGAATACATGTGCCCAGTTTCAAATTATTTCACTTACTAGTTCTTAAATTATTTTAAAAAATTAAAAGTATTTTTTTGAAGTTTAACTGTTGTACTGAACTTGTCAAAGGCAGCAGTTTATAATCTGTTTACATACCTATTCCGTCTTTAAGTTTTTCAAACCATCAAAATTGAAAAAAATAATTAAAAAATTTATTAAGAAGCATCTCAAATAAATAATTTCAGTCAATATGCTTTGTGGTAAATAAATCTGTATTTTAAAATTGTTAATTGATTTCCGTAAATAAAATCGGCATAGTTGATGACAAACAACGAATTTTCGTAATCATTTTTGAAAAGGAGGGCAACTTGGCAACTTTGGTTATGAGATATGTCAAAATTACGAAAAAAATACTATAAATTAAAATTTGCAATAATTTTAAAACAGTAACTATTAGAACTGAAATATATGACTGTGTGAACAACAAAACTGAGTCAAACACACCCAAATCTAGGAGAAATTCATTATTTTAACCAATATTCTGTTTATTATTTATTGTACAATTCTGTATAACATAATGTGATAGAGAAGATTATTTGCTAGACAAAAAAAATTGTGAAATTTCCTTTTATATCTGAAAAAGTTACAATCTGGCAACGATGCAATTGCTCTCACTAGATTAACTATGTTCTTTTGATTTTAATAATTTTTTTCTCGGAAATGGTTGAGTTTAGGACCCATGTCATATAAGGTTTTTTTTGTTTATTTTAATGTATTATATCGTCTGTTAAAATTAAGGCAGTCAAAATTCTAACGCCCTGTAGAGTGCAACTATAGCTTTTATCTATTTCAAAAGAAATCGTAAAAAATATGAGAGAAGCTATTTCCTGGCTTCAAAGTTGTTAGGCAGAAAATTAAATTCTGAAAATATTTTCTACATAACATTTCAAAAATCTGGTCATAAAAATCTTGGGAATCTGATTTTTTTGCAATTTCATACCGTTTTTTTTTTTAATTTTCAAGCTAAAGAAACGGCATGTCACTTACCAACAATTGCCAATATTCGTATATTTCAATTTCAGTAGAAATAATGTACGTGAAGTTTATATCTACGAAGTATGTAATATGCTAACCATCACTGTGCATACTGGCAAAAATCATTGGTTTGTATCCACTAGAAGACATCTGTAGGTACTATGATTCTGCTGACAAATAACCTTAGCCGCTTACTAGATATTGCGAGTGTATTTCAATGCTGAACGGGGATATAATTCGCAGAGTAGTTGCTCCCCATGACATGTTGTTCATTTGTTGAAACTTTTTACTCATACTACAGCTATATATTTTTTCAGGATATGGAAAGTTTCATTATGAAGCTGTAGCAGTCTCAGCAACATGCATCATAACCGTGGGGTTCCAGAACGGCATATCTTCCTACGTCTTCCCAGCCGCTCAGTGCGAATTAAATTTAACTTCCTTCGAATTGGGTCTGCTAAACATTATGTTCCTCTCGGGAGGTATAATTAGTTGCCTTCTATGGGGCGTCCTGGCAGACATAAACGGAAGAAGGAAAATCTTAGCAACCACCCATCTCCTAAACACATTCGTAACGTTAACATGCGCCTTCATTTCGCACAAAAGCAGCATAGTAATTTGCAGATTCCTAAACGGGTTCCTTATCGGAGCTCCGGGAGCAATTATCTTCTCTTACCTGGCCGAGTTCCAACCACCGAAGTATAGATCCGCAAGCGTTTGCTACTGCGGGTTATTTTTTACTTCGTCTTGGTTACTGCTGCCCATTTTTGCTCACTTGGTGTTACCTTTGGACATAAATTACCAAATTGGAAGCTTTCTGGTTATATCACCTTGGAGGGTTTACCTGGTTCTTATGGTGGTACCTGAAGCTGTGGTGGGAATGTGGTTCATTCGAATGCCCGAGAGCCCAAAGTTTTACATAGCAAAGGGGAATCCTAAGAAAGCCCTTACCGTTTTGAGAAGGATGTACTCGGTTAATACGGGTAAAAGTTCGGATTTGTTCCCAGTAAAATATCTGACCGTAGGATATCAAGTTGGGGATGATAAAGTTTCTGATTCAGATATTTTCACAAAGAAAAGTTTACGTATTTTGATGATAATGTTGAAGAAAAGTAGAATTTTGTTTAAGTCTCCTTTTATTGTAGTGACAGCTCTGACTTGTACTGTGATGTTTTCCAATATGTTTGGGTGAGTACTGATTTATGATTTATTTATTTTAACAAGTGATAATAGTCTGAATTTAATAGACCGTTCCATACCATTTAACTTAAAATTGAATATAAACTATTTAAATATATTTTATATTATTATTATGCCAGATCCAGTACTGTCAGTTATCATAGCTTTTAGATCTGGAAGCTGCTGCCGTAATTGTTATATTATTGGTAAGTTCCGTAGGCTCAGCTGAAGATGGTAACAATTTATTTGCGATTGAAACTTTATTTTGTATAGAATCCTATATATGTCTCTGCTACCTTAACAGAACGCCACCCCCACATCGTTTAACGTCTAAAACAGTGCCCTGTATAAATTTCGGATGAGGCCAATTGAGACAAGTTGCTATTTTCTTGGCGCATTCCTTATTTTCACCACTTGGTTAACACATTTTTTCCTGACATACTTCGTTTCGCCCTTCCACAAATAAGATCCACTTGCATTTGTAATTCAGCGACCAGTGGTCAACTTTGTTTTCGTCGTTTGGCTTTTCTTTAATAGATGGCACTACTTATACAATTTCTACTTCGATATTCCGATATGTTAACAGAGGGCAGCACAACGCATAATAAAGAAAACTTTTTACAGTAGCTAGTAGATACCTCTGTTTGTAAATCTAGTGACCTTGTTTCTCCTACTGAGAAGTTATTCAAATGGAGTATAGTGCTCAGCTGCATTTAAAGTTCATTTAGTTAAAAAAAAACTTTAAAACTGGAAAAGAGAAAGTTCTATTCAAATGAAATTACTTACTTCTTCGAATAATAAAAGTAAAAGTATATGGAAAATAGTAAACAATGAGAGGAAAACTCGTAGCTCAAAGTCTAGCACTGCTATCGATCCTAATGATTTTAATATCTTTTTCACTACTGTCTCTGAAGCAGTCTATAATACTATTGATGATGTTAACTTTGATCCGTTAGTATTACTTAACAAAGCAAATTTTGAATCACGACGTACGTGAAGCAATATTATTACTTAAAAATACTTCAAGTTTGGATTACTATTGTTTGAATAGTTATATGTTGAAGGCTTCTCTCGATATTTTAATTGAACCATTACTATGTTTATTTAACAAGTGTGTAGAAGAAGGTGTGTGGCCTGACTCACTAAAAACTACAAAAATTCTACCCTTGCATAAGAAGGGCGATTGTACAATTCTAGATAATTACAGACCAATAGCAACTGTTCCTATTATTAGTAAAATTTTTGAGATTATTATTAAACACAGATTGGTCAAATACTGTGAAGATAAATCCATATTTACTGAAGCACAATTCGGATTTAGAAAAAACAAATCTACAATAAAAGCCTTATTAAAATTAGTTGATAGAGTAGTGGAGGGACTTGATGAGGGCACAAGTACGAATGCTACCATGTGTGACCTCACCAAGGCATTTGATTGTGTAAATGTGGATATCTTGATATGCAAACTAGAATACTACGGTATTAGAGGAAACATGCTTAATCTATTATCATCATATCTGTATAATAGGCAACAGTATGTAAGTTTAAAAGGAAGTGAGTCAGACCTGCTACCTATTAAGAATGGGGTTCCACAAGGCTCGGTCCTGGGCCCAATTTTATTTCTTATTTATATAAATGATCTCCCTTTTTCTGTTGGTGTGGATTCTTGTTTACTGTTTGCTGATGACACAACGCTCTTAACTAGAGATACTATAGAGTTGCATAATGACAGAATCTTTCAAGCAGAGAATTGGTTTTCTTCCAATATGTTGAAATTAAACAACATTAAAACTCAAAATCTGTTATTCTCTTCTGACAAATGGATATCATCTAGTAATGCCAAGCTGCTTGGAATAATACTCGACACCAGACTTAATTGGTCTTCTCATGTAGACTATATTTGTTCCAAATTGTCATCTCAAATATTTTGTTTACGCCAGCTTAAACACTGTCTTTCTTCAGATGCTATTAGAATTGTGTACTTTGCTATAATACATAGTCGCCTTACTTATGGTATTACAATGTGGGGTAACTCTGCCACTGTCAATAGAGTATTTTCACTACAAAAAATGGCAGTCCGTATTATAGATGGAGCGAAATATGGTACTCCATGTAAAACATTATTTATAAAACATCAAATTATGCCATTGCCTTGTATGTATATATTTGAGACACTATTGTGTATTCATAAGAATTTGGATAATTTTTTGAAACATTCTGATATTCATACTTATGAGACCAGAAATGCCAAAAACTTGAAAAATCAGTTTTCAAGGATTCACACCACAAAACAAAATAAGTTAAATGTAGAATTATACAATTTTAAATATTATTTTAAAAATTGTAATATAGATGTGTTAAGTTTTAAAGAGTTTTACAAATTAACTAAAAATTTCCTTTTGGAACATTGTTTTTATAGTGTAAGTGACTTTGTTAAAACAACTAAACGTCTGTGACTATACATGTACTTAACTGTTTATAAAAATGGTCAATAAACTAAACTAAACTAGTTGTTATTTAAGTATACTTTTTAAAATGGCTTATCCCAAGAAATAAAGCAAAATTCCCTATTTCCCCAATTCCAAAAAAATCTGTAGATCTGGCATCACTCTTTCTAGGGCTGTCCTCTGTTAACGGATTGTGTTAACATATCGGAATACGAAGTCGGAATTGTATAAGTAGTGACATCTATTACAGAAAAGCCAAACGACAAAAACAAAGATGACCACCGGTCGCTGAATTACAAGTGGAAGTGGATCTTATTTATGGAAGGGCGAAACAGACGGTGACTATGAGACGCCATCCTTCTCCATCGCATGGATTTCTATGACTTACTTTATCACCTAACGGCCGATGAACCATGGGGACTTTCCGACCCTGTATAATCGATATAACATCCAATGTTGAACGCAAAAATACCATTTCGCGTTTTAGATACTATTTTAACTATTCTGACTACTTCTGACTTCATTTAATATTACTTTTTTTCTGAATTTACTTAAATTAGCTTTGAAATAAAGAATATATGGTGAGTCAGAAAGAATATATAGGTGAGTCAGAAAGAATGGGTCAACACTAACCTGGAGATACAAGACAACAAAATATTATGTTTGAGCTTATCATGCCTTATACGAATGTCGCTGGTTTGAGGGTGTTAAAGGTTTAAATTTTATTGGTAGTATTGGGTTTTTTGATGTGAGAATTACGAATTTGAACCTTATTTTGACGTTGCTCCCAGAGGGCGCAAGTTTCGCCGTATTATTTAGGTAAATCAAAACATATTTTTTTTTATATGTTGAGCTATGCTTAAAAAAAGTTAAAAATCTAAAAGAGCGTTCAATTCTACATAAAAAATGTACTCTTGTTTAGGTCACCTAATCAGTTTCTGCATTATTTGTCTAGTATCTCCAGCTTAGTGTTGGCCTATTCTTTCTGACTCACCCCGCATATATAAATTTTGTCCAATGTTATGTTATCCTTATTGTTCTAGTATTTATGGACTGGGACTATGGATACCAGAGCTGTTCCTCAGGTTCAACCGGTACCACGAGCTATATCCCAATAGGACAGTAACCGTGAAAGACCTTTCCACTTTAAATCAACTTAATAATTTCACATGCGAGCCGTCTTTCGATCCCCTTGTAATCCAAAGCACTGTCGCCATGGCAGCTTCTTCACTAATCTACAACTTGGTATCCGGCTTTTTATCCATGAGATTCCCGATAAAAACAATATCAGTGGTATCCATGGTACTCGGGGGGGTAAGCGCGGGGTGTATATATTGGCTGAGATCTTCCTGGCAGAACCTGACAGTGGCGTGCGTATTTCAAGCATCGATGGTAACCGCAAACATGGTCATAGGAAGCATAGGAGTGGAGCTCTTCCCGACGAACGTTTCGTCGATGGCTCTATGCCTGATTATGTGCGCGGGTAGGGCAGGCGCCGTTTGTAGTAACGCAATTTTCGGATATCTCATGGATAAGCGCTGCGAGATACCCATATTCGCCGTCGCCGCTGTGGTGTTGCTGGGGGCTGGGCTGTGCGCCGTCATACCGAATAAAATTAATCCAGAATTAAACGTACGTGACAGGAAATGTGTTGAAGTAGCGGTGATTTCATAGTTATTAATTTGTTACTACTTAAGATAACTTTATTGCAGTTATTTAGATGAACATGGTACTTAGGCTATCTTACAACTAATAAATAGATTACGACTTTAATATTATCCATTTATAAATTGTAAAATAACTTATTTGAGGTTAATGCCTTGTAGACTAGGCGGTATCTGTTTTGGTTTGGGTGAATCGTATATCCACCGAGATTTTTGGCTTTCAAATATCACTAGAATTGAAAATTTTTCTATGCGCATAAAAAAAAACGTGGGCTTAACTTTTGGCGGCACAATATAATAAAGCGTTTGAAAGCTTGAGAGCCCTTCTATATGTGAATAAATTTTCAAATATCTAAAGGCCTTGGTTTTTGCTGTGCAAAATTTTGAAAATTTGCAAATTTTTTTTTCAAAATCTGGATTGCAAAATTATTATGCAAAATCCATAGAACCGATTTTGATGAAATTTGGTGTGATGATTCTACATAACATGAACTTTTCTTGAGCCAAGTATGAAGGTCATACACCAAAAAAATTCCCTAAAAAGGAATGTTTTTTTAACCCCAATTTTGGCGATTTTTTCGATTTTTACAATAATAATCATGATTCATTCGATTTGTAACTAGTCATATTTTGTAATAAATTTAATTACAAAAATTTTTTTCCTCTTCCATTTTCGCCTAAAATCAACTCTTGAAAAGATACATAATTAAATAGGAAGAAAAATATGACATTTTTCGAATTTTTTTAACATATATTGCCGCCAAAAGTTAAGCCCACGTTTTTTTTTATGCGCATAAAAAAATTTAATTTCAAGTAATATTTGAAAGCCAAAAAACCAAAAATCTCCGTGGATATACGATTCACCCAAATATGGACAGTTTGAAACAGATACCGTCTGGACTATTGATATTGCCTTGTTTCTGACAAAAATGAAAAGTTTATATGCAGTCTAGTTGAATTAGTTCATAAACCCTGAAAATTTAAAAAAATTATTAGTAGACATGATAATATCAAGAAACTGACTCAAAAGAAGTGACGCTAAATTGACAAAATTACATGTTTTTCCACTTTTTTACTGCCTATGAAAATCTAGACGACCTACCGGAAAAATCAGTTATTTTATCTTGTAGGCAATTAAATTACCTAGAATTTAAACTACCTAAAGTCATATTTCACTAATTTGTTAACTGTAGAATAAAGGTCCAACGCGGTAAAATCAGTTTCCCAGAATTGCGGAAAAAACGGTCAATCCAATGACCAACATGTGTACCAAAGGCCGATTCGAGTGACAGTGAAATTTGTTAATTAATTTCGTTCGTTTTTCTTTAATTGTTTAATTACAATGCTAATTTTAGAAGTTAATATCGTAGATATAAGTTCTAATTGATCCAAAGAAACGTATGGAAAAAGAAAAATTTCAAAATGCTGAGATTGAGTTACTCGTTACAACTAACAAAGTAAGACGTGGAAAACAGCGTTATGAATAAATTGTCCCAGAGTCAGACAAAAGCCGCTCGGGCATTCGCTCTTTTTGCATTAAACAGAGCTTATTTTTACGGTAACTTAAAAAAAATCACCTACACCTCTTTGTTCCAAAGATATATATTTTTTTAAAAACGTTAATTGTTAACTATCTATTGGATGTATTGGACCGAGATACAGGCGTATACTTTTATTTTTAATTACATATAACGCTGTTTTGCACGTCTCACTTTATTATAGACCAGGGCGAATCTGTCGAAATATGCCACGTCTTAGATGTAAGGGGCGCAAGCTAATTTTTGCTGAAATACCTTCAGTACAACTCACATAATAAAAGTATAGATCCCTAGATCTGAGCGAGGTCCGGAACATTTTCAAAATTGCAAACATGTTTAAACATATCTATTTTATCTGAGTTTTTTACTTATGTCTTAGAACCTATGGATCTTGGAAGAGTATTGAAGAGGAAAAAAGTTTTAGAATTGAATTTTGCACAATATACTGTAAGTAAATGTTTAAATTTATTACCGATGTTGCAAAATTGCAATAATTGATGAAAAAAAGGCAAAATAATCAAGTTTTTTTAATAATTTTTTTAAAATATTTTAATTGCTCCGAGAGCATTCTAATTTTGGTTATAAAAAACTTTAGTGTATAATAAAACAACACACCAAATTTCATTAAAATCGGTTCTATAGTTTTCGTAAAATAATTTTTTGAAAACAATTTTGAGAAAAAAATTTCGAATTTTCAAAATATGCACAACCTCAAATAACGCATGTAGATACTTGAAAATGTTTTCAGAAAGGAAAGACCGCTCTACCTTTTAAATGGTTTTTGAAAAATTGAAATCAGTTGATTAGGACGGGCGCAGTAAATTTTTAAAGTTAACACTCTTTTTTTTAACAATTAGATTACATTTATCAATTTTAAATTTGGTTTTTTCAAAAATTATAATTTTAAAGTACTCGGAAAGACGCTTCTTTTTTAAAAAAAAGTTAAATTCCATTTATTGGTTCTCGAGATATAAGCGGTCGAAATTTATTTGCATTTACCGTTAATTTATAAACGATTTAGCAATAATCTTTTATCCAGTGGCTTCGTTTTTCCGAGTTCTCGGCTGGAAAAAAATTTCATATCCATAAGTTATCGGCAACATAGATAAATCATCGGAAAAGCTGTCGCTCGCATGCGCGAAAAGTTACTCAAAACCGAGACTGAATTCGGAGGTTCAAAATGCGAAGGTACGAAAAAAATTGCATTATCTCGGCTTCTAATGGACCAATTTCGATCTTTTTTTTAATCCGATGTCTCGCCAAGTAATTCGAATATCCTAGTGCCAACTGTCTAATTTGCACATATTTTGTTATAAACAAAGTTTATTATTTATGCATTAAATATATGTACTGTACATTTTACCCTATGCTNACTTCGTGTTTTAGATACTATTTTAACTATTCTGACTTCATTTAATATTACTTTTTTCTGAATTTACTTAAATTAGCTTTGAAATAAAGAATATATACAGGGTGAGTCAGAAAGAATGGGTCAACACTAACCTGGAGATGCAAGACAACAAAATATTATGTTTGAGCTTATCATGACTTATACGAATGTCGCTGGTTTGAGAAATGCAGGGTGTTCAAGGTTTAAATTTTATTTTGAAATTTCTCAATAATTGAGAATGTTTTAATAGCATGACTCTTAAAATTGGTAGTATTGGGTTTTTTGATGCGAGAATTACGAATTTGAACCTTATTTTGACGTTGCTCCCAGAGGGCGCTAGTTTCGCGGTATTATTTAGGTAAATCAAAACATATTTTTTTATATGTTGAGCTATGCTTAAAAAAAGTTAAAAATCTAAGAGCGTTCAATTCTACATAAAAAATGTACTCCTGTTTAGGTCACCTAACTTTATCGGTTTCTGCATTATTTGTCTAGTATCTCCAGCTTATTGTTGACCTATTCTTTCTGACTCACTCAATATAAATTTTATCCAATGTTATGTTATCCTTTCTGTTCTAGTGTTTATGGACTGGGACTATGGATACCAGAGCTGTTCCTCAGGTTCAACCGGTACCACGAGCTATATCCCAATAGGACAGTAACCGTGAAAGATCTTTCCACTTTAAATCAACTTAATAATTTCACATGCGAGCCGTCTTTCGATCCCCTTGTAATCCAAGGCACTGTCGCCATGGCAGCTTCTTCACTAATCTACAACTTGGTATCCGGCTTTTTATCCATGAGATTCCCGATAAAAACAATATCAGTGGTATCCATGGTACTCGGGGGGGTAAGCGCGGGGTGTATATATTGGCTGAGATCTTCCTGGCAGAACCTGACAGTGGCGTGCGTATTTCAAGCATCGATGGTAACCGCAAACATGGTCATAGGAAGCATAGGAGTGGAGCTCTTCCCGACGAACGTTTCGTCGATGGCTCTATGCCTGATGATGTGCGCGGGTAGGGCAGGCGCCGTTTGTAGTAACGCAATTTTCGGATATCTCATGGATAAGCGCTGCGAGATACCCATATTCGCCGTCGCCGCTGTGGTGTTGCTGGGGGCTGGGCTGTGCGCCGTCATACCGAATAAAATTAATCCAGAATTAAACGTACGTGACAGGAAATGTGTTGAAGTAGCGGTGATTTCATAGTTATTAATTTGTTACTACTTAAGATAACTTTATTGCAGTTATTTAGATGAACATGGTACTTAGGCTATCTTACAACTAATAAATAGATTACGACTTTAATATTATCCATTTATAAATTGTAAAATAACTTATTTGAGGTTAATGCCTTGATATTGCCTTGCTTCTTACTATTTTTTATATAGGGATATAATAGGCGATAAAACAAAAATTAAAAGTTTATATGCAGTCTAGTTGAATTAGTTCATAAACCCTGAAAACCTAAAAAAAATATTAGTAGACATTTTAATGTACTTTATGACGGTAAAGGGTATGCAGAATGATAATATCAAGAAACTAACTCAAAAGAAGTGACGCTAAGTTGGCAAAATTACATGTTTTTCCACTTTTTTACTGCCCATAAAAATCCAGACGGCCTATCGGAAAATCAGTCTTGTAGGCAATTAAATTACCTACAATTTAAGATACCTACAGTCATATTTCACTAATTTGTTAACTGTAGAATAAAGGTCCAACGCGGTAAAATCAGTTTCCCAGAATTGCTGAAAAAACGGTCAATCCAATGACCAACATGTGTACCAAAGGTCGATTTTAGTGACGGTGAAATTTGTTAATTAATTTCTTTCTTTTTGGTTTAATTGTTTAATTACAATGTTAATTTTAGAAGTTAATATCGTAGATATTAGTTCTAATTGATCCAAAGAAACGTATGGGAAAAGAAAAATTTCAAAAAGTTGAGATTAAGTTACTCGTTACAATTAAAAAAGTAGGATGTGGAAAACAGCGTTGTGAATAAATTGTCCCAGAGTCAGACAAAAGCCGCTCGGGCATTCGCTCTTTTTGCATTAAACAGAGCTTATTTTTACGGTAATTTAAAAAAAATCACCTATACCTCTTTGTTCCAAAGATAGTTTTTTTTTTAAACGTTAATTGTTAACTATCTATTGGATGTATTGGACCGAGATACAGGCGTATACTTTTATTTTTAATGTATTTACATATAACGCTGTTTTTCACGTCTTACTTTATTATAGACCAGGGCGAATCTGTCGAAATATCTCTTAGATGTCTTAGATGTAAGGGGCACAAGCTAATTTTTGCTGAAATACCTTTAGTACAACTCACATAATAAAAGTATAGATCCCTAGATCTGAGCGAGGTCCGGAACATTTTCAAAATTGCAAAAATGTTTAAACATATCTATTTTATCTGAGATTTTTACTTATGTCTTAGAACCTATGGATCTTGGAAGAGTATTGAAGAGGAAAAAAGTTTTAGAATTGAATTTTGCACAATATACTGTAAGTTAGAAATGTTTAAATTTATTACCGATGTTGCAAAATTGCAATAATTGAGGAAAAAAAGGCAAAATAATCAAGTTTTTTGAATAAATTTTTAAAAATATTTTAATTGCTCCAAGGGCATTCTAGTTTTGGTAAAAAAAACTTTAGTGTATAATAAAACAACACACCAAATTTCATTAAAATCGGTTCTATAGTTTTCGTAAAATAATTTTTTGAAAAAAATTTTGAGAAAAAAATTTCGAATTTTCAAAATGTTGCACAACCTCAAATAACGCATGTAGATACTTGAAAATTTTTTCACAAAGAAAAGACCGCTCTACCTTTTAAATGGTTTTTGAAAAATTGAAATCAGTTGATTAGGACGGGCGCAGTAAATTTTTAAAGTTAACACTTTTTTTTTAATAATTAGATTACATTTATCAATTTTAAATTTAGTTTTTTCAAAAATTGTAATTTTAAAGTACTCGGAAAGACGCTTCTTTAAGAAAAAAAAGTTAAATTCCGTTTATTGGTTCTCGAGATATAAGCGGACGAAGTTTATTTGCATTTACCGTTAATTTGTAAACAATTTAGCAATAATCTTTGATCCAGTGGCTTCGTTTTTTCCGAGTTCTCGGCTGGAAAAAAATTTCATATCCATAAGTTATCGGCAACATAGATAAATCATCGGAATCATCGCGCGAAAAGTTACTCAAAACCGATTTCAATTTTTCAAAAATCGTTTGAAAGGTTGGGGTTTCTTTTCTATGACAAAAAATTTTCAAGTATATAGATACTATATTTGCAGCTGTGCAACATATTGAAAATTCGAAAAAAAAATTTCAAAATTTTTTTCAAATTATTATTTTGCGAAAAGTATCGAACCGATTTTAATGAAATTTGGTGTATTGTTTTATTATACTCTAAATTTTACCAAAATTAGAATGCCCACGGAGCAATTAAAATATTTTAAAAAAAATTTTCGTCAATTATTGCCATTTTGCAACATAGGTAATAAATTTAAACATTTTTAACTTACAGCATATTGCGCAAAATTCAATTCATTTGATGCAATTAGACTTATTTATTTATACCATAGGCGACACTGAAACATCATAACTAGATGTTTTATAAAAAAATTTGAGTAGGCTTTTTGATAATGTTGATATTATTTTTAGATTGAGAAATTAAAAATAAAATGTTTATGTGTTAAGTAAATGCCTCTATACAACACGACCAAAAAATGACGACCAAAATTCCACGAAATGAGGGGAAACGATCATACTATTAAATGCACTTCCACATAAATTTTGGAAGGGACGAAAGTAAATCGCAGTAGGTAAAATAAGTATTATCTATTTACATTATCATTAAAAAGGTGCTAAATAGATGAATAGAGAAATCAGCCCTATAAATTTATCAGGACGTCAATAGTTGCACACTGTATTTTTTTATAATCCTCTTGATCAAATTACCGCCATTTAAATTATAACAAGCACTTTGTATTATTAAAACATCAGATAACTGAGCCTACCTAAGTGTAAGTACACAGAGACGATACTGAAATTGACATAATCATATTTGTCCGTTCAACTTTTGTCGCAGCTGGGTAAATAACTGAATCCCCTATCATAGATAATAATCTGCGGGGGTGTTCACATTACGTAATTGTCACAATACAATCACATTAAAAATAGTAGGAGACCTTAATAGGTACTGGTCTTCTATTCTCTCATATTTTTTGTCGAGGATATACTGACATAATTGTTAAATATATTGCACACCTAATTGACTTCAATTCTGTATACATATTGCTTTCGGAAAAAGCAGATCAAATTACATAGAAACAGTACTCTCATTTTGATTTTAATTATTTGCTTGTGTTGTAAATGCAATTTTTTTATACACAAATAACACCACTGTACAACAGTGTAGAAATGGCAGACATACATTTTATAGAAGTACATGCCAATGGTATGTAGTATGGCAGGGGTCGGCAAGTAATTTTAGGTGGGGTCCGGATACTTTTGAAATTGTTTAACGAGGTCCAGAAAAAAATTCATATTTCTTACTAATTTTTTATTTTCATTTGCATTAAGAACTCAAATCAGTCACAATTGTAAAATACGAGAAAAAATGATAAGGGTGGCACTCAAACGTAAAAAAATATTTTTTAAATAATTTATTTGACTAATTTATATTTTCAAAAAATTTTGGCGGTCCAGTATTTTACCTTCCGGGGTCCGGATCTGGACCGCGGTCCGCCAGTTGCCGACCCTTGTAGTATGGAATACTCAGATTATAGATTAAAGAAGTATGCTTTAGTTGTTACTGTTGCTGCTGCTGCTGTTGTACATGTTATTTCTATAGTTGTTCCTACTGCTGCTGGTGTTGTTGTTGTTGCTGTCGTTGTTGTTGTTGTTGTCGTCGTCGTTGTTGTTGTTATTGTTGTTGATGTTGTAGTGCCATTCAATTCCTCCGCCCCACTAAAAATCCATTTTTTTATTCCCACCTGAATTAACTTACCTGAAAACCTAGATGATTCCTGCGATGAAATTTGATATCACTCAGAGAATCCATAAAAAACTTAAGATACCTACCCTGTATAGTATGACTGAAATTGCTACTAAATGTATAATCCCTTGTCCTTCAAATTATGTAACTGTTCTATCAAAGTAAAAGCAAAATATTTGATTAATTGAAAAGAATAAAGTTGGTTATTTTTATTTTAATAAGCATTATCGTTTACTGTCACATTCATAGACTTAACAAGTATTTAATTTAACTTAAAAAGTACTCGTATATCCTTCTTGATCTAAAGTAGGTCTTAAGTACTATCCCCTAGTTTGTTCACAACTATTATGTTAAAACTGATTAAGTGTCATTAATGTTTAGCCCAATACAAATAAAACTTTGAAATTGCCCTTTCTAAATTTAGGCCTTAAAGACTAAAACTAAACAGATATAATCCGTGCAAATAAAACTTAAGAGATTATAAATTCCAAAAATTAAAAAAATAACAATGTTCATGAGATCTGTTTAGGGGAGGTAGAGTAAATAGTTGGGGCCGCCACCCTTAGGAATATTCCCGGGGGTGTTTTTTTATTTTAATTAGTTATTTTTTTAAAATGTTTTGTTATCGTTTTTTTGCAACACCATATAAGACGTTATAAACATAAAAAGTATGTTGTTTTGGATGGTCCGAGAGTAAATCGTACATTCCAGGTCCGTACTTTGTTTTCACATCACGTAATGAGAAAAATTCACATATTTGTAGAAGATAATTTTGGTAATTTCGTAAAGTAAAGAGATCGAGCATTTTTTGCTCGGTACCAGTTGCACGAGAGACAATTTACAACTGGTAGAAAAATAAATAATAATTAATTAATTAATTTATCGAAATTCTAAATAATACAACGGCTATATCAATGTTAGTTAATCTTTATCCAGTAACAGAGTTGTTTTATACAAGTTGATCCAAAGTTCGAGACATAAAAGCTGTTTTTTAAGCAGAAAATCTGGGATATTAATTTGATTATTTTAACTGAAATACCATAAAAGCTTAAACCACTGATTTTCAAGATTTACGTGGACCATATTAAGGCAAGTATCAAAAAAATTGACCTAGACTGATAAACCTGAAGCAGGTTTGATATACAAAAATAATAACAAATATACAATATGTAAACATACTTTAACATTGTCATAATACGAATAAATAAAAAAAACATAAAAGTTTGTAGATTAGTCTTAAAAACGTTACAAAGCACTATCAAAAACTCTGCATATACATATTAACGGGGAGCGAGCTATGAACTGCCCTTAGCTTGCTTCGATCTACTGAAAGGGCTGGAACCACGTCGGACCTTTGTTGTTCTCGGGCTAGGGTCAGGTCTTGTTTTTGTATGTACGTATCATTTTATATCTTTTGAACAGGAAGAGATATTTAAAAACTTTTTAAATAAAAGTTGTTAAGAAAAGTGGGAACTGGCATATGATGAAATGAATATGAATAATGAATATGGAAAATATGTGAGGAAATGGAAAAAATAATTTCGATGACGCCACAATCCTTACCAAAATGGGTTTTAAGCCAAATACTTACAGTATCATGACATAAAGATCCCAGTTTGCTGTTTTTTATTTACTGTTTTCGTTTTCCTGTAATGGCGTTCAACTATCAGTTCTGGATCACCCCATATTTAGTCCACAAGCTGCAAGAAATACAACTTTTGCCGAAGAATTTCGATAAAATTTCACTGAAAAAAGTTCATCAAAACGCTGACCTTTTTATAACTCAACTAAATTTTCTTTAGATATTATCTTTCTTAGATACACCTCTAAGGTTACGTCATAAGCAAATGTTGGACAAGACATTCAATATAACTATTTTTTAAGAGACAATTTAAATAAAATCAACAATTTTACATATACAACCAATGGAAAGGCAAATTTCCTTTGCTAATGCCATAATAAATCAGGTTTAAGAAATTTACTTAAAACTGCGGTTAATACTTGCTGCCTATTGTTCTAAAATAAATAAAAACTTACAGTTCGGGTCATATTCCTTTGTTGAACATGTATGGAATAAGTATTGTCGTATGATAAATAAATAATAAACACATATAAATTTACGTTTATAATTTTTATCCTTCATTTTAGTCTGTGTCGCACTGAAGTATCTCTAAATTGAGATAAGTTCAGGACACCCTAAAAATGACACAAATATCAGATGAGTTCGATGTTCCTTCATCGGGTAAGTGTTAAGATTTTTATAAAAATAGGACCCATCTATCCACTTCCTTGCCGAGAGAATGTTGTCTTCCATAAAAATCAAGTCAGCAATAAGTATTGACTCATTACATTTATAAGACATAGTGAACGTGTACTTCGTGAAATTAAAACTAAAAATTAAATATGTGGTGTTATTAAAGGAGAGTCACAACTTTTCTACGACATACGTTGATAGTGTAAGATTCGAATTTGGGCCACAACCAAAACAAGTACGCTTTAATTGAAAAAGAGTTATGTAAAAAGAGATCATTGTTCTATTGAAATAGTTCATTTGAAATAATGAAATAGAATATAAAAAGAGTTGAAGTCGGTGCATTATCGTTGCATCAGGACAAACCGTATTTTCGATGTTCTGGAGATATATGCATTTGGTTGCGGTCGATTGTTGATATTTTTAATTGTGGTCCAGTACTTATGGTTTCGAATTTTACAGTATGTGTGGCGTTCTCTACAAAATTTGTTCATTTATTCAGTGTTCCTTGCTTTACAAAAAGTTTGCAAAACGTTTTATACATAGTGTTTTGAAACTAGGTATGAATTATCAGCAAATATATGAAATATGACTTTTGTTTTCTGAATTATTTTAAGTGTACTCGCATAACCGAATTTTTCTTCAGCACGATCGTACAATTTCGCTAGACTTTTTGACCCTGTAATTACGTTCTAAAATTTTAATAGAGGCCAATGCAAGTTTTGTTGATAATTCACATTAGTTGAGAATGTAGTTGGATATGCTTTTTGGAATCTGTATTATATGTACAGGGTGATTAACTATATTTTAACCCCCACATTAACTTTCTTCTTTTTAGAGTTGTAAAATACAAAAGTTGCACGATTTTTTACGAAGTTCTCGAAAATGACAGTAGAAAAACAAATGAAGTCCAAACAAAATGGCCGCGGATGTTAACTGTGTTAATTTAAATGGAACACCCTGTATATTTTTACATATTTAGATAAAACGTTCACTGTCTTCCAAAAATTTTTTAAAGTTGCAGAAATGAATAATAACCTTAACACGCTGTATTTTGGAAAACGACTAGAAATAAATATTTGAAATTTGGTGGTGATGTAACTTTGCCTACCCTTCAAAACAGGTTGAAATAATTTAAAGAAAATATCGATGACGTCGATACGCGCCCAAAGTATGGAATAAATTTAGTAAAAACGAAACAAATTTTTTTTGGGAAAAATCCTCGAACAGGTCGATTTTTAATTTAAAAAATACATATTTTAGCATAAAAGGCGATTTTCAACCGTCATTTGTTTTCGAGTAATGACGTCATCGACATTTTTTTAAAAAACAAACCCCCAATTTTTTTCTTGATTCTGAAAGATCGTTTCATTATCGATCCGACAGTATTAAAATGTTGCCATCTTACATAGGAAAGTTTTCGAGTAAATGACGATTGAATGGGTTTTGGGTATTGAACATGAAAATTGAAAAAAATAAATTTGGCAGTATGTCAAAAATAGAATCTTATTAATAACTCTGTTGTTTTTTAAATATTAAGTTGAAATTTTGCACAAAGTGTACCTTATGCTGGCTTTTATTTAGAGTTTTGATAAAAACAAGTGGAACCACGAACTTTGTATTACATGTATGAAGAATTACTGCTTTTTAAACAAGGGTATGAATATCCCGATCTAAATTGGTTTGCGCGAGATGTTTGTTGAGCGAGTGTGGTGTGATACCTGCAGTTGAAATAATAAACGGATTGACGTACTCTCGTGTATGTTTCCAAATTCCAATTTCATGGTATTTTTCATCAATCTTTTCTGAGAATTTTGTTCGGACGGTAATACTTTATCAATTACGTAAGTGATATTTTCCTGAAATGTTAAATCCGGTGTTAAACGTGATCGTTTTGTCAATGAGTAAGTCAAATCCCAATACACTTTATAATATGTATTCTCTAATATTGTTTGTGGTGTGTATGTATAAAATGCGAAGTTGATTACTTACCTAATGTACAATTCTTTAACGCTCTACTTATTTGCGCCTTACTGTAGATAATTTTGAAAATAAACTTTTATTTCTCATCCTTTTTATCCCAAGAAAGGCGTAGCTTATTTTCTTATTAATAATACTACAAACAACCGTCTCGAGAAGAAATAATAACTGGAGTAAATCTTACCACTTTTCAGGTCTTTATTCAAGTTTAAATTAAATTTTTGGAAAGGCATATTTTCTCCTTACCTTTAAAGGTACCTTTATTTATTTTTAAATCTCGATATTAAAATAAATCTTTATTTTTTTTTAATTAGAAACTGAAATGACAGAAGTTCTAGCCCATCTTGATGGCATTCAAATACCTAAAAGAAAGAATGTGAGCTTTGACGATGCACTAAATGAAACTGGTAAGTAAAACAGCCACTACAAAGAGATATTTTTGCTTCCATATTTTACTTAGGATTGTTTCATCAGATAACTTCCTTTCGTATGGAATTAATAAATATTAATATATTAATATTATATACAAACACTAAACTAGCGTTTCAAAATATAAATTTTTCCAAGTTCAAATTTTAAACTCTTGGAACTACTATTTTCTTAAATTTTGTGATCACAAAATTGATTTTTAAACACTTTTGTGTCATTTTAGTTTTTTATTCATCATTTCTTATTCAGAAATTTTAATATCTAAGGCATTTTTCGACACTTTTAAATGTTAAATTTGAGAGATAGAGAAAATCGTATGATTAACTTTGTGCAACTTGTCAAAAATGCATCTTTTATCGCTAACATTGTATTTATTTCTCTTTTAGGGTTCGGCAAATACAACATTTTTCTAATTCTGGTGTGCGGGTTCATATTATTCGCATCGATTACCGAATCCTGTGGGGTGGGTTACATAGTACCAGCCTCTGAATGTGAATTAAATCTAAATAGTTTCACAAAAGGCATTCTTACGTCCACGAATGTGATTGGCATAATGTGTAGCTGTGCTATTTGGGGATATTTGGCCGATTTTAAGGGAAGAAGGAATCTCTTGCTCATAAATTTAGTCCTGGCATTCGCCACTGGATTTATAGCGGCATTCATCCCTTCGTTCTGGGGTTTTTGTATCCTAAGGCTCATCAATGGAATATGGTATGTACCGACTTCAAAAATTCTATTAAATACGCTGATTCAACTGATAAAGTAAAAATATTTACTTTAAAGGTGATTCAAGTTCATTCTGAAAATTCTCCTAAACTTGCATGAAATGTGTGTTTCAAATATACAAGGTGTAATAGGAAATTCTACATCGCAAGTTAATTTAAAAAGTTTCTTTTCGAGATAGACCCTGTATGTATAATGAAAATTAACGAAAATTTATTTCAGATCGTAAAAAAAGTTGGAGGAACAACGTAGTAAATATCGTTCTTTAATATATTTTTTGCAATTTAAAGAAACATTTTTTTAAACTTTCGAAAACGCTTCCGGTACATGTTTGTAGGAACAATTTTCATTCTTCCAAATTTAAAATGTACTATTCAACATTAAAACTTGAACAAGCACATTATTTACACCTTGTTTATCCGTAGGTGTAGCAAGGTACAATATCTCTGTTAGATATCACAGCGCCACAAAATGAAAAAATCCCATTGCACTTTGACAAGCTGAATAAGTCAGAATTTCCCCATCAGTTCGTGTTTAACAATAACATCAAGAAACGCCTCTAGAAAGCGGTTTTCGAGCTTTCAAACCAACCTGACTGAATGGAAAGAAATTGGAATTCATGATCTAATTGCACTATAACCCCATAACGCTACAACCCCATAACCCTACATCTCCATAACCCTACAACCCCATAGCCCTATAACTCCATGACCCTACTACCCCATAATCTTAAAAGTTCATAACCATTATAACCTCATAACCCCATAACCCTACAACCCCATAGCCCTTTAATTCCATGACCGTACAGCCCCATAATATTAAAACTTCATAATCCTCTAACCCCATAACCCTACAAACCCATAACCCTACAAACCTATAACCCTACAACCCCATAGCCCTATAACTCCATGACCCTACAGCTCCATACTCCTAAAAACTTCATAACTCTAAAACCCCATAACCCTAAAACCCCATAACCCTACGACCACTTAACCCAACGACCCCGTAACCCTACGACCCCATAACCCTACGACCCCATAATCCTACAACCCCATAACACTACTACACCGTAATCCTATAACTCTGACCTTAAAACCCCATAATCCTGTAGATAACTCCATAACCCTAGAACCCCATAACCCTAGACTCCCATAGCCCTACATCCTCATAACCATGTAACTCCATGACACTATAATATCAAATTTTCAGGACCTTCTTAGGATACATTACTATTAAATTTAATAAAAAATTGACTCTTTGCTGTAAGATAGGGGGGTAGTTTCCATTCCCCTCCCTCTTTTTTGTACGATAACGTTCTTTATTATTTTTTAGCATATCCTGTCCGGCCGCTGTAACGTTCGTTTATTTCGGAGAATTCCTCAGCACCACCACAAAAGGAAAATGCATGCCATGGGGCACGATATTTATAGGGATAGCGATGACTACAGTGCCGGCCTTAGCTTGGCCGCTTCTACAAAGTTCGATCAACGTAGAATTTTTGGGTCTCCGCCTGAACAACTGGAGAATCTACATGTTGATGAATTCCACCCCTAGTATATTAGTGGCATTCGCTTTGTTAAAATTACCAGAGAGCCCTAAATTCCTATACCACAACGGTAAATTTGACGAAGCCTTAAATGTCATGAGGACAATGTACTCTTGCAATACTGGAAAACCTGAATATACTTTTCCCGTTGTAAGTTTGAACGAGAAAATAATCTTGGAATCCAAAACGGTAAAAAAGAGTATATTGCAAGAGTTGGTACAGCAGATCGTTCCTTTATTTAAGCCGCCACTTTTAACTTACATTATAACCAGTTGTTTCATGCAAGCAATAACTTACGCGGTTTCTGCTGGTTTGTATTTGTGGTATCCAGACATTACAAAACAGATTTCCAACAGCGGAAATACAGGAGTAACTATCTGCGAGGCGTTATCTGTCAAGCACAATTCTGAAGACAACGGTCTTGCTTGCAACAATACAGTCGATGATAATATATTTATTTTGAGTATTATTATTGGCACATCCTACATTATTGGATACGCCACGTGGGGGGTAGTTGTAAAATTGTTAGGAACAAAGGCATTTTTCAGTAAGTACTTGAACTATTCCTTTCTTAAAAAATAAATGTAGTTTGCCCTCTATACTAATGTTCTATTTGCTCTACTCTATGGTTGCTACGCCATTGGTTTCCGCTACACGTTTTAAGAAACATATGGCACTCTTCTTCAGAGGAAACTCTGAAATTGGATATTAAGTCATCTAGCCGGTATTTACATTTGTGTACTGGTACGTGTCGTTACGATGCCTGGATTGTTTCCGTTACTTAGCTCTGCTGGCCTGTAACGTTCCAGTCATCACCCTTCAATCAAACCGCCGAAACGACACTTCACAGCAAATTTAAATACCAACCAAACGACTTAATCTCCAATGAAGAAAACGATACGTCTCTCACAAGCCAATAAGTTTATATAACCAACCAGGAATCGTATTTATACTTAACGTTCTTTAATGTTGATTAATTTATTTTTCATTTTTAGTGGTCCTCATGGGGTTATCAGGAGTTTGTATGGCCGGGCTCTGTCTTCTGTCACAAAAATTGCTGATTGACATTGCGTTCATCGGCTGTTTAGCACTATCAGGGATAGCAGTGACGGTACTGAATGCGTGGATAGTGGATATATTTCCCACTCAAATCTGTGGACTTGCTTTATGCTTCGCCTTGACTGTAGGTCGAGCGGGGAGTGTACTCTCCAGTTCTACGTTTGGAATGTTGGTTGAGTGGAACTGTATAATCACCTTTTTGCTTTATGCATTGAGCCTGATAGGTAAATATGAAAATAGTTTACTAAGCGTGTTTGGACTTTTCAGTATAACAAAAATTGTTTTATTATTATCTCATAAGATATACAGGTTCGGCTTCCATTCTAGCCCAAAATGTATTAAATACTGTGGCTATACCACCACATACCCTCCTACGAACGATTAATGAGATCAAGGTCATTTTGTAAAGTCAAAGAATATGATGAGACGAGCTTCAAATCGTTGACATAGGAAAGCCCTCTAGATGTACAGTTCTTCGTATGGTCCAGTACATAAACTAGAAATAAGACTGATAGTCCAGGCAATAGAGCAGTAAAAGTAGGCTTTGGCGTTTGTGTTTGAAGTCATCTATTTTGTTAGAAAAATCACAAATATTATGTAGAATAAGAATCTGAGTTTGCCTATTCCAAAAAATCATTGATAAATTCAGGGGAACAACAAACATAAAAGTCATTCTTTATTTTTTGTTTATTTGACGATTTTATATAAGTTACAACAACTGAGAATCAAAAAAGTTGAATTTTGCATTAACAATGGGCGAAAAATAGTAAAAAAATCATGTGTATATTTGGGAGCAATTTTTAAAATAAGTAAATATTTATAAATATTGATGAGACTTTGTCAAACAAATAGTAAAACATATGTCAATTCTACCCTAAAAATTTTGCAGCGATCGATCTCGTGGTTTTCGATTGGCAGGATTGTTAATTAAGAAAATTTTTAAAAAGTTTATCGCTTACCGGGGGTTTAAATTAAGGTTTATAAAGGGCACACAATTTTTTAGAGATACTTGTTGTCATAATAATCAATGATCAATAGAAAATCGTCAAATAAACAAAAAATAAGGTATGACTTTTTTTATTTAGAGCTTACTTTCAATGTTACGGAGAAAAATATGCCGAAAAACGGGTCATTTTTCGTTCTTTTTGTATTGTGGGTACACATGTTCGCAAGTGACCCATTTTTAAGCATTACGTCAAGAACGCCAGCAGGACGCCACCGAACGCACCAGCGTTCCAGGAAGGGTCTACGGCGGACTGGCGCCGGCGACCAGATGCTTGCTGATATAGCTACGACTGACTCCACACACAGGGATTCTCCAACGAACACTCACCCCGTCAACACGTCCTTTTCTATACAACTTAGTTTTCAATAAAATATTTTATTATTACCGTTTTATTCTTGCTGTACAGCGAAAGCAACCCTCAAGTGGTGACCCCTTCAGTGAACTTAGTGAACTCACCAGTGTTCTTTAATATAGATAAAAAAATGTTATACCTACCTATGAAAATTTACAAATATATTTTTCAAAATTTTATATTTTGAGAACTAGACTGATTAGGCCGTACAGTTTTCCTTAAAATTATATAATTCCCTTTATTATCCCCTTAAAGTCCACCAAATAAGTGTTTTAGGAATAAATATGTATATTTTTTTTCAGGATGTGTGTTGCTCGCCTTTATCGTACCCCAGACAAGTTGAATCACATATTTCACCTGTTGTCGCTTACTATACTGGAAAGGGAGATGATAACCCGATCAACGTTCGCTCACCCAAAACCATCAATGCAAGGAAAAATAATTTAAAAAAATATATTATTTCATGCACTGAAAATATGCCAAAATGTATTTTTTCACGAATAAAAGATTTTATATTTTTAAATAAATAAATCATTGTTTACTTAAAATGTCTTAAAATATGCAACAACTGCATTTTATATAGAAAATCAGATGCTAAAGGCTGTCCTAAAAGTAATGAAAGATTTGAATTGTGTGCCATTTTCATTCCGAAGAGTTGGTGACACTGTGCAAGGTTCCATGTTGTAGTGAACACTTTGTGGTTAGACAAAATGGAGCGCTATACGACGGATGAGCGAGTGAAAATTGTGAAAATTCGTTACAAATACAGAGCGTATGTAGCTGAGACTGTGCGCGAATTACGCGGAATTTTCGGTAGGGATTCGTAAAGTCCAAAGTTTATTCTGCTGAAATGAATACCTGCCATTCCTGAATGAATGGCAGAAATTCGGAGAGTTTTCAGCCGCACATATGCGAAAGCGTGATACAGAAACTTTTTAAAATAAGTCGAGTCTGTCAACTGACTCGCAGAGGACATCTGTCCGATATCCTCTTTCATATTTAATGGTAATGTCTACCCTTTAAAAACATCGCCAACTTTTTAATTAATAAAATATTTTTCCGCATATACTGAGTTTTTTTTGGGGACACTCTTTTTAAAGAACATCTAAGACTTTGTATAGGTTGGACATCGAAAACAGCTCGACGTCGATGCGTTATTAAAAATTTTAAACAATACATTAGTAGGCTGTCATAAAATGGCTAATAAGCCAACAATATTGTAAATACATTGCTGCAATTGCAGTCGCTATTGTAGTTCTTAAATAATCGCAATAAAATGTTACGTTGAAGTTGCTTGATCACGGATTATAGTGATCTGTTCCAAAATTCATTTTAGATGGCCATTCTTGCAGATGCAGGAAAAGAACACAATGCCGGTCTTTTTTTCACTTGGACGATGGTAGAATTACAGGAAACCAACAAAGTATACTTTATGGGTTTCATGGCATCATCAAATTTTATATACCTACTTATATAAACCGCGTGTTTTCCTAGTATTTTCATTACAAGATAACCATATAAAAACAACTGGGGGTAAACACAATATTTGCCGTTTGTGAATTACTTTAATCCATATTTAACTCAAAAATACATAGACTATTAATGAAATTGGTGAGATAATCTTAAGTAAATTATGAAATATGACATTTTAATTCCACAAAAATAGACATATTTGCTATACCGTCAATAACAAGTTTCCCATTGCACAGATCCGTATTTGTAAGTTCGTAGATAACATGAGTTCAATATAATTTTAAAAGAACGTATCTAGATTACTTGAGTGAGACAACGCAGCCATATCCATGGCAAGAAAAATGTCATCAGAGCAGGACTATCGCTCTTTACCTTAGAGCATATACTGCATGTTATAAAGTGTAGACGCTGTAGAGGGAAAGGTCAATATCGTGGGTATACTATCTCTTTCTTTCTCTAATCGCTGAAAAAGGAGTTGCGTTAGCCAATCACGTGCCTGCGCGAGAGAGAAAGATGGTACCCATAGTATCTATTTCTCTCTCTGTCACTCGTCTACACTGTCGCAGCAAGCGTGCTTTCTCCATGTACTCTAAGCTATTTGCTCACTGTAATACGACTGATATAGAATACTACATAATTATAATAGCTTTGTTTATTGTACATTAGAATCAATTTCCAACAGTCAGACGCAATTGTATTTGTTTCAAAACAATCAGTTTTGACTCAGTGGCAGCTCGCCAGGTGACGCAAGTGACGCACCGCTTCACCTAAAATTTCCGTTTGGTTGGCAATTTAAAATAATTTGTTTAATTTTATATAAATTTTATAATTTAAGTATAATTCTATATTAAAAATGTATTGTGTCTGTTTGTTTAATACGCAAAAATAAAGAGAATATAGTTGCGCGGTGAACGCCTTCTAAAAAAGACGTTGCCTTCGTTGAGTGCGAACATCAACCTCGTACCATATAACGTGTAGTACCGAGATATCCAGAATGATTGAAGCGTTTGGGGAACGCAGCCTGTTTCTAACACCATCTTTGGCGTATAAAAATATGTAGCATTGACAGAGACAGGCACAGGCTGCGATCCCCAAACACTTGAATCATTCTGGATCTCTCTGTATAAGCAAGTGACGCAGATCGAAATTAGTCTGTATTTCGCTTCTCTTCCTAGCGTTGTTTACAGCGGTTGTCATGGCAACGAGGCGCCCAACAAGGGAGTAAACTACGGCGTGGGGGAACGAGTGATGCGGAAATTGAAGCAACAATACTATCTCAATGTCACGAGCCTCCACTATTTGACTTTGTAATCACTTATTGGAATGCTTGTTGGAGATTATTTTGGATTTCTCTCGAAACAAAGCTAATTCTTGGTCTCTGCCAATTTCAGAATGATAGATTATCATTTTAGTAAACTACAGAAATCGTTTTTGACAATTGATGCTACAATTACAGATAATTTTAAGAATTTTATGAACTATTTATTAAACAATTTATTACTCTACGTTTAAAAACAAAATACATGAACAAAAGTGGCAGGCGAACGCTGCCCTGTATTCCTTTTCATTTTAAATTTCTAAGTAAATATTTCTTTGAGCACAGTTAAAAACATAAATCCTTGTTAACATAACATATTTCCTAATTCAACTTCTAAAGCTATTAAAATATGTTTAAGCATGTTAGAACAAAATAAATCTAACGAATTCAACAATGACTTGCATTATTATTATTTAACATATATTAATTTATTAATGAAAATAAATTGATCAAGTGAATTCAATTTCAACATTCATTCGCAAGTGTAACAACTAATTTTAACATTTATGTTCATATTTATTTACTCCATGCGCTTGACTTATCAGTGTCACCATCCGAAAATTTAATCACATTTACCTAATTTTAATTCTATTGCAAATATTTTCGCTGTGTACTAGATGATATATGTCACTATTTAACAGCGATAAAATATGGGAATTTATTCAGTCTCATGTACCTTATAGTCTTAAGTACGCCTTGTTAAAAAAAATGGCACACACAATGGTGATGGAGAAAGTTAAAATTGCAAAACCTTTCGATGAGGCTCTGTGTTTGGCTGGTAAGCTACAATTTCCTTACAAATTACATTAAAAAGAACTCACTTATGTGAAAGCGATGACTTCATGACTGTTTTTCTAGACTTATGTAACGCGTTGTCGTCTCTCAGCTTGGGAAGTTCGTAACATTTTCGCGGAAAATTTTGCAACTGATCGGCCTGCGATTCCTGCGAAGATTGTTAGCATCGGGCTCTGAAGATGTCGTCTGTTGCCCCTTGGGGTTTGCGGCTTTGTAAACAGTTTAGGGGTTAAATTCGAAAGATAGGTGAAAATTTCTATTTCGCCCCTTTACAGAAATGGTCGGCTCGTTAAATAAATAAAAAGTAGCTGATGTAATAAATAAAATGTAGGTTTGATTATTATTATTTTTTATTTTTTATAGGTTTCGGGAAATTTAATATCTACGTACTTCTAGCAACTGGACTATGTCTCATGTGTGTGATAATTGAATCCATGTGCGCCATGTTCATCACACCAGCCGCCCAATGCGACCTAAACCTAGATTTATCACAAAAGGGTCTTATGTACTCGATCAGCTTTCTTGGTATCGTCTCCAGTTCCCATATGTGGGGATATTTGGCAGATACGAAAGGAAGGAAAATTGTCCTTATAGTGTCACTGGTATCCAGTGCTGTTGTTGGCTTTATATGCAGCTTCGTTTCGTTGCCGTGGTTGTTCATTCTGTTGAGGTTTATAAATGGGTTTTTGTAAGTATTACCGTCAGTACATACATGACGTATGCGCTCTGCGTAGGTACATGTACCTATTTATACGTATTTTATAAAGACCACTGCTGTCCTCCTTTTTTTTATTTATTTATTACTTTAAGATACGGTGTTTAATCTTATTTCTATCTATTGACTTTGTTAATATCCTTATACAATGGAAAGTACCTTTATCTAAAGATTTTTCGAAATTGACAAAAGTTTACTGCCTTCTAGCGGCTAAATGAATCGATTTTAAGCACGTCTTACTTTCCCCTGACCTGTGGTACAATACAGTACGCGCCTAAAGTATGGAGTAAATTCAGTAAAAACGAAACAAATTTTTTGTGGGAAAAATCCTCGAACAGATCGATTTTTAATTTAAAAAATACATATTTTAGCATAAAAGGCGATTTTCATTTGTTTTCGAGTAATGACGTCATCGACATTTTGTTTAAATAGCAACAACCCCCTATTTTTTTCATGATTCTGAAAGATCGTTTCATTGTCAATCCGACAGTATTAAAATGTTGTCATCTTACATAGGAAAGTTTTCGAGTAAATGACGATTAGATGAATGACGATGAATGACGATGACGTTAGAAAACCCAATTCAATTAAAATAAAGCAAAAACGTATATTAAATTTAGTTTTTGCTTGAAGTTTCTTATGGATCACGTAGGTGTAAATCTTTACAAAGTGTCACTGTCATACCGACTTTCTAAGCATTGTAAGCGATATAAAAATTATTGTTGAATTTAAAATATTATGGCACATTTAATCAAACAAAGAATTGACATTTTAATTCTTATCGGATGCGGGGATAAGACTATAGTACGATCATATTCGATGCAAAGTAATAAATCATTGCCTGTCAAGGAAACCAATGAAGTACGCCTTTAAGGGTTTTACAAATTGAATAATTTCTTTATACATTATGAAGGGACAAGAGGATCAGTTCAGGTCTGGCACCCTTGTTGCTACAAAAATTCCTTTATTCTCTTAAATTATTTATTTTCAATGTAATTTATTATAAATCCAATTTGTTTCCTAAATTCCACATATGTACTACATTTTACCTCTGTAACTTGTTTTTTGGAAGCGCTCTCTAATTGACAGCAAAGCTCGCCAGGTTAGTATTTGACGTATAACCGACCAGTTCGTACACTCGATGCACCTGGGCGACTACAGCTACTACCAGCACACAGTGCGTATGCGGCGGTATTTCAGATTTTACATTGAATTTCATTTTAAATTTGAAATGATTTATCTTACGCCTCCTAAAAATGATGACACGATTTTTCTTTGATAAAAGGCCGACAATTTTTTGCTCTACTTTGCATCGTATACGATCCTACTATAGAACGCAGCAGAGTTTGCGATTTATTTAATGAAAAACATCCAGATCGCCGCATCAGCCAATCAACAGTCAGTAAGATAGAATCTAAATTTAGAGAAACTGGGAATGTTGTAGATATTCCAAAACCTGGACGATCAAGCGTTAGTAAAGATCATAAACAGAACATTTTGATAAGTATGGTAGATAATCCTCATAATACTTCACGATTGGTTGCATTAAACAATGAAATTAGTCAGACCACAGTGCTACTTATCCTGAGGAAGGAAAAGTATCATCCCTACAAAATTCAACTTGTGCAGGAACTTAAAGAAGACGATCCCGACCGACGCTTACACCTTTGCGAAATTATGATGGATTTATGTTAAGTAAATAGAGATTTACACCGGCAAATACTTTTTTCAGACGAGGCCACGTTTTGTCTCAATGGTACAGTGAACCGTCAAACTTGCAGGTATTAGAGTCGGGAAAATCCTCATTGGATGGCAGAGACACATACCCAACACCCACAGAAATTAAATGTGTGGGCTGGAATAGTTGACAACAGAATAGTAGGGCCTTTCTTCTTTGAAGAAACCCTTACAAGAGAAAGATATTTAGAGTTTTTACAAAATGACCTTGTTCCAGCGCTTGCAGTAATTTTTTCTGGCAATAATGACCCTGATATTCCTGATGACACCATATGGTTTCAGCAAGACGGTGCATCTCCGCACTATGCGCGCTATGTTCAAGATTTTCTGGACAATTGTTTTCCTAGGAGGTGGATCGGCAGACGAGCCCGCGAGATCTCCAGATCTTACACCCCTGGACTATTTCTTATGGGACTATTTAAAGTCCAAAGTGTACGTTAATAGCCCACATAATTTAAAAGAACTCCAAAATTGTATTATAGATGAAATGCACAAGAGTTACCCCAGAAATAATTCATAATGTGCAAGAACAATTTCTACACAGACTTGCGTATTGTCAAGAAGTCGGTGGGTGGCAATTCGAACACTTAATTTTGGTAGAAAACTTAATGAATTGTATTTGCTTGACATAGGAATTGTTATTTTTTTAATGAATAAAATTTGCGTTTTCTAACATTCAATCGTCATTTACTCGAAAACTTTCCTATGTAAGATGCCAACATTTTAATACTGTCGGATCGACAATGAAACGTTCTTTCAGAATCAAGAAAAAAAATAGGGGGTTGCTATTTAAAAAAATGTCGATGACGTCATTACTCGAAAACAAATGACGGTTGAAAATCGCCTTTTATGTTAAAATATGTGTTTTTTAAATTAAAAATCGACCTGTTCGAGGATTTTTCCCAAAATAGTTATTTAAAAGTGGCATTTTATTTTGTGAGTGAAGATGATTAAAAAAAGAGCGTAGCGAGTTTTTTATCTTCACGAACAAAATAAAATCACTTTTAACACGTATATCATACACAATTTTTTCTACAAAACAAAAGGAAGAACTTTAAACTCAATAAAAATAAGAAATCAAAAAATACCACACAGATCGCAGTGTTTATGAACCAAAATTTTCGTAGCAACCAGTACTTTTAACACTAATGTTAAAAGTAACTTACTTTTAACACGCGTGTCAAAAAATGACATTTTTAACATCAAAAATGACAATTAAAAAGCCCACTTTTAACAGTTTTGTAGAAAAAAAATTTGTTTCGTTTTTACTGAATTTATTCCATACTTTAGGGGCGTACTGTATAATACAACCATCGACACATTTGGAAACCAGGACAGTATTTTAAGTTTAAGTTTAAGTTAATGCATAAAAAGACTAAACTGATATAAATAATAAATAATGAAATTAAACAGAAAAATATGGACTGTTTAACCAGAGAACACTGTATATTATACCTACCATAGTATAGTATAGTGTTCTCTGGTTTGACATTGTTTATAGCAGGAATGAAATTACAGATAATAATTTTCATAGTAAGTAATTTCTTTAACAAAAAAAGTGTATGGTTATTTTTGCGATTTGAAAATTTGAAGTTCATAAATCGTTATTGACGCGTTTTCGGACCAAGATTTATACAGAGTGTATTCAAATTAAAGAGCACAGCTACCTTGTTATTCTGGAAGACAAAAATATACCTTAGTCCAATATTGTACACAAATAAAAGGTACTTAAATTGTTGAAAAATATAACAAATACGTAAACATCTCGAAATATATTGGACGTAATGAAGCTTGAGGTGAAGATTTAACTAAATAAAGTAAAAAAAAATATTGAATTTGCATAGACACCCTCATTAAGAACGTCAGAATTTTCGCAGTCTACTTATTTTTGTGATATATCAAGCTCCTTCATTTAACTGCACCCCTTGTTTACGTTATTGGTGTTCTTCCTCGTGGAATGCCTAATATTTTTCACTTTTCAGAATTGGTGGGTCATCAGCCATAATATATGCTTTTGCTGGTGAATTCCACGACGACATATTCCGGCCCAAAGTGGTATCCTGGATAGCCACCTTCGTGGCTCTTGGGAACATGTACCTGCCAGGTTTGGCTTGGGTTGTTTTACCGCAAAATTGGTCCTTCGAAATACCTTATATAAATTTACTTTTTAGACCTTGGCGTCTTCTGGCCATAATATATTCTATGCCTAGTCTATTGGCGGCTTTTTTAATTTTTTTTTTGCCAGAGAGCCCCAAATACTTGTTGACCCAGGGCAAGCATAAGGAGGTCATGGTTATCTTAACGAAGATATTTTGCGTTAACACTGGGAAGAAACCCGGAGACTACGCGGTATCGTCGATAATCTGGAGTGAGGCTGTGACAGGTGTCCAACATGAAGAGAACGAGAATATGTTTAAGTCCATGTGGAGGCAAACTGTTCCACTGTTTAAAAGAGAATTTCTTGTCAAAACGTTATTGGTGTGCTTCCTCCAGTTTTCAATTTTTTTAACGTAAGTATATACCTACTTACCATACAGGATGTCCGGGGGATAGTGGACAATCTCTTGAATTTGCGTAGGCCTTGAAAAAATAACGTTATAAGTTTTGTACTTTTTTTTATTCGCGTTGAAGTTGAGAGCTGAAAATTTATTTTTCCTTGTAGCTTTTTTGTTTCTACTTAAATTTGAATAATTTTCTTCTAATCTAATCTAATCTAATGCAGATGATAGCTACTTTGATGCCTCGGTTTTTATTATTTACCTAGTTTCTCAAGAGAAAAAGGGATACTTTATTGACACAACAAACCAATTTCTAAATAAACGTTTGGAACACATATTTTTAGAATTAAATTTTGAAATAACAGTTTCTAAAGTATTGACAGTCTGTGAGATTAATATTCTTACTATTTTTATTAACTTTAAACGTATTGTAGTAAACGTGCGATTACATCGTTTTGTTTCTGCCTTTATTGCTTGGCCCTACTTCAATAAATAAATATAATAACTAATTAGGTCGTTTATTAAGTTAACATTTTATCATGATCAATTTTTTTTAGAACGTCTTCGATAATAATGTGGTACCCACAAATTTTAAACAGTATGACTGAATATGGGAAAAATGAATCTGAAAGTAAAGTGACTATGTGTAAATCAATTTTATTTGATGAAGAAACGACGGTAGCCGCAGAAACATCGGGTAAATCTTTAATAGTAAGTATTTAAAAAAGTAGCAAATAAATTATGATTGAATGAATATACGAATTATATGAATACATTTATGAATTATACACATGACTGGGGCAAAAAAAACTGAATCTTTTTCATCGATTATGTCACTTATACAACACAATATAATATCATATTAAATATTGTAACTAAAAATTATATCCCTTGCAACTAAAATATACGAAAAATATATCTGTTTAGTTCAAAGTTTCCATCAAAGTGGGAATTGAACAAATTAATGAATGCCCATCGATCATCCTATTCTATACCATTTTTGGCCAAACATATTTAATTTGATGTTCAATTGTTTTTCTTCTAATTGCATATTCTGATTTGGCAATATTTTTTATAAGTATCTATATTTTATTCCATTCAGATATATCCCACTAAACACGAAACGTAAATGAAACGTTGCAAATGAGCTGTTTTACTACACATTTGAAACAATAACTAGAAACGTTGCTGTTTAACTACAAAAATGTAGCACTTGAAAACTTACTTAGTGAAACATAGCCGAAACATTCCAATTGAAGAGAGTTTGAAACATTACTCGAAACATTTCCTTTCGATCTCGGAAACGTAACAACGACAAACAAACAACCCTTTGCTTTTGTTTATCTTATGGAACTTCCATTCGGCATTACTTAAATTTTGCTCTCAAGCCCCATCATTATAGCAAGCGTTAGTTCATTTGCCTTTGTTATATGTACAACCAGACATAAACAGAAAAAAAATTGTGGTAGCATATTTATAACACAAGTCTAGAAAAAATGTATGTTCGTGACTTGCGCAGACCGCGCGTAACAGCCCGAATTTATTTATTTCTCGTGTGCCGTTTTCAATTCGTATTATGTTAGGTGTTAGGTTAGGTTTGCGGTTTGCCTTTACCCGTTTGCCTGGCTTCGTTGTTCTTCATCGTTACCAGGGAGAATAGTCTCCATGATCGTTACTTTGATGCTATTTTATGTGATAATTTATAGTGTGTGCAGTTGTGGTTATTGTAAGGTGCATATAAAATAATGAATATTGATGCAAAATGTTTAAAACGATATGTGTAGAGATTTCGAATTTTGCGTCACATCTACCTAAACATAGTTATTATACCCACTACCTAATACCTATTAAAGACAAGAGGACAAAAACTAAAAAAAATGGAACATGGAACTATACGTTTCGGAGAACTATTTGAAATACGGAAGAATCAAGTGAAATATATGTCATTTATTTTATATTTTGTACAAATGTTTATATTTGTGTACGTGTATAGGAATGCTTAAATAAAAGAGTTTAAGTATACCTACAAATATTTATTTTTTCAAGATATCCTTTTGTATCTTATTTATTTCTACTGTAAAATTTATTATAAAAAGGTTAGATGTAATATTGACTATGCGTAGAAGAAATTGTAACTTCTTTATATTATTTTTCAGTAATGTTATTTGTTTTTCATGTACCTACCATTTCAAGATTCATTATCATAACTAATTTTTTTAATTATCATTTCGTCATTGTTACCATATTCATGATGGTCTCAACATTAGAAAATTTCCATTTCAGAAGCGTATTTGAACAATATAAAATGATGTGTAGCTTTTTTAAAATGCTTCTGATATTGTTTTGTGACATTTTTATTTGTACGATGAATGGCAGAATCCGTAATCCATATTAGAAACTTTTTCAGTGGCTTCTCAAAAAGAAAAAAATTCTTGATAAAAGTTGCTGCATCCCCAAACTAGAAGAGCAGTTATTTTTTTTAATATACAATAACATTTTTCAGTTAAATTTTTTGAGAAATCAGAAAAAATTGTCTGGATTACGAATTAAGTCATTCACAATACAAATAAAAATATTACAAAAGAGTATTAGAAATATTTAAAAAATTACTCACACTGTTTATACTGTTTCAAAAACGCTTCTGAAATGGAAATTATCTAAAGTTGAGAGCATTATGAGAACAATATGGTATAAAAATTATTATGTTACTCAAACATTTCTGAAAATATACTGAAACGTAAAACAAAAATATCGAGTGCATAAATGGAACATCAAAAGAATGTTACTGAAACCAATTTTTTTAAACGTTTCATTGGAAACGTATTTTGGGGAGGACATCTTCGGTTTCTTTTGGGTTACCAGAACGTTGCATGGATTTTTTATGAAACGTTTCAAGAAAAATGGAAACGTTTCTGGAACTTGTCAGAAACTGAAAAATGTTTAGTGGGATTTTAATAAAAGGTTAACAAAAGATTTCTTATATAAATTGTAGAAAATAAATTATTAGAAAAAATAACAATTGAACATCACATAATATGTTTTTTTATTAAATAAAGCCCCCCGTATTTTATATTTTTTATTTGCAAAAATATCGGAAGACAATTTTAGAACCACCCTATATGTCAAATACCCTAACAATTCACTAACACTATGTTTGTAGTCTAAAACATGCCGTGACACAGTGAATACCGAAGTATTTCTAGTCTCTTTGGTGGTTGGAATAGCTTACGCTTGCTGTTACGTCTTCATAGGGAGCGTGATCAACATCCTTGGAAAAAAGAACCTGCTTGTGGGTTTCCTAGTTGTAACCACTGTATCTGGATTGTGCGCGCAACTCTTGAGTGGATATTCCTTAATCCAGATCGGCCTAGGAATATTCTTAATGGCTGGAACTGGAATAGGAATTGTCAATGCCATATCGGTAGACTTATACCCCACACAGATACGAGGTACCTACTAGAGTAAATATCAGATTTATTTAAAACTTATTTCTTCTAACAAAGTACCACAACATTCGTGTAGATGTCGCTAGACGTAATAGTTTGTAGTAAAAACTGTACTACGAATTCATTTAAAATACTCGGGAACCACAAGCACGAACTAATCACCTCGCACTTATTACTGCATGTGGCCTCATTAGATAGGTACCTACTTAAAGAATTGTATTATTAGGTATGGCTTTGGCAGTTTCTCTCATGTTCGGAAGATTTGGCGCCATGACCGGATCCAATATTGGAGGTCCTTTGATGTCCCAAATCTGCGACTACACGTTTTATATAATTGCCACGATCCACATTCGTAAGTATATATTTATTTTACTTTAAATTAAAAACATTGAGCTAATTCAAATTAAGTTATATCTAAATGCTCTTTTTGATATCTACTTACTCTAAAGTAACAATTCATTGACATTAATAAAAAGCACTATTGAAAAAACGCAACTAGCATATTGAAATTAGTAAATATTATTGAAAACTATCATGGAAATTGCATTCCTTTCTTGTTTTTAATAACTAGTGTATTACTTTAGACAAAGATCAACACGAAATTCAACCATAATCACACTATTCTATACTCCGCGGTCGAAATTATAGAGAGTGACTCATCGCTAGCTTTTGGACTAGTAAGGGGGATGAAGTGTGCCGGGAACGAAAATCCATTGGCGTCTCTGCGTAAAAGGCAACAAGATATAGAAAATATTGAAAAAAGATAATAAAACATAACATCTAATATTTTTTTACGGTTTGCTATAACCGGCACTTTGATCCATTTTAATTATTACAGCATTTTAAAACGTCCCAGTTGTGTTTTTTTAATTTATAAGTTTATTATAGCCATGGAATTAGACCCCTCGTCTACGCTTATGCTATGACGTTTCTCAGGACGGATAAATCAAGTCCGTTTACACCCACTAAAAAAGAATTTCCCTATTCCCTACCAAGTGCAAAAGACAGAAATAGAATATAGATCAACGTTCAGTGTAACTCAGTCTATAGACGATTATAGATTCTGTCGATGTGCGTAGCGAGCGGCACAAAGATAAATAATATTAAACCGTATAAAAATCATTTTATATTTTATACGCATTATGGTAATAGTGTTTTTATATTATGTCTGAATCACTCTCTATAATTTCGACCGCGGAGTATAGTAAATCACAAGAATTTTATTTTGTAACAGTTTTATTATTAATCGCCATCTTTATTGCAGTTATTATCATTGTTGTGGTGCTGCTGCCATCTGCCCAGAAAAGCCGGACTGAAGTTGAAACAAAAGAAGAAAGATAACAAACACCTGAAAGTTATAAATTATTTATTACTTATAATTAATAAACTTCTAAGTTTTAAATAGTTTCAATTTCTTGAAATATTTCTGAACCTCTTCTTTAAGATACGGCTTGGCAACTAGACAAGTTGGAATGTTCTCAGGTTGTTCGATCCATAATTTGTGCTTAATACCATTTTCCACTAATTTGTCTTTCAAGTTAATTAAACTTTTCTCGTCTGTTGCTTCTAAAACCACTTTGTGCATGTTATCCAAATCCTTCAAATACTGTTGGGTGATTTCATCCTCGTGAAAAAGATGAGTTACTGCTGTCACAGCGTGACAGGCTTGGGCGATCAGCGCCCCCACCGGCCAATTTAAATCCTTATGGAGATCTCCCCTTACAACAACATATTGAATAATACCAGAAGTCATATCTGTAAAGAAAATATTAACAAATACAGAATAAAAACAAAATTATTAACTGGTTGCGAATAATATTTTTTCCTAAAACGACCTTTTTTTAAGTCAAAAACGAGAAAGAAGTGAACATTGAAAATAGGTACCTATTTTTTTCTTGGACCATAGATCTGTGATCTGTGACAGTAATATATTACGTGTATTCTTTTCGTTGTGATTGAACTGAATTTAGTAACATAAAGTGATTTGACGTAATAGTAGGTTGTTTTTTCGTTTACAATCAGTTCCCCCACTCTAACTCAAAAAGTGATCGAAATGTGAATTCCCCTTGTCCCTCAAGTACATAAATTTTGTTCAATCATTTGAATCAAGTCAGTTTGCTATAACCTAACTTTTTAAAATTGACATTTTAGTTTTATTGTTTTTGCCGGTCACTGATATTAAATTTATCAGCAACTTCCCTAAAACTATTCTTATTTGCCAAATAATGTAGAGTTATATGAACTGCTTTTGATTTACTAATTTCGGGCTAACCACCCACATAATTTTTCTCCAAATTTTGTAACTCGCACAATTATAATACGGAACCGCGTCTCACACGGAAATGTTTTTTATAATCTTCCTCAGAATAAGAAGGAACAGTTACTTCAAAGTAACTTTCATTTTTACATTTTTTTTTCGCAAATTTAAGTCTCCGTCACTGTCTATATCAAGATCAAGAAATGAACTCACTGTTGAAACTGCTGCTGGAATATATGATGCATTGGAATATATGATGCATTATCAAAAAATATTTCCAAAATTTGTCTTTTCATTTTAAAATATTGAAAATTGGAACTTGCGCTTGAAATGGTGGGAATTTAAAAAAAAGAATGGAAACAAAGTATAACCTCAAAAAGTAAACATTCTCGTCAAACGAAATCAGAAATACATGGGTGGAAGGGAGTTAAAAAACTGTTATTCCGTGTTTCTGAACTGAATAAGAAAATCATTTTCAGTTTAATCACATTCTGTTTATTCAGTTCAGTATATTCACTCTGCTTAGAACGAAAGAATACATGTATTATTAGAAACTAGTTTTATTATAGATAGGTGCAAGATTACATTTCTAAGGTTCCTCTACTGTTATACCTGTCTATGGGTCAAGGATTTATGGATCTTGAACTGATATTTTATTTTATGCTTTCTCTTACATTCTATCTAGATTAATAAAAAAAAGACAACTTACTATAATTATATAATCCGTAAATAAATTAAATTATTATATTATATGTATGCCTACCTGTTCACAGTAGTCTTCGAATATTTATTTCCTGCTAAAAAGACTTAAAAACAGGAAGGCTACGAAAAGGAAGAGTTCACAAAACGCAAAACTGAAAAGAAGTTTCATGCCGGTATTAAGGTTAAGCGTGCTTCACACCACAAATTTATATATTTCCAGTGTTGCCAGTTGTAACTAATTTCTTCCGATTCTTGCTAATTTCCGACTTTAATAACAAATAAATTGGTTTAAGGTTTTTCTTTCCATTATTCTACTAATAATTTCACAACATAGGCAGCTATAAATAAAAGCACCACTAGAATAACCTGCACGAGAGAGAAATATGGTATACAAATTATCTCTTTCTCTCTCAGTCACTCGTCTACACTCCCACGTAAGCGCGCCATTATTCTATGGCCAGAAATTGGCCTCAATGATTTGGGATCGAGGGGGATTATCCCTCTTTATCCTGCCTCATCTCGTGTAGGCCTGGACAGCCTTCGTAGGTGGGCCCCATCCGTCGTCTACCCCGACCGCAAATGCGGCCGGTGTAGGCGCTTTGTGGGACCTCCTTTTGTCCTGGCTGGGCCCCGCCGGCTAGGGCCCTTTCTTCTGGCGCTCTTCTTGCTTCGCCGGCTCGTCTGTGTAAACCCCGGGGGTAGTGTCATGTTTATGTGTGGTATGGTTGGGTAGGGTAGTGCGGCTATGCAGCCTGGGATGCGCTTTGCTAAGGTGGCCCTTAGGCTAGCGCGGGAGGGGAGGGTTAAGGAGGGTATGGGGGGTGTGTGTGTGTGTGTGTGTGTGTGTCGTTGTCTTCGTTTCTTGATCCTGGCTGTCTCTGAAACAGAAAAGGTTAGCGGGAGGGGGGGGGTCATTGGGGTGGTCACCCAGGGTCAAAAAGTTGGTGTCTAGGTCTTTTGTGTTTGTCGGTCACGTCGGGTACGTAGTCAACGGCTTGCCTGAGGAGGGGATTGTCATGTCTAGCGGCTACGTCAAATCGTTTCTCCGCGTTTTGTCTTATTGTCTGTGTAGCGTTTGTGTATTGTAAGTCTCGTAATATGTCAGTGTTTCTTACGTACCAGGGCGCGTCGGTGGCCGTGCGGAGGGCTATGTTTTCCACAGCCTGTAATGACTTTAAGTGGCTTTTTGCCGCGTGACCCCACGCCGTGGAGGCGTAGGTTAGCTGCGGTTGAAGTACCACCTTGATAAGCGTTCGCTTATTCCTTAAACTGAGGGTGTTTCCACCTTTGAGTAAGGGATAGAGCCTAGCCCTGGTGGTCTTCGCTCGCGCCACCGTCTCCACGATGTGCGGTTTCCCACGTAAGCGTGCATTTCCTTCTCCATATAGTTCACGTTCTAACATTAGACCCATGTCAGACTATCAAATTTCCGTCAATGTTTGATTTGATTTTAGTAATTTTAAATCAAACTAATTTGATAAAATTAGTAAAATAATAAATAAAAATTGCTCTAAGAATGGTTATCCCAAAAGTTATAGGTTTTTTTCTTCGATTAGGACCCACAAAGCGCCTACAACGGCCGCATTTGCGGTCGGGGTAGACGACGGATGGGGCCCACCTATGAAGGCTGTCCAGGCCTACACGAGATGAGGCAGGATAAAGAGGGATAATCCCCTCGATCCCAAATCATTGAGGCCAATTTCTAGCCATGAAATAATGGTGCGGTTTTTTCTTCGATTAATATTTTATTTTGTACCCATATGTCATTTAATTGGAAAATAGAAACCGTAAATAATAGGGGAAACTGTGATCGGAATCTGATTAACCTGTTATTGGGATCGTAGATCTTGTGTTCGCAAAGTAAACAGGAGAAGGCTAAAAATCGTTCAGAAAGGGATCGAGTTGATCAGATTTTAATCATATATACCATTCTTACACTTTCTTGCTCCGATTGTACTCTGTGACACTGATCGAAATCAGTGCGATTACTGCGATTTCCTCATTACTTAATATCAACTGGTGAATTGGCAACGCTGCTTCTGTTCTAACTCTAACCTCCGACCTTCGATTCCGTTCCGTTCCGATTATTAGAAAATCTGTTATTGTTAATTTTGTACGTTTTAAAAAGCCTTTTTGAATTACAGATATTAAGTTTTATGTTATCTCTTATCTACAAATGCAAATATCTACAGCACAATAATAATCCACAATATTCCTTTCTTCAATCTATGGTAGTCGACCTACAAATTTTGTAACAGGTTATCATCAGTGGCTAGGCTAATGTGTTAACCTGATATCAAATTTAACTTTCCTGATAAATAGCTTTCAGTTAGGACACAAATAATAGAAAAAAGATTATGCCGAATTTATTAAAAGACGAGAAGGCCTTCGAAACTGCCATACAGTAAGTACTTGTATTCACCTTTGTTTAAAATTAAACTATATCTTTCTAGGAACAAAAACCTCTCTGTTGTTCATTTTCAAGCAGACTGGGCGGAACAGTGTACACAAGTAAACGAAGTCTTAGATGTTCTTTCTACACAAAAGGACTTTGTCGATGTGAAATTTTATTCATGCCCGGCTGAAGAGCTTTCAGAGGTATCGCTAAAGTATAATATCGAAGCAGTACCGACAGTAATTATTTTTAAGTCTGGTAAAAAGGTCGATAGAATCAATGGAGCCGATGCTTCCAAGATAACTGAAAAAATAAGGCAATATACTTCCATTGAAAATGATATTGCGGAACAGAATATTCCTTTAGAAGAAAGGTTGAAATCTCTCATAAATAGAGCAAAAGTCATGTTATTTATGAAAGGCGATAGGAATACTCCACGCTGTGGCTTTAGTAGACAAATTATAGAAATTTTAAATAACACAGGGTAAGATACTAACTTTATTTGACAGATTTCCATGTTTGCAAGTGTCATGCCTTGAAATTACATCCGCGCTAGAAATTTTTTGCTTATTACCTGAAAAATGTTACTTTGAAGATTTTGCGCTTTCTCATGCTACACCCTGCATACTACTAATAATAATATATGTAAAATGTTTTTAATTTAAATGGATTTTTAGCGTCCCTTATGAAACATTTGATATACTGAATGACGAAGAAGTTCGTCAAGGATTAAAAACTTACTCAGACTGGCCAACATATCCACAACTGTACGTTAATGGAGAATTGATAGGAGGACTGGACATTGTAAAAGAAATGCTGGCAGCTGGAGAATTTGCATCTACGCTTAACGCATGAATATTTTCTTTTCAAGTTAAGCTAATAATTTATTATATTTCATTAAAACACCTTTTTAAAAATGTATGCCTATTGTAAACAATAAAATAATTCAAAGTGAAGTTATTTTTTATGGTGCAATGAAATTACTATTTTCAAATAATTACTCCATTCAACAGTAACAACCTTGGAGCATACACCACATGGAGTAAGCACAGCGTGTTAAAAACCACATGCTCTGGAGATAAAGGGCGATAGTTTGGGATCTCGCTCTAATCAGTTTGATAGGTTGGTTGAGATGCCTTTTCTGTTAGAGGGCCGAAGGAGCTGCGTAAGCCAGTCACATGCCTGAGCGAGAGAGAAAGATAATACCCACACTGCTTGTTTATCTCTCTATCACTCGTTTACATGTTTAGAAGGTCTGTTCCAACATGAGTCAGGAATTGATTCCGAACCGTTCGAAATGTGCATCCAACTAATTCTAGCGATATATTCAGTGAAGAAACATTTAGAACTTAGCTGGCCAATCATTTCGAACGGTTCGGAACCAATCCTTGATTCTTGTTGGAACAGACCTATAACCTTAACATTGTGGTGGTTTATTTTTTCTATAAGGCAGTTACTATTTTAATTTTGCAAAAGAATGAGTATACCTAAACGATATTTAAAATCAAATCAAATGTCAATAGTAAACAAAATCCTGTTTTCTTCGAAATTGAATTCATGGATCTAGTTCATGTTCGTCTGATTCTGATTAAGTAATAGAACTGATCAAAAAATAAGAACTTTTTCCAACAAACTATGGGTCTATTGTCATTTTGTTTCTGGCATACAGGGTGACAAAGAAAATGTCTTCAATGTGCTAATCTTTCCAAAAAGATTAGCACATTGTGTTGAAATTTGGCATATGTAAGTTTTCAAAGATACTAAATGCGTTAGTATTGTTACTTTTTGATCATCTGTTAGAGGTCGCCTAGTTACAGATTGTATACTTGGTAACATTCTATAACTTTTTTTTAGTTTAGGTTTTTTAGTAGTATATGTGGATCTTATACTAAAAATTTTATTTTACCTATAAATGCTACTCTTATTTAAATCGATGAGAACACACAGTGTTTGAGAAAAAGGCAAATGCTTGTCCCAAGGCCAACTTCTATTGATACAAATCAAGTTACATTAGTACAATCTCGCTTCTTTAGAAAGTTATTGGCGGCAAAGAATGTATTCCATTTTAACTAATACTAAAACCTTTTTAATAAAGTAAATTTATTTCCATAAGTAAAGATTTCCCTTAAAGTGTGCCTATTCATTTTCGGACACTGTATATAACAAAATAAAAGTTGACCTTGAGGCACTTCCACATACTTCTATCCGATAGAAGTATGTGGATAGATAGAAGTAGATGGATAGAAGTATGTGGGCACTTCATTGCATTTTTTTTCAAAATTAGGATTTCAACAAGTTAAATTAAAAAAAAATTACAATGAGCTTTCGACGATTTGCAAACGTTTTTTTCTAGTGATGTGAGTGAAAATATATAACAAATTGATATATATCAATTTTTGATACATATCAGCTATTATATTTATGTTAATAGCTGATATATATCAATTTTCCCGCCATTTCATGAATTTCAAACATAACCTTACATTTTAAAACTAAAAACTTGTGGTGTGGTAGGCTTGTGTTGGACTGTAGTAGCTCTTGGGTACCTGGAATATCTCCGTCAAAAATGAATATAAAAATCTGAAATTTTAGGGGTGTACTATAGATGGGAAGAACTAAGAGCGCACGTAATTTCAAGTCACCCCTTCCACCCTAGGGGGTGACTGGTGGTTTTTTTAGATGTTCCCTACTCATTTTGCGAGTTTCGGATTCTATCCGTAAAACTACCCCCGAAAGCGCGTTCTTGCCGAATTCGCACAAAAACCAAACCACCACCCTCGTATGGATTTTGTCGTTTTTTCGATGAGCATTTTTCTCCTTCAAAAATAAATATAGAAATCTGAAATTTTAGGGGTGTACTATAAGTGGGGAGACCTAAGAGCGAACCTGATTTCAACTGGCCCTTTCCACCTTAGTAGGTGCAGAGGGGGTGAAGGGTATGGTCTTTTAGACGTACCCCCAAGAACGCGTTTCTGGGGGTAGTTTTACGCGTACAATCCGAAAATCGCAAAATAAATAGGGTACGTCTAAAAAAACCTTCACCCCACCCCCTAGGGTGGAAGGGGTGAGTTGAAATTACGTGCGCTCTTAGGTCTCCCCATTTATAGTACACCCCTAAATTTTCAGATTTTTAAGTACTACTTTAAAGCAGTTTCTTTATTATCATAAGTTTTTGATAATTTTTATTTCAATTTTTATCTTTAATTTTTTTTAAGTACGCATTGTGATATACAAAGACTAAATTTTCTTGTTCTAGAAATTTCCCATTTTTTATTTCTGGGTTGATAAAACTAAATTGCTAATAAACAGCGTACTTGCTTATAAACAGTCAGTAGCACGCAACAAAAATTAGAAGTCAGTATGATAAAAAAAATATAAAATTCCAATCTAAATATGAAAAAAAAAAATAAAGATCACTTGATAACTTTTCTTAAAGTTCATATATATGACATGTATTTGGTGTCAAATTAATCAGCAAGGCATTAGCAATATAAAAAAACTAATTTGAATATAGTTTTTTTTTTAACAAAATTCATCTGATATATATAATGATATATATTTTGATATATATCACCCAAAACTAAATAGCATGCTATTTTACATCACTATTTTTTTCACAATCGATCACATAAAATAAAACACAGATGTGAAAAATATTCTCAACAATGTATATTGAAAAATAAATATATTTGCCAATTTCAATCTTTAATAAATGGTATAACCATAATACAATTTTTAACAGATTTAATTGTAGTCCATCTGCCTAGCTTGTGTTCTTTACTAACAGCAACAATAAGCTTAGACCCGTCTGAAGTAAAACCAAGAGAATTTATAAATCCTTCGACAGGTATTTTCATTAAAGGACTGGCAAATTTGAAGTTATTTTCCAATTTCCACAGTTTCACGAATCCATCGTTTGAACCAGACGCCACTAAATCTGTATTAAGTAAAGGTGCAATAGAACTTATCCAATTAGGTTGTTGATTTATACTACTGACACCATGAGCGTTTTGTATTACACATAAAGGTTTTTTCCTCATTATGCTCCACACACATAATTGTCCATCATCTCCGCCAGAAATAAAATTTTCTTCATTAATTAATTTAACGTTATCTATATTTCCCACATGTCCATTGAATATTAATTGAGTCTCTTCAGTTATTTTCCAGATTCTCAAGTCTCTACCGCCAGATGTAACTACGCGATCCCTATATAATGTATCAATAGAAGTAACTACACCTTGGTGTCCGAAAAGTGTTTCTACGTATGCCATTTCATCTAAATTCCATACTTTAACACTTCGATCCTTCGAACAAGAATACAACGTATGGGAATCTTTCTTAAAACATAGTCCAAAAATACCTTTTTTGTGACCTGTTAGTTTTTTTATAAATTTTAACGTAGACAGATCCCAGATGAAGATATCACTAGACTCGTCACTAGTAGTAAGATATTTATTATCTGTAGATACAGCAACACTTAGAATTTGACTACTATGTCCTACTACATCAGAACTGTCTTTTACAAAAGGTATAGATCCAACTTTTTTATTTTCATGTATCGAATATTTGATCACAACTCCGTTTTTACTTCCTACAAACACATATTTATCATCTGAAGTAATACACATGCAGGTAATGCTGTTCGTTTGCTCTCTGCATTTTAAAATCTTTATATTATTTGTATCGACATTTTTGAACTTGTCTGCGACTGTTAGTCTTAACTTGCCAGCTTCCTTTAAATAGTCTTCTTTTAACCTTTTAGATATTAAACTCTGATCCACCTCCTCGCTTTCTAATCTCGCTTTTTCTTCTTTTTCAATTTCCTCCAAATACACTTTCGCTAGTCTTAATTTTTTCTCCTGAGCCGTTTCATTTTCGTCTTCTGAAGAAAGATCTGCTGCTTCATTTTCAGCTGCACCCTCATCTTCACTACTTGTAACTTCATCGTTTTTTACATTTTTGATTACTTTAGGTTTCTTCCTTTTCTCTGTCGACTGTTTAACACGTTTTATTCCATTTACTTGTTTCCCCTTAATGAAAAACGACATTTTAATTTGTGAATATTTACGTACATAGACATTTATTAATTGCAGCACTTAGTAATAAGAAACGAATTAATAACTTTCGTGTCCATGCCCATGCCTTCCATAACGTTAACTTACAAAAACGTAAATCAAAAAGTAAGGTTATTATGCGAGTTGCATATTTAACAAAAGGGAACAGGAACATGTGTCACGTCTTCTGTTATCTATGGGCACCTTCGAGCATATACTACTGGAGGTAGCATGCCATTGCGAAAAGTATGGCTGAGTGTGCGAGAGAGACAGACCATATCTTAAAACTTGCTGTCTCACTCGAGGACGCTGCGATTGGTTGGAACATTCATTTTCAACCAATCGCGGGGTGCTAGAGTGAGACAACAGGTACTGAGATCCTGTCTGTTTTTCTCACATAATCAGACACAATTTTCGCAATAGCATGCTACCTCCAGTAGTATATGCTCGAAGGTTTTCCTCATGATTCCTATATTAGAATTAGATTTATGGTTTTGCCTTTGAAGGCCTTTCGATTTGGCAAAAATAGTAGCTATTAATAGCTAATAGCAACTTACAGTTACTCTGAACTGATATTAGTTGCTATTAGGTACTATTTTTACCAAAACGAAAGCCCCTTAGATGCTAGATGTCACTGAAATGTGAAATCATTTCAGAGGAAGAAGAAAATATAACCTATAATTATTTTAAATCATTTTAAATGTAGAAAATTAGATAATTTTAATAGTATTGTGATATAATTTTTATAATTTCATTATGGGTAATTAATATGTTACGATGTCTTTCTTATCTAAGGTGTGCCATATAGTAAATATTACAAGATTATTGAGATCTTACTCAGCTCCTAAAAGGGATCCAGGGATAAATTTACGCAAAAAAGCCCTTAATTTAGACGCAGAAATAGATGAAATTGAATTCGATGACTTGGAAACGGACTTTATGAACGTACACAAGACACATCGGGAACATGTATCGGAAATTGAAGCTGGTCTTGAGAAAGAAAAGTTCCACATTGTTAGACAGAAATATTTTAAAGAAAAGCAGTTAAATTTTTTAACTTGGTACGATAAGGACCAAATTAAATATTTACACAGTACTGACCCTGAGGAGTGGACAATTGAAAAGTTATCCGAGAGTTTTCCAGCATTGCCGGAAGTTATTAAGGTAAAATTTTAATAGCATGAATTATATTGTTACCTTCTTGTTGGAAAGCACTATTTAGGCACATTGTATAAAAATCTTGAGATTCAGTTAAGGATTTAACCGATCCACTTGATACAAGTTGCTTTAGTTTTTAATTTTTTTTCGCAATTTTTGTAATATCCAACTAACTGGAAAAATAGTGAATTTTAAATTTCTTAAAGCAACATTTTATGTATTTCAGAAAATTGTGAAATCCAAGTGGACATTAAATGCAACTAGAGTATCAAATCACGATAGGACTGTACAAAAAAATTGGGAGAACTTCAAAAGTGGCCAAATAAAAGATTTGCCCGAGGAGCTAGTAAATCATTTAAATAAATTTACAAATCGAGCATTACATTTCAAACCGTTTGAAGCTCCTCAGACTAAAAATGTTGTTAACGTAAATACGAAACGAGTAGGTACAGAGTTTTCTGATATAATAACCAGTTATAACAAACTAAAAGCTAAGAAGCACCACAATTCGGATGAAGAGTTAACAGTAAACATAAACACTGAGATCTTAAAAAGTGTGAGCGATAGCAATAACGGTATAAATCAGAGAATAAAAAAGAGACATCTTACTTTGCACGAGTTGCAGAATAAGCTTGAAAATAGATTAAATTTGGGTAAAGACTTACCAGAAGATGAAAAACTGATGTTGAAGAATTTAAAACAATCTTCGGAGGTTAATCCGATGGAACAAAATCAAAACAATTTTGAAGATGTTATGATTAATAAATTTGAAACTAGTAAAAGTACGACTTTAATGAAGAAAAAGCAACAAGATTACAACCACTTAATTTATCCAGAGAAAATTTCAATACCAAAAAATTTACGAAAGAAAGGTTACACTTACAAGTTGAACGATTGTTATTATGACGATGACGGTCTGTTTTTATACAGGGTGCCAGGAATGTATTAAAACATAATAATTATGTATATTTGATTTTATTTATTAAAAACAATTTAAAAATGACTAGCATAAGCGTTATTTTTATAAAAAATTAACCTTATATCGATAAAGATAACAAATACTGTACCCATTTTAGGTAATACAGAAAGTAAAGCGTTATAGTCACATTCTGCACGATAAGAGAATTCTGCAAGTGAAAACTAAGAGTACTGGATTAAAATTAGTGTTTTGACTTAATTTATATTATATACAAATATTGTATAAGCGTGTGGCTCGTAGTTTTTTTAAAAGTAATTCTAGGTTAACAAAAAGAACTTTCGTGGTGAAAAAATTTGAAATCAAATTTGTGAAAAAGGGAATTAAAATAGGAAGTGTTCAGAATCTCGAAAAAGGTTGCACGTATATCTGGAAAATATGTGTATATATTTTTTTCATAACCAATTAATAAATACAATTATTCGTTTTATTTTTCACAAAATTTTCATTTTTCCTAAATTACAGTATGAATTTTAAAAAATTCAAGACCTCGGAATGGGAACCCCCTAAGTTTAATTTATTTCGCAAATTTCGTAGAAAACTTTTTCATCGAAAACGCCCATGTTTATAAAAATTGAATAATTTCAAGTTTTTATCAGTTGTCGCTGTATAACTAACTGATTATTATACACACTTTTTCCTACAAAACTTCAAATAAATTTACCAAACAAAATAGTTAATCTAAATAATAAATTTGCAGAAATGTGTTATTAATTCATTTTTCCATTTTTAAATCCGTCGTCAAATAATTTCAAAAAGAAACACCGACGAAACAAAATTCATTAATTCAATTTTATGCAAAATTGATTTTGTCTCATTTAAAAAAAATGGAAAATGATCATACATTGACTGCTTAATATTCTAGATATATTCATATATAAAATAAAGGTACATAAAAAAAGGAGTTCATTATCACCATCGAATAAAAATACACACACATTTCCCATTAACGTTATTTTATATCTTTTACTAACTACTTTCTGCAAAATGTGACTACACATTTCAATTCAGGTAAACAAATGCAAGTCAATAAACTAGACAGAATAGTTGTCTAAAACAATGGATGCTTTTTTTGCTGATCTAAACATGTAAGTATCTTTGTACTGAATAATATTTGGAAATGTCTGAAATGCTACGACTTATTTGTACAGGGTGATGGAAACGAATTGGACATATTTCACAAAAAGCTTCCTGGGGAGGAAAATAAAGTGATTTAGATTAAAAATCCTTAGTGTGCTTCTTCAAAAAATGACAGACCAATAAAAAATTTTTTGATGACTTCTATTTTAAGAAATTTTTCAATAAAATTTATTATAGAACTAACCTCTCCAATACTAAATTTCAAGATCCAAATGTTTTAAGTTGATATTGGATAAACGTGTAAAATTGTACTGGGTAACTTGATTTAAATCAGTTTATGCCACATTTGTGTCCACACACCCTGTACATAAAACCGTTTTAATACATCTCAGTAACTTTTATAAATAAAAAAAGTGTAGTTACTTAAAAAAATTGATGTTCATTTTTTGTTCTTTTAAATATTTTTTAATACGGCAGAAAATTAACTTTTATTTCCATTTCAGACATAACTTGTACATATTAATATGTATAATAATATAGCACAGAATATCCCACAATAAGGTGCACAGGACTATTTCTTTATATATAAATTCAAATAATTGCCTTATTTCGGGAAACTCTGTTATTACTCTGTTTGTTGACCAGTCAAACATACACGTATATACACATACAGTGGACCTTCAAACCATCAGATGCTCCTGAAGAATGTAGTTCAGGGATGACAATGTTCTCGATTTTTTAAATTCTCCATAATTTTCAAATTAAAATTGTCGAAATTTCCAAATTTTTTTTTCAATTGATCATACTGAAAGCTTTCATTTTTTATTTAATGAAGACGTTACATAAAACTGAGAAAGCAACTTGGCTCAAGACAACTGATTTCGGATATCCTGATTCGAGCACTTTGAAATTAATTTTTGAATTCAAATTTTTAGAAAATATGACGTTTTTTTGACCTGGAATTATTCACAAATTCACTATTTTGTACCATAATTCTTAAAAATTTTTAATAAATCTCAAAAAAGTTTTTGCAAACGCATAAAAACAAGTAGAACCCCAATTATCCGTGATCTACAAGACCGAGTGCGGCACGGATAATTGAAAAACACGGATAATCAAAACATTTATTTTTTACATAAAAAATGGAGCAATATACAGGTAAACATGTAGAAAATGTAATTTAGGTACATTTATTTTGAGTATTTTTTTAAGTCAATTATTTTGGTCCGTATTTAACTTTTTTTGTTTTTCCTTATTTTCCAATGTATTTTACGCAAGTTTAAAATTTCGATTTACTTTAAAATAGCTAATAGAATATTTGCAACATCTGCAGATTAGAAGCGTTAGCCACAACACACAATGTTACTTATGTCTTTACTAAACAAAAACACAAAATAAGGTGTCACCACAAATTCCTAGACATAGTACGGATAATCCGCACCCCGGACAATCCGCACACAGATAATCGGGATTCTACTGTAATCATGGACTTTATAATGGGATGTAGAAAGCCAGTAGAGCATTGGTTGATATTTGGCAGTAAATTAAAAATCATAATAATTTCATTGAAGACCTTTCCACAAAGTATCCTAGTAAAGTGGCTACTATAAACATTTTACAATTATGAAAAATTTTAAACTTCCTAAGAAATAGTGTTACTGAAATTCAACCATTTTAAGTTTTGAAAATCTGATTTTCTCAACATTTTTGTTCAAAATCGACATCCATCGAGTCCACTGTACACGTATAATATAAAAAGTATAAAGGCAGTTTACTCTAAACAAATGCCTTGGATCCACGAACTTAGGTCTGTGGCATCTTTACAATCGACTACAATTTCCTGGGGTGCTTCTGAATTCATAATGATCTGTGAAGCGGTTCTACCGCTTAAATAAGCCCCGTGTACAGTAGAATAGAAGTTACTGTGGGTATGTTCTCCAGCAAATAGCAATACAGGCTGTAAATAAATCAATATTAACTAACAATCTCTACTATAAATCTTGAATAGCATGTCACCTCACCACAATTCTCTGATTTTTAATATTAGAAACAAAAAATTATAAAAAAGAGAGTTATAGGTATCACAAAGTAGTTTTTTTTAGTTAGTCCATTTAAGCTTTTCAGTATATCTAATAGTTCTCGAGATTCCTGCAATGTGAAACAAATTTCATTCACCCTGTATATACTGATTAAAAGAGGACAAGTGAGGATTTTCCACGATTAGAAAAAAAAATGTTTTTTAATCTTTGTTCATCTAAATACTAAGCACATTTAATTAAAAAGAAAATGTGAATGTCATTTATATACTTTCAGCGAATATTTGGTAAGTGAAGACTCTTTCGATTGTATCAATATACACGTTCCTATGTGTTTTTCACAAGATTCTTTGTCTGCTAGTGTGTAGTCTTTGGAGTTTGTGAATGAAGCAAAAAATCATAATCATCTACTCGGATACATTTGTTTATACTTGGCAAATATTTGGCAAGCGACAACATCATCCGAACACAGCTTAAGAGTAGTACCAACAGAATTAAAGTTTCATTAAAGATATATTGGGTTGCTAACCCAGAACGATGAATCTTACCTTAGTCTCGTTATCGTCTAAATATAAAGGTTGTGCTAGATACTCTATATCTACTTGCGAGGCTCCTACTGCAATGGCAGTGTATGATCCTCTGGTGTACTGTTGACTATGCCAGCTTGTACTAAAAATCGATACAGTAGATGACAAAGTTAAAACTTCTTTCGTAGAAAAAACTGAGGGGTAACCGCTGAGAGTTAAAAGGAATATGTAGGAAATGACAAGGACGATGTAAAAGAATGCGAGGCAAGGAATAAATGGTAAAAATAGAGAAAAGTTTTAGTTTAAAATAGCTTACCAAACACAGCGCTTTGGTTTTGGTATAAACGGGTCATTTAAAAACTTCCTTAAAATAGAGGTACAGGTATCGATGACAATATCGTTGGGAAGCGTCTCCATGTATTCCGCCTCCTTGCCGGAAATCCATCCCAATATCAAAGTCTCCGTAATCTTTGCAAAAGAATAAATTTTCTTATACCAATTCTTGCTAATATCGACCGTTTTCTCAGTTTCAGGCTCCCACAACAATAATACCTCCGTAATACTTGGGTGTAAAAACGGTCTTTCGTACTCTAATAAAATCTTATCTACAGTTCCAAATAACAACCTATCGATTGCTTCTAATTTATAATCAGGCAAAGAAGGTTGAAATATAGTATTTGCATTATGCTTTAAAACACCTAAGGGTAATGTACATATAACATGTTCACCTATAAATTTCTTGCCATTATCACAGACAACTTCCACATTATGTTTAAAGGATTTCTCACAACTCGATTCTCGACTAGATGAAGGAGACTCTATAACCGTTCTGTCAGAATCGTCAGAGTCAGAATCATCTTTGCCTGACTTTTTATTACAATTCCATTTAATAAGTTTAACTGGGTGTCTTAACAATAAATTATCCTTAGGAATAACCTTTCGTAAAGGTTCTAAAATGGAACTATAACCATTTGGTAAAACTATATTGCCCCCTTGTAGCTCGGTATAACTACCAATTTCCATCAAATCAATTTCGCTCATATCATCGCACCCAGAAATACATGTCTCACGCTTTAACAAACACTCAAATAAAAGTTCACGTAAATGTCTCTCCTGGGAATCTTTAATTTTATCCAAATACAGACTAGCCTCTAATTTAATATGTTCTCCAACACTATCGATTCCTTCAGGTGGGAGATACTGTGATATGAAGTACTCTTCACATCTTTTCAAGAAACATAGATATGCTTCGTATATCTCATGTAAGGTAGTAAACGGTACTTGTTTACCTTGTTCAGTAGCTGCTACAACTTTGTGCGGTTTGGGGGATGCCATGATATCAACTAAACCATGCTGCATCGCCAGTTCATACACTGGATTACCCAAAACACCATGGATCCAGTTGGCTCCCAGTTCAATTTTCTCATTGCCTATTGGTAACTGAAATATTCTACCACCTATATGACCCCTTGCTTCTAATATTTTGAATTCTGATACCCCATTTTTGGTTAAATGATAAGCCGCTGATAAACCTGCCATTCCAGCACCAATTATAATTATTTTGGTGTGAACATTATTGTCTGATTCAGCGGTCCCATTTTGTTCCATTTTATTTATTAAGTGACATTAAATAACATTTGAAGTCTTTATCAGCTGAGAAATGTCAAAATGACAATTTGTCAACATTTAAAACATCACAATTCTGTCTTCTGTCGCAGAATGCAGTGAGGGAAGGAACATGTAAGGGTACGTTCACTTGGGCGAATTAGAATGAAACGAAAGCTACTCTGTTCCATAGTATCGAAATTTAAACACTGGAAAACGCGTTGGCCATTAATTAAGGATTTATTAGATCAGATACTAAAAATTTTTGTTCGAAATATAGACAAAGATGCAAAAATGAAATAAAGAGATTAAAAGGCTTAATTAATTAATATTAAAATATTTAGTCCAATGCTAATTTATCAAATATAGTGGCTAGATTAAATATAGTCACTGTACTACCAAAGAGGAGACCTCGGATCGAATCCGTTTTGCTATGCTCTAACCTAATAGGCCCGCGAAATTGAAACGTTTTAAACTAAAACAATTAGATATAATTTAATAGGTACAAAATAGAAAAAAAAAACATCCAAGTAAGGTGCTATATGAATTTTTTTATGACATAATTTTAAATAATTCTGCTAATTAAATAAAAATATATATCCTTTAGATTGTTTTTGAAAAAATATACTTAACTTGAATATATTTGGTTTTGAAAGTTCATTCTCTTAAAAAAAATCAGCTATATGTACATATCCTCTACTTGGGTTGTAAGTAACGTGCCTACATATTTTATCAGTCACAATTAAGGATTAGTCATAGGTATTCTTCTCGGTTTACAACTTTTGTCTTTTTGTATGAATCATAATGTCTATAACCATAAATAACATCAATGCATACGGTCGCGTCGCCTGTCCTGCTTTCCCTCTACTTCCATAATTCCGATTGATTCCGTCACTGATAATTTTAAGCAGATGACAGAAATTTGAAGCCTGCTCGAAAACGGAACAGCAGCAGAAGCAGAACTGCAGAACATGAAAACAAATCAGATTAATCAGAAAATAACTCAGTCGTTCCTTGTATAGTGTATTGTGTTGATGGTAGTGTGTATTGTATTTCTTATTTTATGTACGATCGTGTTTTATTTTACGATAAATAAGCATATTGTGAAAGTGACTACTCTGCTATTTAATTAATGTAAGTTCTAGATTTAATTTTCTGATGTATTGGTGTTGAATAGATATTACACAGTATACTACCCATAAATTTTGTAGAAATTAAACCATTAATTATTCTAATTGGATTTAACGTCTTATTAGGTCGACTTAATCAGATCTGTCCACAAAAATGAAAAATAAATGTAGGTACAGTGATACGTAAAATGTCCCTAATTCTTAAATACCAACATTTTGTATTTTTCCCTTTCTGAACAAATTTATTTTGTAGAGTAGATTGGTAGAGGGTACACACCCCTTTTTTATTTTTAAGAAATATCTACCTGTGCCAATTTTTGTATTTAATTTTTTATGCATAGGTACTATATCTAACAATAGTTGCTATAGAAGTTATGATTGCATTTATAATCTTTCACAGCTATTGACATTTTCTTATTGACCATACTAGTATCTATATATGTAGATAGTTTTATTCTATATTTTTCGTATTATTTAGTCAATAAATTTGTGCTTTGCTGTACCATGCTTTTCAAGCTTTTAGGCCTATGTTTTTGCTATTTATAGTACTTTGCCTGAATATAAATAAGGGCTGTTATGTATAAAAATACTTTTGAAGGAAACAAGAGCATGCATGACCCCTTTAACAGTGAGTTAAGATAACTTTTAAACAAGATGGTCTTGTTTTAATAATATGAAAATGAATATCCATACATACACACAAAATGAGAAATTATTTTGGGAAAATCGGTTTTTATTTTTAATTTCCAATTTTTTTATAATGAGCTGTTGGAACTGTGTTATTATCAATTTCTTTAATGGAAAGTACCTAAGTAGTCGTCTTTATCAATGAACCTACATAACATATTTATTGTATAGTTAAAGTCTCAATTCCCAATACCTGTTAAAATATTAAGTAGGATATTTATTTAAAACCTTGGCAATGAAAAAAAAAACAAGTTGTCTTCATAAATTTTTCTCGACTACAACACCTATTTAATTGACAGGGTGAGAGTACAAAGAAAGAAATTATATGCATACAGTTTGCATCAACACATTTTTGTAACACTGAGACTTTTATTACGCATCGTCGACAATAAAACAGGTGTGTAATGTTTACGTGTCTACACTATAGAATTTGTCTTTCCAAAAATAATTAAAACGATTTTACCTAATTCTTATATGGTTGTTTTCTATTGAAAATAAATAGGTAGGTATTTATTTGCATAATGTTTTTAAATCGCTATTAATTTGTTTAAAAATTTCACATTTTTCTGTTTTGCTAGTATTGTTAGTTTAATTAAGCTATAAGGAGAAAATATAATAACTATATATGTATATTTTTTTCATAGCTTGGGTGGCTGACATATCGTTTTCTTCTTCAGAAAAAAATCAAAAACTTTTTTCTTGCTCTTTGTCGCTGAATAAAAAAATTTCCAATCAACGTTTTATGTATATAGTTGCATTAGTTCGTCTTGAGTTACCGAAATGAATACCTTCTGTCCGCTCCACAATATATAGACCACACAAATATAGAACCGACAACAAACCAGCAATGTCGAGCTTCTTAATTAAGTCTCTTGCACCCGAACCATGTCGAAAATTTCATCCAACTTATTTTTAGTTAAAATTCCAATTTCAGTATTTGTAATAAATCATCCTTTATAAGATTTTTTGTTGTTAAATACTTGTTTTTATTTTTTAACGAATTGTAAAAACGCGTAAATCAAATTTGTTTTTACTTGACGCAGTAAACAGGCAAGAAAAATATAATGTACACAATTTCTCGAAAACTATTCCTTATTTCCTAATAGGTCAGGAAAATAAGCTGTGTAATGACCATTTCGCGACTTTTTGTTTGGGCAAGCTGAATTTACCACTATAGATGCTAAATATTATGTACAATAACATATTAGTTTCCACAGTCATAAAAATGGGGGGGGGGGAGATTGTTTACAGCGTGGTTAATTGTACAATTTTTACGTAAATTCACGTTTTTCGCTTATAACGTTTTTCCGATCATTTCCACGATAATACAGCAAAGTACTTTTTTTTCGTATTTATTATGTATTATGTATTTCTGCGACAAATCGCCACAATGTACGACAACACTGTATTTGCCTATGCAATGTAAAAAATATAACATAGTGCTTTTTAATTTCTTGGGTGATAAACTTTACCCTTTACATTAAAAGCTGCACTTTACTCTCTTGGTGTACAATGTCTTACTTATTTTGGAATGGATATGGTAAATACATTTTTAAATGAAGCAAATAGTATGAAAGCGATAAGTTTTGCTTTTTAACTGTCTACTTTTTACTTTTTGTTACGTAGATTGTGACACTTATTCACAGTACGTAGCGAATTATTAATTTGATTTCTCTTTTGAAGTCTGCAACTGCATTTAATTTCATGCACGATGTCACTGAAACAAGCAAAATCCGGAGTGTCTCATCTAATTTTCGAAAAGTGTGGCTGCTTCTTGTTAAAAATGCGATTGAAAAATTATTCAATTTTTTCCATTTTTCGCTTATTTGACTCATGCCCAATATATCACTAGCACTAATGCAAAATCAGATTCAGGATAGGGGTGACAATGTTGTTTGAATCACCCAGTATAACAGTTATCGTAGCTACTATGTTTTCTGCTAAATTTTGTGGGGTAATTATTCTTTACAGGATAACAGGAGTCAGGAGTTATATAGTATAAAAATTAAACTTAATAGAAACATTAATTCCGAAAAAAAGAACTTTTCCTGTATTGCGCGACTGACATATCAGATTTTATGTGTAACAATTATCGGACATTACAGAAAACGACCTGTATCTCTTAAATGAACCAAGATATCGAAACTAAAATCCGGTTTTCTCGAAAATCACGCTTGAGGGACTTTTATACTGCTGTTTGCTCGTCTATTCGAGAAATAAAGCATTCCTTCAGAAACATTGTTAAAAAACGATTAACATTTTATTTTGTACTTTCAACTTGTTTGGTATATCGCATCTAAACGTACCATTAAATACTAGTTTCAATGGACAATCTAAACAGAAGCATCGTTACGTCACAATGCAGTCTCCTCTAAACAATCAACCTTCACATTCACAGCTACTTACGGCCTCGTTTTGTTGACTTTTATTAGAAATTTCAAACTTTTAAACATATTGCGTATACAAATTGTTAATTTATACCCACTGACGTATACAAAACACATCATGCTCTACTTTCTGGCATCGCATGCCAGGATATTCAATTACACAGTGAAATGATACCTATAAATATAAATAATTGGGCGTAATCAAGCGTGCGATTGAAAAACATGTACCTGGCTTTTGTTACATTTTATCAATTGTTTACTTTTAGTCGTAGTAAACTGAAACATTGTATTTCGCTCGATCGAAACGATGTTTCTGTTGCTAAAAAACAGTTGATTTTTGGATTTTTATTGGGCTTGAATGGAAACAGTTTAGAATAAATCATATTCCATTTTCATCGAAAAAAAAGTATAAGCTATAATTTGAACTGAAAGATGTTAATGAAATAACCAAATGGGTTTTCTACAACCCCTTAGGTATTCATATTAATTATATTTTCTTTTAGGAACCAGATTTACTATTAAGTTATAGTTAGATCAAATAAATTATTTAACAATACATATTTTTTAAATAAATATATACCCACTTTTCCGCTGATTTTTTGAAAAATAGTCAAAACTTAGAAATTATTTCGCGCTTAACGGTGGAATAAATATTTGATATTTATTTTTTTAACAACAGTGAATTAAGTACACTTTAATAAACACTTTTTGGCAATTTGAAATATTTTTATTAATTTTGTCAAGGTACATTGTAAATATTTGTGTAGTTAAATATAGTTGCAAATTCAAACGTTTAACATAAATATTATATAAAATCGTGTAGGAAAATATACACACTGGGCATGTCTAGATCTAGAATATGATGCTCTCGATGGTGCCAAAGTTACAGTGGCGAATTTCTTCAAAGCTATACGCTTTTTAAAGTCCTAAAGGTATTTTTTACCCAAAAATGCTAAAAATGTCTCCTTAACATACTTTTTAATAATGTGATATTACGCCGTGTGATTTCTTTTTGTGGCCTTACCTTAAAAACACTATTTTTGAACTGCCTATTCCTGATTTAAACCATCTGCAGACTCGACTTATAGACAAGATTCGTGAAATTAACAATACCCCGAGCATCTCAGAAAATGTCTTTAATTCTTTGAGGAACAGGTGTGAAAAGTGCTTGGAACAAGGAAGGGGACACTTTCAGCAGCTGCTTTAATTTATTGTTATAACAAGGAGGGGGACACTTTCCGCAGCTCCTTTAATTGTTTGTTATTGTTATCACGATTTTTCTTTAAAATAAAGTTATATAGTCATTAACGTTATTGAAACTGACAGCTGCTATACAGCTCGTTGAGAAATGANGCGTATAGCAAATGAACTTAAACGTCATCTGTGATTTCGCTATATCGCCGCTATCAATTTGAATATTTTCGTTTTAAAAAGCGTTTAAAATGGTGTTTTCTCAAGAACAAAAAGTGTTTATCATAGAGTCCTACTTTAGAAATGGACGCATCTTAGAAAATGTCTTTAATTCTTTGAGGAACAGGTGTGAAAATTGCTTGGAACAAGGAGGGGGACACTTTCAGCAGCTCCTTCAATTGTTTGTTATTGTTATCACGATTATTCTTTAAAATAAAGTTATATAGTCATTAACGTTATTGAAACTGACAGCTGCTATACAGCTCGTTGAGGAATGAGGTTAAGTTGGTCGCTATAAGCTACTCCCTACGTCCAATGTGTCAGAGCCAACCTCGACCACGTTTTTATTTGAACGCTCGTTATTTGCACTATATTTTTAATTATCTGTCATCAAGTGGGCTACCAATTTTCATTCAATTTATAATTTTAACAGAATATTGGCTACACTAAATATACCTATATTGATATACCTACCTACCTAATGATCAACGTCCTTTCTAATTTTTTATATACAATCTAGGTCTTTCACTCTCTAGCAACTAACACAAGACTGTTATTAAATAATTAAACCTCGGAAGTATACCTTGACTCAAATCTTCTCAAGGTCATTCTATACTTGACCCTTAACTGTAAAATAGACTTAAATAAAGGGTTTTTTGGCGAGGAAACCGCTAACCCGGTTAACTATAGTTTGTTGAGGTTTGACGTTTTGGCGAGAAATGTAGTTAACCCGGTTTGGCAGAGTTTGCCTAACCATCAAACCGGACTTGTGGGTTGGTTTGGATATTAAGTTAATATTTCTATCTTTGTTTATTTATTTTCTGTTTCGTACCATCGTACCTAGTCACTACTTCGTTTTTTTAGAGGTTTGGATAGGTATAAGTTGTAAATAAAAAAAATTGATAATGGATTAACTTTGCAAAAAATACAAAGTAAATATTTAAAATTGATAATAAAAAAATAGTAATCGAGGATCCAAATAACTTTAATCGTAGATATGCATATTCTATATTGTACTGTATAGATCTTTATTAACTTCCTTTTTGACGATACATTTACGTGGGAATAGATATTTGTGAAAAGGTAAACCCATTTTGATTTAATAACCATCTATACATTAACGTTATTTCATGGATGTGCATTTCAGATTAGGAATAACAATTATAGTATATAAGAAATAATCAAACAACTTGAGCTACGAGCACTATCATAGATTATAGGTTACGATTTTATTATTGATTAGATATCCAAACCAAAAGAATTTTTGCGAGTTCTGTCAAATGTTAACTCAAACTCTTAACACAATCAAACTCGAGCTAACCGGGTTTGATGTGGTTTGGCTCGCCAAAAAACCCTTATATAGTTTTGTAACGTTTTATTTGTACATAGTGAACCAAAAAATAAATCTGTTATCCGAATATGTGAAAATAAAAATAGTGTCTATGTTATCAAGATTTTTACTACCTACAATAGTGTCTAGTCTAAAATAACACGTTGAAGCTTTATTTTTATAGAATTTCATTTGTAAATTTTAGTTCACTCTGAAGCTGCGATTTTTTGGGCTACTTTAGGGACATATTTTATGTCTCATTTGTGTAAGTATGACCTACTCGTACCATTCTCAACTCCCGATGTAATGCGTAATGCTTTGCTAATTTGTAAAACAGAATCTGCAGAACCGACGCTTTTTATATCAGGAATGGCAAGCGGGAACGTAACGATTAAGTCTGGCATACAAACTATGTGATATTTTACGTCTCATTAGCGCCCATGTGAAATACATACGGGGTGTCCCGAGGAGAAGTGCACAAACTTTAAAGGAACATTCCCCGGACGAAAATAAGCAAAAAAGTTTATATAAACTTCTGTCGGGAAGTGTATAATTTTCGAAATATAAGCCCTCAAATTTACTATCTCAGAAAGTATTTTAATTGTTATAAATATGAGAAGGTCAGCCCCTTTTTTAAAATGTAACTATGATTTTTGGTGTATCTTTGTATATTTTGTTAAAGCAACACACGAAAAGTCTTACCTATTTTTTGTCTATCCTGAAATATGGTACAGAATGCTTTAACACCCTGTATTTAATAAGAGTCCTGTCAAAGATTTATTTAATTTACAATAATTCTATAGATATCAACATTTTGCATTAAAGCATATAAATTTGATAGCAATCGGCATAGGCAGGCATAAAAAAGTAATGTGGTCAAAAGGTAAACAGTAAACAGTAGGCACTTCTACCAAAGTGTACAGAATATTTATTCTGTAAACTTTGCTTCTACTATCTTATTACGAAAGCATTGGGTTCTCAGAAATTTTAAAAGACGGCGTTTACAGCTTCAAAAATTCGACTTTTTAGTACTTAACTGAAACTTATCTCAGCTAATGTTAGTTCTTCCGATTGCAGATGATTGGACAAATTAAATGAAATTTACTTAAATTTTAGAATTTTTCCAAAATTTTCATATATTTTCGAAAGTACGTGTCTAAAAACATTTGAGAACTACTGCTTTAAACTTTCGAGGTGACTCATCAAATGGATTAATTAAATAAATTGAGTATAATAAAACAACCTTGATAATCAATCATAACAATAACGGCATCTTGCAGCCTGCCTTCTACCTTATCATATCAGTGTATCATGTTTTACTTTTAAATTTAAGTCGCCTACAAGTAAAGTACGTTCATAGATTCAGGAGAATGGTTAAAGTTGAATTTTTAATATATCGCGTCTGTAATAATAAAAAAATAAATTGTTTTAAAGATAATTATTACGAAAATACATAATAAATATTAATTATAAGAAATAATCATAATTAATAGGTAATAAAAGTGTATTAATTTCATTCACTTTCACTATCAGTATCATCATCTATGTTAATGATAAATTCACAATATGAAGAGAATGTTTTACATGTGAAACACAATTTCATTTTTCCTGCTATTTATAAGTACATAGTTGTTTCAAGTAATATCTAATTATTGGTATAAAAGAACATTGCTAACACGAAAAAGTTTTGAATTTGTTTGAATTACCTTAATAAATTTATAATAGAGTAAAAATATGTTCTTGGTTCACATAATGTTAAGTTTACAAGATTCTCATCTATTTATCCCATCAGAAATAGTTTACTTGTTTGGTTCCACAAAGTTGTTATTTTTAGTAAACATTTTACGTGAGCAATAAATTCATTTGCTATTAGCTGTTTTACATTGCGATTCATAAATTATTTCTTCAAATAGTTTCGTGGAGAAATTGAAGAACTGTAACGCACCAAATCTGTTATCAAAACTTCATGAATTTATTAGATAATTTCTTCACGAATTAAGAACCTGTTCTATTTTTGTCAAGTTCTTGATGAAGTTTAGAACAACCAACAAATAAACAGTTGGTAGTAGATATATCTTTTTACGAATAAATCAGTGAATTAATTTATAAGAAACGTTGTAAAGTTATTCATGAATAAATTGTATAGATTTAATCTCTAATTTTACGATGGACATTAACAATTCGAAGCAGCTAATCATTCTCTTAAATCTATTAATATACTTTAGATGATTACCGTTACCAAATATGTAAACATAATTTGTAAATTACAACATATTTTTTATTTTTATCGTTAGATGCGCCATTTATTTTTTTAAATGGATGTTTTACCAAATATGAACATTATGTCACAATCAGTATTCATTTTTATCTCTCTAATCTAAGATTATTTTTAGCATTTTACAAGTTAAATATTATCTCAGTGTTAATTCCTTCCGTGAGTCATTTTCTTAGAAAATGGATTACCTACCCACAAATCTATTATAAATTTGTTCAGGCTTGTATATTGTATTGTATTTTAGTGATATTAAATTAGTATTCGATGCACATTTTTTGGAATATGATGGAATTCATCACGTATTTTTTTACGGTCATTTTAATTTACAAAATTTTGTACGTATTAGTATTCATAAAGCCTTTACCTAAAATATTCAAAGAAATTTTGGCAAATGTCCATATGGCCCTGATTTTTTATTTAGATTTAACACGTTGACTGCGGTACATACCCCGGGGGGTATGTACTCATTATAAAAAATATGCGAATCTCAATAATCACATTTTTACTGTATCTTGTGGAAGTTGCAGAATTTGTAGTTTTTAGAAATAATGATTTTTCTATTATTTTCTTTTCAAAACTCTTTGCGAATGAAAACGTTAGTATCCTAGGATATATAGTTACAGATACATGCAAGTTTATAGCAATAATTGTGTTATTTTTAATTTTATAGGGTCAAATGTAAAAAAAATTACATATCCCCAGGGATATGTACCGCACACAGAAGAAGTTTTGTTACATATCCCCGAAGATATGTATCGCAGTCACGGACAAAGTACATTGAGATTATCTCGCAGTCAACGTGTTAAGGGGGAAAATTTTAGAAATTATACAGGGTAGTCTTAAAATCGTCTCTTGGTATTTTTTATAGTCACAAAATTAAATTTTCTTCGTAATTTTAGTATTCCATGTTTTAAGTTTCACAATGCCGTAGCTTTAAGAAAAATGAGAATTTTGTGAAAATTAAGAATGCTTATGTCTATTTAACATTTGATTGTTAAAAAAAATTGAGGCAAGACTACACTATTTAAATCCTTTATTTCCCAAACTTCATACCAAATTATTTCCTCATGAAAGTGTGCATATAAGTCATTCCCTAAAAATCAGTTTCCCACGCTTCATTAACGAAATATGGTGACTCTAAATTTCACTAGCCATCGCTATTTTTAAGTAAAGCTAAATTGTGATCAATTATTAGCGTAGACTGTTCACTTATAGATCCTGTTTTGCCTAGTACATTGTTTATATCTAACCAGAATTATTCGTTGCAGCAAAATGACTGAATCAAATGAATCTGAACAAGTCATCATGACGCCGAAATGTAAAACTGCCAATTCCACCACCCTCATCATCGAAAGGAGGAAAATTGTGAAAACAGACGATAAAATGCATGTAGCCGGAGGGGAACATACAGGGATTATTATTAATAAAGAAGCTTCTACAGGTAAACGATTTATCTGTTATTAGTTACCTACTTCACGTTTTTCACATTTTAGCGAATGGCGAATCGGCTCCGGCACAGCTCTCTTTAGAATTCAGAGTATTTTTAGTAAATAAGGAAACAGGTAAACATACGCCTGAATCTCGTACCTTAAGGTTCTGGTTTAGGCCTGCGAAGGCCGACCAAGATGATGTCGATGGAGAACAGGCTGGTACCGCTCAGGACTTTTTCCGAGAGTTGGTCAGTCCTCAGGAATTTCCTAGAGGTAGGATTCAATTTTCTAAAAAATTTGGAAAATATATGGTTTGAAATGTCCTGCAAAGGTTGTCGACCTACTTATTTAACACACCCTATAATTGTCAGAGACATCTCAACACCTCTTCATAATGTTACTTCTCAGTTAATGGAATATTAATATAGAATTCTCAGAGTTCCTAGGTTAAAATTACACAAAAATTCCAATTTAGATCTTTTTAGATTTTTTTTATTGAATTGCGTTAATGTCTCCCCGAAAATTATACGCGCCAACTTTAATAAATATTTTTCAGATTACGTCGGTTTTATAAAAAAAATAATGAAACTGATGCAGCACAACTACCAAAGCATAATCAAGTTAGAAGTAGAACTGAAGCAACTGCAAGAACCTGTCGAGGTCCCATCTAGGCCACGTAAGTTTTATAAATCAGAAAAATTATGTACCAAATAGATTCGTGGTTAATGACTTTCATAAATTTTTTATAGCGCCACCTGGCTACTGTCATATCCACCTCAGTTCCCCCACTTTGTATCACTCAGGTTTGGGTTGCTTTTGGGTGTTATACCGCAAAAATAATCAAACTAACAAACCAGTGCAGTCCTATTTTCTGTTTTGTGAAATTGCACAATATGTCGTATTAGGTGTTAAATAATCAAGTAACCTTAGGCTTTATGTCATTATGATTTAGCGAGATTTTTATTTTTATTTGATAAAGATTGTGTGAAAGCGAATGCGATTAATTTGAAAACAATTTAATAAATTCAGATTGTTCTTTGAAAGAATTACATTTTTTCGGAAATGATCTTTGAAGTGACAGTATAAATATCTGTATCTCAAATTCCGTATATTAGTCGGATCTTTGTTATAGTTTTGCTGAATTTTATTAGGCCTTCAAATGTCTTCTGCATTTTATAAATATTTCAGTTTATCTCTTGTGATAACCAAGATGCTAACGCTGATGCTTGAAATTTGGGATGTAACTAAAATTAAAATGCCAACACTTAATAACTTTTTTACCTCATTTAAGTAAGTTGAAAATTTAATTAGTACCAAAATTATTTACTTTTCCGTTAATTTATAATAATTTAAGTCTATGCAGGAAAGTCAAAGCAGCTAACTATTAAGTCCCAATAAATGAATGATTCTCAATAATAACGGTTCATATATTTATACATACTTGCATGTACAGTAGGGTGGACCAAAAAAAACTAATTTTTTTTCGTGTCTTGTGAAAATATGTTAGTTTATCATGTTTTAAGAGCCCCCTCAAAAAAATCAGCTCAAAAAATTTTTTTTAAAAGGTCGCTCAAGATTTTTAAAAATTTCCATAATCGTCAAAAATTGAATTTTTTTTTAATATATTTTCTCGTTATTTTCTCATTTTCTAGGTTGAAAAAAATCTCGATTCTGAAAATTTCAAATCGATACTTTAATTTCTAAAGGCACTCATAATTATTTTAACTTAGAAGTTTTGTACCTAAAATGTTTTCGAGCGACCTCTAAAAATAAATATCAACGAACTAATAATTTGTTTTATTGAATTTGATGAACACAAGAATAGAAATAAAGGCTCTGTAGGCTTGCTACATCTGGCCGATAAGGGATCAAAGTGAACATACACGTGAAATTGTTTGAAATTTTCCTAAGACTTTGGCCCTTACCATGTTTTCTAAATGAAAGATCAAAGAAAATTAGAATGTCGTGTGAATATCGCCGTACGTATCTTACATTCTTCATTTTGTTTTCTAGTATCCACAGAAGAGAATTCGCTGGGCAACATAGTGGTGCTTACGATTGAAAAAGTTTTAGAAATAATAGAATCGTCATATCCTAACCCCATTACAATTAAAGATGTAGCCAAGTAAGTAAAAGCCTGTACAATACAGCAAAACTTATTTACATGTATGGATGTCACGATTTTTCTGTTTAATTTTAGAGAAAATGGTTGGGACGAAGAAGAGGTGGCTCAGTGCCTTGCCGCCCTCCAGTCCCGACAGCTGGTAAAAGCCATGGACCACGGAGCCTTTACAAGGCAACAATCGCAGCAAGACTCCCACCAAGTAACCATTGTGAAACAAATGCCAACGATGGTAAGCTCAAAGCAACCGAGTATTGCTATTATCACCGCTCAATATTGTGAAAAGTTGGCTGTGGACGCTATGATCGAGAATAAAGAGACTTTCGTTCGGTACACTACGATCGGTAAGTAAATTTGAATATTACTTGTCGAATATTATTACCCCTCTTTCTCTTTCGCATATTCCAAACAACAATGATACGACAAATTTTTAAGGTGGCGGAGAAACTAAAAAGTGATATTAGTTAACTTAACTGGTGAAACTAATTTATAATCTGTAATTGACGTAATCATTGTTAGTTGAATAAGGTTGTTAGAAATTATTTTTTCTAAGTCTATTTTGCAACTACAGAATCTTTCTAGGCCAAAAAACCTAATACGCTAGGTCAATACTTGATTTTTATAGCCAACTACAGAGCATTCATAAATGATTACAAGCCACGTGACCAGCAATTTTATTTGGAACAGTAATTTTATTGACGTTTTCAGTTAAATTCACAACATTCTGTTTCACCAGCTGTGATTTACGACTAATGAGAAAAGGGGAGATTTAAGGATTTTTAGTTGACAGTACCAATCGTGCAATGTTGGTTGCTTATAATTGGCAGTCATGTGGCTTGTCAAGAAAATGTATTTTTATTTATTTATTTATGTGAGCAATTAGTTAGTGTCTCAATGGAAACTGTTTCTCATTTTATAAAAAGTTTTTGTTTCATTTGAAATAAAAATTGTCCTTTAAAAATGTAGAAAAGTGATATACAGGCTGTTACAAATTCGCTTCTCACTACAGGGATCTCGAAAATGGTAAGAGATACAAACTAGCTTAAATGGGGGTAAAGTTGCGTATATTTCGAAAACTAATCTTGTTAGCCTTGATTTTTTAGAGGCATAATGTTGGTCTCCTGAATACGTAACATTGCCCCCATTTAAGCTACTTCGTACCTCTTACCATTTCCGAGATCCCTCTAGTGAGAAGCAAATTTGTAACAGCTTGTATATGTCGGGAATGTGCAAAAACTCAAATGCTCTTCAAGGATAGATTACTTTTACTTTAAATCTTGCCAAAAAAATTGTTTGGCATTTGACAAGTGGTTTTTGCTGTTTACTAGATACTGTGAGTGTAATTAAATGCTGTTATTATTTAAAAACCATGTTTTTAAAAATCCGTCTGCACATTTAGGAAATGGTGCATTCTTTTTGTGAAAATTAATAAATGCAAAAATCCTTTAATTCTTCAAGTCCACAAATTAATGAGAAAATAAATAGTTTCAATTGCATTTTCTCATAAATTGTCTTATTAAGAAACTTAAAAACTTTTTTGTTGCTAGGGCCTAAAGTTACTTCAAAGTAAAAATAGACTTGTTTCAACGATTCAAAACAAACTGGTCTCGTGCATTTTAAACCCAAAATCAAGTTTTTGATTGTTAAATTTTGGGAACTATCAAGAACTGAGCATATTATTCGTCCATCATTCCTTCCATTGGTTACAATGTGATACGACATTAAATAAAACAGTATGAAAGAGTTTGTTAAAAACATAATTTGCAAATGTATTCATTTTCCAATTGTATTCAGGTTTTGGGTATCACATGTACTGTGTATAATGTATGCTTAATCTTCTGTAAAACCTTTGTCTTACAAACAAAAAAGTAGTTTGAATCTTTCAGCAAATATTTCAGTTTCATATGCGATATTCAAAGGTGTAGAAATTTAAGAAACTACATTAGCGATTCTTTTTTATTGAATATTTGTCGTTAAAGAATAATTATTTTTCTCGACATATCGCATACCAGAAAACTTCATTACCTGTAAACGGAAAGTTATTTATTATATAAAAACGTGTTAATGAATTCATGTAAATAGTAGAACATGTAGAAAAGAATATAGAGGATTCACAGATTAATTACTAAACTAAATATAAAATATAGGTCCAACCAGTCCGACAGGAGAAACGAGACCACGATTCGGTAAGATTAAGAGGAGGGTTAGCTTCATCACTTAGAATGGGAATTGTGCACATTTTGTGATGTCACCAAATGTTTTATTTGTACATACAATTCACAGGTCACCTCATCACCTTTTCTTTGTGTAATTTGTACATATGCTTCTATTATGCATGGACGACAGGTGCTTTATACAAATGGGCAGAATAACTAGAATAGAGAACTAAATAAGAGACGATATTTCTCTGCGTCATTTTATCATTCGTTAAAATTAATTTTGGTTAAGTCGAATGAATTTCGTATCATCCCATTCTAATATTCACAGGGATACAAATTTGAAATTTAACTAGCATAGATTAAAGTCATATTGATTTAGTGCTATCAACTTCGAAATGGAACACCCAGTATATATTTACACAGTTCGACAGAATGACTGTGACATATAGTTTGAAAAGAATATGTAATATGACGCAGTACTTAAAAAACTGGCCGATTTTCTAAACTCTACAGATTTCCAGCTAATGAGTTGTAAATAAAAAATTAATTTGTTGCCTTTTGAGTTGTTAACACGTTTGTCGACACATTTTTATCTGCAAAAATACCATTCATCTTTAACATAGTGGTATGATTTATATTAGCACTTTCAAAGGTGGACAAATGTGCAAATATTTTGCAAATCGATGTAAAATTGGAGGTGCATCTCTTCTGACTTGTCCCATTTTTAGTACCCCATTTCAGAACTATGCTCACAGGGACATTATTTTCTGTTTTCACCAATATTTCACCTAAATATTGTGGACCTAATTTTTGTCGCGATCTGTCCAAATTTTAATGTGAAACGGATATTTCTTTATCACTATCGAAATGTCTAATTTTTTTAAGCCTGTGTACAATATGCTGCATAAAAAATATCTTCACCCTAGATTATTGAATAGCAGCATCTTTCACAAATCGATTTTTAATATTGCCCACGAAGAAATGTATTAAATATTAACACACACTGTATTGCACTTTCATTACAATTAAGCATCTTGCCACCATTATTGCATTCATTTTTTTTCATGATATTTCACATCAGTTTTCGGTTCATTTGATTTGAAGAAGAAAAAAATCGTTTTAACTGAACCTCGCTATTAGGCATACTTTGTACAAAAATAATAATAATAATAATCTTGTGCTAATGTTAAAAAGGGTGTTTAAAAAAGGACTGGAGTGATTCTTTTGATTTAAATGATGTTTTTTTTTGTCTGAATAATACTACCAATAGGCAAAGGGGCCTTTGAATAAAAATATTTATAGTGTTTTGTCATTGGAGATAGTACATACAGGTTCGGAAAGTCCCCATGGTACATCGGCCGTTACGTGAGAGCGATAAAGTAAGTCGTAGAAATCCGTGCGATAGACAAGGATGGTTTGCACGGATTTCTTTACTTTGTCGCTCTCATGTAAAGTCAGATGGACCATGTGAATTTTGTATATGTACGATACAAGCAATTTCTTTAATTGACTTTAAAAATTTCTGTTCAAGTGAATCTTGTGATGTATAGTCTTTCTGAAGTCAGTTAAACATGTAAAAAACGCCTGGCAATAAAATTTAATGACTTTCATAGGCGTCCCTAAAATAGTTTTCTGCTAAAGATAGAAAATTATAATAATTTGTATATAATGTGTAGAAAATTTCTATTATATGTTCATTTGGCCAACAACATATTTTAATTATTTATGTCCTCAAACAATTTTGTTATATTGATGGTAAATTTCATTTTGTTCCATTTCAAAAGGTCTCCAAAATGCCATGTTGTAATAATAGTATTTCTCCCTTTCGGAATTGTAATATCAATGATTAATAGAAGGTACCTATAATAAATTAAAATTGCGGGAATCACACCAAATTCCACATTGCTGCACTGCACTGCTGGGCAATTTGTCAGCCACTTGTCAACAGCTGAGATTCATTGCCCAGTGGCCCAATGCAGCTGTGTTTGCATTTCGTTTGCCCGTGCTCGCATTCTTCAACTGGACATATACATTTCTACCACCTCCATGTTTAGTTCGACCAGACCTGTATATGGGTATGGTTAAATAAATGTGGAAACAAGTTTTTCAAATATTTCAATGCCGAGTTGCTGCGTCAGCGACCCAACCTGGTACATGCTTTCAATCTCTTGGTACTTCAATTGATATCGGAAGGAGTATACTAGACTATGAACATGTTATTACAGAAAACTTCTTATTCAAGTAACTCGTCTTTGTCTCTATCATATAGTTGAACTTTCTATTAATACATAGATGTCCCTTAAATTAATTTAACTTTAATATTTTTTAAATTGCTATCTAAATAATGATTTTACACACGAGGTCGAGTTTTTTGCCGCATTATTTCATTTTACAGTGACAATGCGAAAAGGCGGGGAACACCCCATTTCACTGGATAAATACACACGTATTTTCCTCATTTTTGACTAACTAATCACTGTGTCAATATTAACCCTTAAATGTCCTTTGGTGTAGATTTTTTTAAATTATTAACCGTCCCTTTAGTTAATAATGCGTATAATTCTAGGTGAATCCAACGTGTACACTTTGGGCAACATAGGGGCCCACAGAATCGTCTGCACCAAACTGCCGACAGTTGGGCATACCCGCGAGGCTATGACGGCTGCGGGAAATACAACAACTCGACTGCTGGGCACGTTCCAAAAAGTCGACTACGTGTTTTTGGTCGGTGTAGGTGGTGGTGTACCGCATTACACCGACTACAACAGGCACGTAAGATTAGGCGACGTGGTAGTTTCTTGTCCTACGAAAAACAAGTAAGTGGACTGAATTTCGATAACAAACCAAATTTAATCCGGTCATTACAGGAGCATCTACTTGTACTGCGGAAACGCACGTGCGACGGACAAAGGTTACGAGTACGAAATAAAACCATACAGTCCTTCCAACTTTAATCTCCAAGAAATCGCAATGCAACTGAAATCGTCAGCGGATCAGGACGCCAGCTCTACCCCGCCGTGGCTGAACTACCTCCACGACGGCTTAAACATTCTGAGTAGCCAAAACGAACCAGACTTCAGGGCGCCTAGTAGCAGCACCGATAAGTTGTATATGAGTATCGGTGAAAGGGATTTGATCGAGGTCGCACACCCCACGCCTCAGGACAATGCTATAAAAAGGTGAGTTTTTTTGTGTTGTAATAAACTAATGTTAATTAAACTTGTTTTGATCGAGCCGTTTTAAATATTGTTCAATGCATTGCGATTTTGTAGTAATGAAAATTAATTATTGTAGCATATTTTTAGCTGACAGACGAAAATGAAATTAAAACAATTTGCACAAAGAGAAACATTTTAAATTACTGTTTATTTTTAATTTTGAACAATTTCTGTATATATCTCTATTTCTGCCTTTAATAACACAGCTCCACAAAAAAAATTCGAAAAAAGTGCGAGAACCCAGACTAGAGTTACTTGGGGTTGCTGAATCCAAATCCGAGGTCAGTTTTGCTCCGTCACGTCAGGATTTTTCATAACCTTAAAAATTAAGCCCCAAAACCCTATATCTCGGGAAATCATTAATCCCCGGGCATTTTAATCCCAATAACCCCATAACCCCTTAACACCATAAGCCCATAACTCGTGAATCCAACGACCCAATAAACCCCATAACTCATGACCCCATAACCTCAAAACCCGACCAGCAACAGAGATACGCATCTCTAATGCCAGAAAATCGCAGTAAATGGGCTGATGAGCAAAGTACCGCAAACCTCACAAAAATCAGGCACCCCGAAGGGAAATCCTACCATATCCACGTCGTTCGGCCAAATGTAGGTATAGTTTCGATAAAAAAGGGGTTATAAGATGATGGGGGTTTACGATACTTTGACCAACAGCCCACTTACTGCGATTTTCCGGCATCAGAGATGTGTGTCTCTGTTGTTAGTCGAGTTTTGAGGTTATGGGGTTATAGGATTTATGGGTTCACGAGGTTGTGGGCTTACGGGTTATGAGGTTATTGGGATTAAAATACCCGGGGATTAATGATTTCCCGAGAATTTGTAAGGTTATGAAAAATCTTGATGTGATGGAGCAAAACTGACCCGGATTTGGATTCAGCAACCCCAAAAACGTATAGTAAGACAAATCTGGGTTCTCACACTTTTTTCGAATTTTTTTTTGTGGAGTTGTGTAATCTTCAACATATAACAAATTTTCTGTCTAGATAAATGTGTAATTTATGCACATGTTCCTATTAATAATTATTTAGGTAACGTTTTGTTAATTTATAATGTAATATTATTAGACTTTGGCTAGGCATTGTAATACATCCTGTATACATTTATTTTCCATCACGATTAAGTACCCATTAAACATGTAGGTACGTTAATCGAATTTTGTATATTTCAATCTAAGGACCGTGAAAAAAGTGGAAATCAGAAGAAAGCCTTTGAAATCAGCCAGTTTACCGAAAAAGAAGACAGCCAGTGCAACACCTAAACATATTTTAAAGAAAAGATTTTTTAGGTGGGAATTCACAGTAAATGATTCATTTATGCTTAGTTACGTTTAATTTGCAACACATAAATTTATTAATTATATAACTGGCTACAAGTATTTGCACAAAGTATAGGAAAAAAAATAGTTTTTCTTTTTTTTAAAATACAAATACATTTCCATATGCAATTGTAGAGTAACGAAGTAGTCATTTGGCTCACCTCGCACCTTGTCTGTTTAGAAAAGAATAAACAAAATATTTGTGATCATTTCACAGACGTAGGAAGAGGAAAATAAGGCACATACTGAGCATCTTGCCAATTTCTCACTCCTATCACCCGTCACCACCACACTGTTTTGTTGTTGAGTCGCTCTCATCTGAGAATAAAACTGTGACAGAGAAGTCATGACATAATCTGCTAATAGTCTACACATTAGTAGAGCACATAAAAAATGATGTACCATTTTACCAAAACACACTATTGCTACAATTATAGCTGCAATAGATTACTACTGAAACAAGAGACTGTCATGTGCAAGGATGACAGTTAAGAAACAACTAATTTTAAAGCGAACAGTAGAAACAAAAAAACCACCAACAGAATATTGAGGTTATTAATCAGTGTTTTTCTTTCATGTTCAAAGTATATGTTTCTTGCATCAGTGTTTATTTCGTAAGTGTATGAATCTTTGACAATGCCTTGTACATTTTTCTACGATTTCTGACTACCGAACTATTACTGAGCGTAATTTTCGTAGCACTCTTCGTCTCCATTGGCCCATTTGTTTCAAAAGTTATCAGCAGAATTCTTATTTCCATTTTATCAAAATTTTTCGGTCACGACTGTCTGCAGACTAATTATTTTTCTGTGCTCTAGGCAAGAAGGCTGTCCGAGGATCCACCTATCTCCAATCGCCTCGGGCCGCATGGTGGTCAAAGACGACCGTCTGCGGCAACAGTTCGCGGCTCAAGTGGGCGCCCTCGCTTTCGACTGCGAATTCGACTCTGTGATCGAATCGATCCTGGGCAACTGCAAGGATAGCTTCATTTGCATCAGGGGAGTGTCGGATTACAAGGACGGCACTAGACGAAAGGAATGGCAGCCGTACGCGGCCCTGGCCGCAGCGAGCGTGATGAAATCGATTATTTGCGGGATGGAAGCACCGACAAACGTTTAACGTTATCACTAACGGTCTACTCAATTCAGTTTCTTATGGTGCCTGTTAGGCCTAAATCAATATATACAATATTTTTTATCAACAACTTTACTTTAAGTCAACGATTAATATTCTTCAGGGCACATATTTTCAATTAATTGGCGTACTATCCCATTATTGTGAACTAACTGACTGCCAGTGATAAAAACACGTGTTTGAAAAGTCATCGATAAATTAATTAATCATTAATTAGTAGATTTAGGTATGAATCGATATATGTAAGATCAAAAAAACATTTTTAGATGAAGACTAGGTTCTGGCCTTACACTCAGAGTTATAGCATGTTATTCGAAAACTTTTAATATCTATGAAAAGTTTGTAGAATTTAAAAATTTATCAAAGTTACCGTGATTTAGTGATCCTAGGAAATCTTCACGTCACCAATAAATGAATGGAGACTGTGTAATTTTAGATGTAGGAGCAAATTTCCGCCTAGAGAACTGAACGAACGTAGTAATTTTGTTTTTAAATAAACGACTGATAATTTATATAAATTAATTGACCAACAGTTAGGGTTACCAGATCCGGACGCGTGATCAGCAAATTTAAAAAGTGACGTGTTAAACCGCTAAGATGCTATTGATTTACACTTATTCACTCTAGATTCTTCTGTAGCTCGTTCAAAAGCGGCAAATTACAAATTTCTTTATAACAAAAAGTAATTCGAGTTCCAAACTCATTCCATTTTATAGAATATGTGCGTTAGAACGGAGGAAAGTCTGTTAGCGTCTCTGTTTAGACAGAGATGCAGACAAAGGTCAGTGAAGACGTCAAAATAAATTTTGTCTGTTGAAGCGTTTTCCTGGCCGATCGGGCCACAGCGGGTCGTTATTTTGCCGTTAGGCACCAGTTCCGATTTTTCAGACACTACTTTCGCTTTAAAACTAGATTTGAACATTTTCAATTTTCTGTTTACATTAGCGGAGACCCACGGATTCAAATAGCCTGTGCAGGCTTCACCCAGCGTTAGATCGCCATAGCTCATTTTGAAAACTTGCGACTGCGAAGCCGAAGATCTGCGGTTCTAATCGTGAGTGGGTCCCATTTTTTCTTTTTTTTTTTTTGAAAAATGTTATATATTATTTAAATATTTACTTACAGAGAATGCACCACAGAGCGGTGCTCGGGGGCCGAAGGCTCGAGAAAAAAGTCAAGTCCGCTTCAATGGACTTGCCTACCTTTCTAGTGTAATTTTAAATATCGACTTTTGTATTTTTTATTACGCTGTAAAATAAAAAAATTACGTTTCAACGAGCAAAAAATTTAGGATAAGTCTATTACATAAAAAATATTAAACTAAAAGATTTGGTAGATGAAAGGGTCATTTTCGACGTTAATCTAGATGAATAAAAAGACCCAGATCGAGAAACAGCAGATCTTGACGCACAATAAATTCACTAACTTGCAATTACCTGAAAGATATGCATAGGCAGATTTTAAGAGACACCCGTTCGAAATTGGATAATCTTGTACCATTATTTTCACGAGTAGAATCTAATGCTCATAATTTCTCAACACCCTGTATACAGGATACCAGGGATTAGCCTGTAAAGGATATGTCCAAGCGAAAAGGATGTCTGGTAACCCTAGAATTATGTACAACACTGACGAAAGAAATTAACACATTACTTGAAATTTCTGAGAAGTTTGAATTTCAATATTTTCTGACACATACAGGGTGGTCAGTTTTAAGGTTTACACCGTTGGTATCCCTTGAACTAGAAGATTTACAGCAAATGATACTTTGTTTACTTTTAAACAGAAACGTCAAAATTTTCATTTGTTTTTTTCATGGCCACTACGATTAAATCAAATAAATCATAAAATTGGTCCTTAATAAAATCTATTCACTCAAGTGTTATACATCGTTAAACTCAAAATTTAATGCTTCATATACTGACGCAAAAATCCAATATGGCATCCATAAAAAAGTTGAAGGTTTATGCAGGGGCGGCTTTAGATAAAATTTTCTCCCGGGCGAGAAGGTAATTTGGCCCCTTTAAACCAAAAGAATAATTAGAGAAAAATAATCGCTTCGTGGTAACGATGTTTCTGTTGCAGTGTAGCCTACACTATAGATACTGTTCATGTTTGAATTTTTAATTTTCACCTTTGATTTGGTGCCCTGGGCAGTCGCCCGGCCCTTAAGCCACCCCTGGGTTTATGAAAACATAAGGATCTAGGAGGCCTAGAAGATATTTTAATTTAACAGATAGAGTATATGGCCTTGTACGTACCGATTTTTATAACTCGATAATAAAAAAGTTATGGAAGAAGAAAAGACAAGTTTTCAGCTTATTTCAGGAACGATGCAACTTATCTCCAATTTCTTTCCATAATCCGAAACGGCATGAAGATATTGATATTTTTTGTAATTTAACCAACCCTGTAAACATTCTAGTTCAGGATATACCAATAATGTACACAAAGTGCCCATTTTTTTTGTTGTGAAGTGATATGCGGCGCAAATTGTACTAATTTTCAGTCATGGTTCAATTTTGATCAATATTTTGTATTATTTTGAAAACGAAGTTTTCCGGGATTTTGATAACACCCTGTGGAGTACACCAACATTATCAGCAAATCCAAACAATAATCACACACTGTATCCTGATCTGTTTTTAAAATGGGATTTTTAAATTCACCTTATCTCTATTATTAAAGGAAACATTTATTTTAAACTGTGTGAAATTTTATTTGAAATGTGTACGAAAAAAATTAAATTGATTTAAACTTTCATGACGAGACCAAAAGGGCTAATATTCAGTGCTTCCTGCTCTTGCTCGAATAATTGCCTGACGTCTATGCATAAAAAACTTAAGTTTTTACTTACAATATTTTTCAGGCAACAGAATCTTGCAGTTTTAAATTTAATTTAATTTTAAATGTGAATCAAAAACGAGCATTTTAAGAACAGATTACATGACAGTGTGATTATTGTTTGTATTTGTTGACGGTGTGCTCCACAAGGTGTTTCAAAAATTCTATAATAATTTATTTCCAAAATAACGCCTAATTGAATCCAGACAAAAAGTCAATACAATATTAATAATCCCCACAAATCACTCTAGAATCTAAAAAAAATCATCGTATTCGTATAAATACGTCAGAAAATATTGAACGTCAAACTTTTCAGAAATTTCAGGATGCGTTAAATTTTTTCGCTACGCTGTATTTTAAAATTTCCATGTTTTTATACCTGTGTTGATTAAAAGTACGTATGCATTTTAAATTTATTCCATAATTGTTTTTACTTGCCATATATTTTTAGTCGGGCCGATGTATTGGCTGAAATAATGCTATTTCTTTATGTAGTCGGATGTTAACTAAGTCTATTTTATTTGTATTTATACACAAATATATCCATTGTTTTCTGTAAAAGAGTAATATATTCCATTATTTTGTAATTATATAATATATATTATTTAATTCACCGAAATCCGTTGTTTTAATATTAATAAAATAACATTTCCTACCCTTCTTCATAACCTTCATAATTAATTAATTAATCTGAACCAAATCTACTTACAATCAGTGGCGTCGAAATTAGGAGGGAGATGGTGGTTTGAACTTGAACTAGTGGCGCCGAGTACGTTCGTTTGTGAAAAAATTCAAGCGAAATTCGTGAAAATAAAATAAAATCTGACCTTGAAAAGGGCTAATATTTTTTTATAACCAACCGTTAGATATTAATACAAAAATATATTAGTATTACATTAAAATTTAAATTTGTAAAAAAGTACAAAAACGCCTATTTGCATCTATCAGTTGCTTAGCAAAAAAAATATTTTATAAATCTCAATTTTCTAAATAAAAAAAAAAATCAATATTCTTATCTCAGGAAAAAATGTTTTCAAAACAAACTTAAAAAAAATTTGCTTTACTTATTTTATCTGCTCCGTAATTAATCTATGCCATGAACACCCTGTATATGATTACTCAAATCCTGCGAGCGATAAAATTACCATTAATGAATTTAGTGTGAATAAAGTTCCAATTGAAAATATTACACGATAAAGAATAAAAGAAATAAACGTTTTAATCACATACATTTTGAATAAAATCAGAATGAATAAATTCTAAATTTTCTCACGTTATTAATCAAATATGTCCACAATTACTGCTTACAGGATGTGAGAATGTGATTATCAAGCCTTCACAGTATGCAAGATTACATATCCACTATGTATTAATCCAATTAGGCTGAATAAGGTTATTTTTCAGTTCAAATTTCATTACTTGCAAAAAATTGTCATAGCAGAAAATGTTTTGAAAAACTATAGGTATACCACTCTAAAAATAATTATAATAGATATCTAAGGGCGTATTAAATAAAAAATCTAATTTTTTCAATTTTTATTTTCACCTTGTGCTTACATATTGTAAATATAAAAATACTACAAATTATTTCTGTCCGCTCTGGGTGCTGGACTTGCTGTCACGCATACTAGCAGATCTGCGCCTCTTCATCAACTCCCTGCGTGCCTTGGACTCCTTCTTACGTTGGGCGAGGAGTTTAGCGTAAGCATCTTCTTGTTCTTTACGTCTCAGACAACGCCTCTTCTTAAGAGCCAAACGATGACGTTTACGTTGTAAAACGACTGGTGTAATAAGACGCTGAATCTTAGGAGCCTTGGTTCTCAATTTCTTGCCTTCCTTTTGAGGGAGAGGTCTTTTCACGACATACTGGCGTACGTCATCTTCTTTGCTCAAATTGAACAACTTACGGATGCGGGAGGCCCTTTTTGGACCAAGTCGTCGAGGGATAGTTGTATCGGTGAGACCAGGAATTTCTTGTTCACCCTTACGTACAATAACCAAAGCCAAGACACTTAGATTTGCATCTACGATGCATCCGCGAACAGATTTTCTCTTACGTTCACCAGTACGGCGTGGTCTATAACATGAATGGCCTTTAGATAGCAAAAGGCGTACCCTTCCGTTGGTTAAAACGCCCTGTTTCATGGGAAAACCCTGTTTGTCATTGCCACCAGCGATTTTCAATACATAGCCTTTCCATTCATCCCCCAACAGATCGGCTTCAACTTCTTGGCCCATACGCTTATCGAAAAAGATACGTATCTTATGCTCGTCCACAACCTCAAACAGTTTCTGACATCCCGTTGCGGGGTACGACACGTTCAACTTCATTGTTCACCCACTATTGTGAATAAATTTCAGAAAAACACTTATTAGAGACACAATCGGCCTTATATTTTAGAAAATAGAAGGAAAATTTTCCAACTAGTTATCACATGGAACTGCCATGTTTCAAATGGCCGATTCGAGGTATCCGTTTTATCGATTGAGGTGAAACCGGAAATTCGAACGCCGCCATGTTAGGGTGACTTCAATTATCTAATGATCTATAAGTGACATAAATAGTCGTTTTCATTTGCACAAGAATAACCAAAGAAATTTAAACTCCAGGAGTATATGCTCGAAGCCAGTCACCAGGGAGACTAGACATCTCCGCAGAATGATAATCTGCCACTATCATTCTATGACTATCATGCATTACTGTCACTGTCATACATATGTTTATAACCAGGGGCGTATTCAGGTGAAATGTAAAGTGTTACAGAACGAATTCTGAGTATCTAACGGATGTATTAGAGAGAGACCCAGAAATTGTCCGATAACATCAATATGATTCGCGATTAATACTTAATAAAATATCTATACTTCTAGAAAGTTTGCAAGCAAAATTTATAATTGATAGTGGTACTTCTCTAATTTCCTAAATTTCCTCAGTACTTAATACATATTCTTATAAGTACACTGTACAGGGGTTCTTCCAAAATTAAAGTTGTAGGCGTTCCCACTATATTTAAACAAGTCGCGAAAAAAACGTAAAATTATTATATTTTATATAGTTATAGCCTCTTTGCCTCAATAGTTTATGCTAGCATCTGCTTATATACAAAACAGAAAAAAAATTGTATCAATAGTGTATATGTAATTCAATAAAAAAAAATATTTCTTCGACATACATTATAGATTTTTTAGTATGTTCTCAACAATAACAGTTTTCTTCTAGATCTTTTGGGAGGTGGAATTCCAAATTTTGACAATCTCGAAATATACCAGTTCCCCTAAAATTATGATTGTTTTTTTTTATTTGATAATTAAATGTTAAAAAATAAGGTAACTATGTAAACATAATGGCTTTTCAGAAATATAGATCCAATAATTTGGATCGGTTTGGGAATAGAACTTAATTTGTTAACGTCTATATTTTGCCGGCAGATCACAATTTCTGAAAAGCCTTATAGATCTTACTTGCATAAGTGAGAGCTTAATTCTTGCGTATTATTTGTATAAATATTACTAATATGTTCTAAATCCATATGTGCGGTATATAAACTGCATAATTCTCTTAATCTGCAACAAATATATGAGGTTCATTGGTATATTTTTGTTATGAATTACGATACGATCACGGACTTATCAATTAAAATTAGATAGCTAATACATCTGCCGCTCTTAACCGAGTGTTACAGATCTTAATGAAGCACTTGACAAATGGCGAAGGGGAAAACGATACACGAATATTCTTTCGTCGCAGCATTTTGTCTATATTCGCCGTATATTAATAACATATCCAAATTCGTGATGACTGTAGTAAATACTGAGACATTGTAATAATAATACATCAACTTATTTAGATGCGCAAAAAGGGCTGTTAAGAAATAGTGAAATAATTCATGTTATTCACGAGAACGCCAATGTCGCCAATTAACAATGGTTTAGAAGTACTGGGTCACGTTCAGATGAAACATATATTGTGCAGTAAAATATATGTTTTTAAGATTTGAAAAGGAATGGTACTAAATTTCAGTTATTAACGAGTTTCATCTTACTTTTTTGTCCATCCTCCATCCATGGTACTTCTTACATGTTCTGTACATTTAAATTTATCAGTAACTAGACTAAATTCCTTGCATCTACGTAAATCATAACTGAAACAGATAAGTTGCCTTAACAGCCAGGTACCAGATTGGTTGAATTTAAGTCACTTTTTGAATCCTTGTGAGCATAATCCATTTACTTTGTTAGAAACATCCTTGTTAATAGAATCTTGACATATTTGCCTTGTTTTAGGTTGTTCTGTGATGTTCTCTACAATTCTACTTATCTACAAAATATATCTTGGCCGATTATTCACTCAAAATTGAAAAAGCACTAACCTGGTTAGCCACGGCTAAGCAAGCTGCACACTTTAAATAAAATGAGCCAAATGGTTTCTGAGGGACAATGTTCATTAAAATGGTTCTATATGGATTTATTATTCTTTTTGGGGAAACTAATGTATAATTACACTTGTCATGCGTTTCATAAACTTCAACAGAAATTACACGTTGTTGGTACAAGCGAGGTAAATATGGTAAAATTATGATAAAAATTATTGGTAGAAAATAATTCATTAAAAATGTATACTGTATATGTATATTTGTCGTCAAAAGAAACTGACAATTTTGAGACATAAAGAAATAATATATGGTTGCGTCAAGTGAACAGTTGGACCAGTTAAAATAAGTAGTTACAGGATACAGGGTGTTTACGAAAATTAAGTTTACGCATCATGTAGACATTTCATTTTCTCTATCTAAAGTCATAAGATTATAAAAGGAGAGAAATAGAAATCCGAGGACCTAAACTGAATTTTTGTAAACCCCTAATAAAAGTGATCCTCTTCTACTAATCAGATTAATTAAGGCTAGTTCCTTTCCTATGGCTCACGGACCACGGTCTCCGAAAGGTAAACTTTTTGTTTTCTATTTCTTGCGCTTGCGCTTGTTGACTGTTGTCAAGCTGAACGAGACCGCCATTTTGATGGAGTGAGCTGTGTTTGGTGTTTATGTTTAATTTGAGAATAATTCCTTCGGGGATGGAAATAACTTTTAAAATAGAATCTACATTTAATTTATGTATACCCGTAATTACTTAAATAATATTATTTTCAAGAGGTAAGAATATTGTGCTATTTTCCGATAATGTATAACTTTCGGCGCCAACTCGATTGTTTGGTAAGGAAGCTGTCACGTATTTAAATTGTTTTTAATTAGATTTTCAGATATTGTCCAGTGCTAAGTGGTTAAGAAAACTTAAAAATGTTTTACGCACATTTTGTATTGGCCAAAAAGGGGCCGCTAGCCCGAATTTGGCTAGCTGCCCATTGGGATAAAAAACTTACGAAGGCCCATGTCTTTGAAACCAATATTGAAAAATCTGTCGATGGTATTTTACAACCTAAAGTGAAAATGGCATTAAGAACTTCAGGCCATCTACTACTGGGTGTTGTAAGAATTTATTCAAGGAAAGCAAAGTATTTGCTAGCAGATTGCAATGAGGCGTTCGTAAAGATTAAAATGGCATTCAGGCCGGGAATGGTAGATCTACCTGAAGAACACAGAGAAGCTGCTGTGAATGCCATTACATTGCCAGAAGTCTTCCATGACTTTGATACAACAATGCCCGAACTCAAGTGAGTCGTGAATCGGTCTAGTTAGTTTTGAAATCTAATATTTTTTTCCCAACAGCGATGTAGACATTGAAGCTCAGTTTAGTTTGAACCAATCTCGAGCCGAAGAAATTACGATGAGGGAAGATTATGGAAATATTTCATTAGTTAACAATGACGATGGATTTGGAGATATGGGATTCGATACTGACGCTCCAGACTTAATGAGACACGCTTCAGGATTAGAACCTTCCATGGAACAAAGCAATCTACTATTCAGCGAACCCGTTCTGGAACCGGTAGGATTGGAGAAAGAAAGGGAACCTGTACCGTCAACGTCAGGAACTCAACATCACGAGACGCCGATGGAAATCGACACGTCAGTCCGAGATGTTGGTTTTGAGGCGAATTTGGATAACAACATGATATGTATGAACGCATTTTTTAAAATTCTAATATTATTTAGGTGCGCTTCCAAATAAATATGAATTTATTATTATATTTCTCTGATTGTCATAAAACCATGTTTTCGTAGCGGGTGGTTTATTTGAAGGTGGCCTCTTCGACGATGCCCCGATGGGAGAGGTGCCACCGGTAGACGCCAGTATACCGCATCCCACGCCCCAAGATATACCACCCCCTGTCGAGAGTGATGATGACGAAATGGATAATTTCGGAGGGCCACCGTCTGTGGGAGGAATGAGGTGAGCTAATTTTGCGCATTTTTAGTTTTTCTCTTCATTAATTACCTGTTTTGTTTACTTAAGTATACAGTGCGTTCAACAAATAATTCCAGTATTTCATCGATTTAAAGTTGATATCTAACGGTACTTATTTTTTAAATATGAAAGTTTACCGTTATCTTGTATGCTTCAGTTATGCCAAATTTTGATTATTTAAAATTTACTCAGGGGTTGTATTAAATTTTATAATATATTTATATACAGGGGGCTCCAGAAGTAAGTGCCAAAATTTTAATTATGCATTTAACTTGTCAAAAACAACTTTTGACTAATAATTCTTTCCGCGAAAACGTTTTCTTGTATCTGTGATTAGGTTCTATTCAAATCTCATAGCCCCTCGACCTTTTCAGGCGTATTGTGTGTCCCGCTATTCAAACTTGCCCATTACAACTCCCGTCACTTCCCTGAGCCGTATTTCATTCAGAAACAGAAACTCTTTTGTTCGTTTCTGCAAACGACACATAAGTTCCTTTGCCCTGGTCTTAAAGCCCAATATTTCCTATGTTCTGACTCGGTCCATTTGCTTAGAACCCCTCTGACCACACTGGCCGATATGTCACAGAAAGCCTCCGAATCAATGAAATCTGTTTCGGATCCCTTCCTAGCAACTTCGTATCAGCATATCAAACTTTTCCTCCCATTTGCTCTGATCCTCTATTCCAGTCTCAAATGGCTTATGGAAGTGAAACCTTGGAACCATTTCCAGAGATGGTTCCGAACATCGCCAAAAAGAAGTTTCGTTCGAACAAAATTATATTGTCCCAATCACGGTGCAAATTTTCTTTTGTCCAATTGAGTCTTTTTTCGACGTGTTTTTCAGACACTAGCAGTCTTCACTGTGCTTCGAAATTTCACTTCATGAGCCAGTAAACACCTTTTTATAGTGTCACGCAACACATTTAGACCCTTTTCACGCAAAATCGCTTGTCCGTTACGCACTGATAGACAAGGATTCTGCTCAAACGCCCGTAAAATCACTCTTCCTTTTTCGTACAGAGCCACCAGATCCGGTAGGTCATCGACGTTTTTTCTGCGACCAAGGTCAAACGACATCTGAGGCATTCTGTACAAAGCATCTGAGGAGAAGGGTATCACTACCTACTCAGGCTTAAATTTCCCTTCTACCGGTTTTGAGGACAAAGTTTTGCCATACACGCTCTTATCAAACAGACCGTTTTAACAACACATTTTAATGTTTGATGGGGGCTCCTACCTATTAGGAGTTGGCTATTTTCAGTTTACTTTAAGAATAATAACCGATTTTACTTTTTTTTTTCTGTTTTGACGTAAAATTAACAAAAATCAAATCATTTCCAATTACAATTATCGTTTTCATTACAATTATTCATTTTTCTATTGAACAGTGATGAATCTCGACCCGGCTCTGTCGCTCAGCAGCTGCCGCCTGCCCCTACACCCACACCTTCGGTGCACTCCGTGCATCCGGAGCACCCCCCAGAGCCCCAGCCCGAGGAGCCGGCTCCCGTTGCCGATCAGACCACCCTTCTACAAAACGAAGAAGAAAGTTTCGCTCTAGCTCCTGTCGACGCAAGCGCTTTGAAAGGTAGGAATTTATTGCTTTTATTTTACCCATATTATTACTTTTAAAGTGTGATTTATTACGCGAGTTGCCGGTTATTTATTTTTTTTATTAACCAATCGCCGTTGTACAGGGTGTAAAAGCGACGTTGTGGCAAACTTTCGACACTGACTCCTTTCATCAAAATAAATGACCTAGTAATTTTTTTTAAAACAATTTGAACAATTTTTCAGACGGTTTTTAAGGGTGATCGCAGTCGATTACTAAAAATGTTCGAAGTCATTCGGAAATGACCGTCAAACATTTAAAAAAACGTCGACTGTTTAAGACGACCAATTTTTCCTTCTATTTCAATAATTCCTTTAAAATTAAGGTTTAAAGTTGTGTAACAATTATTTTTCTTTGTGAAAAAAGTTCGAAATTGGTATGTGTCTGGTGGGTTTGGCTGACAAATGGTTCTAGCTGTATTTAAATAGATATTGCTAATGTAATTCAACTTAATATTTGCTTCTATCCGCATGAAGACGACACTGGTCGTGCTTTCATAGTACCTGCAGTACGGGTCGCTTAATTCCATTTTTGGCCACTAGAGCTACAACTTTTAGATTCGCCTTTTCCATAATTGCCTTCTATTGCTGAGAAAGAGTAACTTAATTGCGTTGTTAGACTTACTCAGGTATTACGCTCAAAATTTAGACGCTCCAGTGGCGGAGGTACAGGGCATCGGTGGTATATTTTAATAAATTAAATAGTACGCCACTGCCTTACTCAATAAATAATGAAATTAAAAGACGAATTTGAAAATATCATGATTGTTACCGTAAAGCAGTGGCGTACATTATTTCCCTTAATAGTTTTTAAATTATTAAAATATATATATTTTTTTATTTTTGTAAGTTTAACACCCTGTATCTTTTTAATGAAGCATCCTAGATAAAAACTATATACTTAAAATTCTCCAAAGAATATGAGATTTCATTTTGGGTCACCGTTTGTGAATCACCCTGTATATTAGGAGGAAAAATGTAACTTTTTTGTTGTTTCTGTTTTTTGATTTATTTTGACAGGAGTCAGTTTTGCTCTTATTGCGTCGCTGTTGCACCATGTACACGTATTTTATTGGTTGCTTTAGATTAATTCGCATTAATACAATAATCGATAGTCCTTAATTTAAAATTGTCTCAGGAGCAATATAAACCAAAATGGAAATACACTAGGAACGTCTCCATAAAGATCAGTATTACGTTAAAAGGAATGTTTTAGTTGATTTTAACATTTACGGGACCGTCACTTAATTACATAAAAATGTTTCTGGAAATAAGGAAGGAAATAACTTTAGCTTCATTTCTTCGATTCCTTTATTCATATGTATCTAATACATACCATCGTTGATCTTGCATATGGACATAAGCGACAAAAAAAAATCAACCTGTCTCTTTTTGAATTACAGTGAAAATTGGTTATAACGACATTGCTTTATACGACATATTGGATATAACGACGGAATTTGGATGTCCCGATTTAATCCTATAGAAATACCATATTAAAAATATTGTTTACTACAACACCGTTTGGAGCATTTTGGATTTAGCGACGCGTTTTTATATACATTTACCATAGAATTTGTCGATTATAACAACCAATAGTGATATACGGCCTTAAAGTCAGTGCACCGCTCTTCCTTCCGCTTTTGACACCAGTTAGTAAGTTTAGGACAATTTGTGACTTATCTACGCATACAGTTATATTATATGAATTAATTACCGCTTTCTATCATGATGTCGAAGAGAAAGGTGTTTAATAAAGAAGAAAAATTACATATAATATAGAGATTAAAAACGGAGAAACTAATGCAAGCGATTTTAACAATTTGGAAGGATAGAACATAAATTAAAGTCTCTATTCGTAAACAATTCATTGAAAATGAGGCGTGCGAGATCTTTTGAATACAAAGCAATACATGTACATACTGAAAGATTTGTATTGTAAATTTATCTTTTTTTGTATAAAAATTTTAAATAAAATATATGTAATTGCTTATAACGTCTATGGGTTATAACAACCGTAAACAAACGGTCCCTTGAAGGTCGTTATAACCGATTTTCACTGTAGTACTGTGATATCCATCATACATACCACAAAAAGTTGGCTTGTAATGACCTTTATATTGTTGTCCGGAGAATTTGATATGTAAACATTTGATTCACAATTTATATGTTACGTTTTCACGCTGTAATTATTTTATGATTTCTTATCCAGGATTATAGTTCTGCAAGAATCTACCCTAATACTTTTTTTCTAGTCCAAGATTTACTTATCGTTTTAGGTGCAATATTTGAAATTAACTTGGTACTCTAAAGTTTTTCTTTCTTCTTTCTTCAGAAAGAATGATCTTTCTTGCATTTTTTTCTTCCATTTCCCTTCTTGCCAAAGCCTAATAGTCATTCTTAACTAATAATTAATCATTAGTATACCGCAACAATAAATGCATGACTATAAAAACTGATATTTGTTACCTAAGCAATTAAATTTCACGTATTGCATCTTTCTTTCCCTTTAATATAATTTTGGTAATACGAGAACCCCTTCTAGTCAAGTTTTGTCAAGTAGGACAAATGTTGAGGGTTGTCATATTTCCAATTAGTAATTTTCTTGCTTTATCTGTAGGCCAGGGAAAAGAGCTGGGAAATGACCATTTCGCGACTTGTTTCGGCAAGCTGAATTTATCACTATAGATGCTGAATATTACGTACAATGACATATTAGTTTCCACAGTCGTAAAAACGGGGGAAGATTGTTTACAGGGTGGTTAATTGTATAATTTTTCCGTAAATTCACGTTTTTTGCTTATAACTTTTTTCCTTTCATTTCCACGAGAAAACAGTAAAGTACTTTTTTTTCGTCTTCAAAAGACCTTCAAAACTAGCCCTCGAGTGTCAAAAAATATTGATTAGATCAAAAGTTATAAACAGAAGAAGTTTATTTTTGACTTTTGAATTAAACATTTATAAACTGCGTTATTATTACCAGAACGTTTTGGCATCGCATTCTCTCAAGCGAACGACAGCAAATCCAAAGAAAATGACGATAATATTCATAGTCCTGCCGTTATTGAAAATAATATATTTTAGTCTGTAAATCCGTTGTTTTTTAACTAATCTTGACGATTTTTTTTTAACTTAAAACTCTTCACAAGCTTTGCGAATATGTAGTAATATAATAATTATACCGTGCCACGTGCGTCGTATATTTCATTTTGCAACTAAGACTAAAAAATAAACAAGCATTCCAGGTTGCAAAGAGCGACCGAAAAAAAGCCTAATTTTTCGCCCCTTTGTGAGACCTCGTAAATTTACTCCAAATGTGTGCCAAAAGATAGTCTATGATGAGACTTGAATCGTCTATAAGTTTTAGCTTGAGGCTACATTTCGTTTTCGAGTTTCGGTTGATTAAAGTTGTCATTTTTACATGGATTGTTGGATCGAGGTTACACCGCTAAAAAAAAATCGCTTGTACTTCACATGTGGCATATGTATTCCGAAGTACTTTTTCGCGCTGAGCACGAATTTGCTATTAGAATTGCTTCATCACCCTTCGGTCTTCATGAAATGACTGAAAAGCTTCAGAAAAATGAAGAATTTCGAAGATTCCAAGATTAATTCTTTGACTTCCAAATGACCTGTAGTCATAGAGATTAACGAACCTTTGATTTTAAATCAATGATTTCGTCAACCTTTCTGGGAAAGGTTTCTGAAGACCTTTCCCAGAATCTGAAGTCATAGAGATTAACGAACCTTTGATTTTAAATCAGCGACTTTGAAAACCCTATAACAATCCATGTAAAAATGACAACTTTAATCAACCGTAACTTGAAAACAAAATGCAGCCTCAAGCTAAAACTTATAGACGATTCTAGTCTCATCATAGACTATCTTTTGGCACACATTTGTAGTAAATTTATGAGGTCTCACAAAGAGGCGAAAATTTCGGTCGCTCTTTAAAATTTAAAAAAAAATTATACATTTCAATGTATTATTATGAAATCTACCATGAAAAAAATCAGTGCGATTATGGAAGATGCTCGGGATCGTCTAGACTAATAATTAGTTAATTTGTTTATAAGGCCATAACTTGTAAACTATTCAACTTATTGATTCCAGATTATGTGTGAGTTATTAGACAGTGATAAGAAATGAGAGGATGCGATGCCAAAACGTTCTGATAATAATAACGCAGTTTATAAATGCTTAATTTAAGAGTCATAAATAAACTACTTCTGTTTATAACTTTCGATCTAACGTACTGTACTGTTTTCTCGTGGAAATGAACGGAAAAAAGTTATAAGCGAAAAAACGTGAATTTACTTAAAAATTATACAATTAACCAGCCTATAAACAATCTTCCCCCCATTTTTATGACTGGAAACTAATGTTATTGTACATAATATTTAACATGTATAGTGATAAATTCAGCTTGCCGAAACAAAAAGTCATGTCCAATTCCATATTTCCTGGCCTATGACTAATAAACTTAACGCATGTAATACATAGAGTGGTGATCTAGAACTGTTCTGGTAATAATTGTACAATCAGAACATTTGATTATAAAAAACAAACTAAACATTCAACGAAAGTAAGTGTGGAAACTTTAGAATGTAACTAAAATTGGTACTAAATGGACTAAAAATTCCCAAAATTAATCCAATTTTGTATGTTATGTTAACTAAGAAACTGTAAAAATTGAAGTAAGAACATACTAAACATTTTTTAACTTTTAAAATTATATTAATTTTTCTAACACTGTATTTATAGGACAATTTTTGCTGCGTATTATAACGATTAAGATCCCGAAGAAATATTTGGGCAAAAACCAAAATTCATTGAAACTAATAGAATTTTCTTCTAATGTAAAATGTTTTGGTGTAATATACATTTTGGGGCTACTTATTCGTTACGGAAATCTTGAAATCACCACCCTACGTATGACTCTGTAGTTATGAAATTAGGTGGTGCAAATTTTTTAACACCTCAAACGGGTATAAGAACAAAAATACACCGTTTACGGAAATTAACGTTTATCACGAAGAAAATTAAGAGCAAACAGATCCTTTTCAAATTAAAATTTACACCATCAGACTCTGTCAAACCTTTTACAGTGTTGTCGATAAATTTAACATAAAAAACAGATGAATTCTACCTAGGTCTAACCAAGGCCAAACGGAAAAGGAAGCTCATAGTCGACGAGGTCAAGAACATATCAGGTGAGGAGATGAAGAACCAGTTGAGCGACACCAGCGATATCGTTACGACGCTGGATTTGGCACCGCCCACGAAACGACTGATGCACTGGAAGGAGACCGGAGGGGTGGAAAAACTCTTCGCCTTGCCGGCTAGGCTCATTCCCGCTAGGATCCTGTTTAAGGTTAGTATACGGCAGGTTGCAAGTTATTTTGTTCCACTTCTTTACGGTTATCGTTATCCTGAAGTTTTCCTTCGTTTCAGAACTACCAGCGCCATCTAACCTTACGGGCGATAGGAACCGAGGATTTCGCTATGTTGGGCGACGCAGATTCCTTGGCTTTGGATCAGGTGAGGGACCACGAGGAACAGCCCAGCATGGAAGCGCCGACGCCCGCCAAGAGGGGAAGGAAAAGGAAAATCGTGGAGGAACCGGTAAGTTCTCGAAAATAAATTATCGGTGTTGTATTTATTTATATTTTACGATTTATCTAAAAAAAAAAAAAACAAAATATTTATGTTTGAAAACTCGTTTTTTTAGAGTCGAACACCGCTGCACCAGCCCGAACAGGAGACGCCTCAGCCCATGCTACAACCCGAGGAGTCTCTAGCTGCCATGATGCCGCCTACTCCCCTGGCGCCTCCGACACCCTTACCACCTCAGATACCCTACGGAGCGCCACCAACGCCGCTCCCCCAAACTCCCCTGGTGCCACCCATGACTCCCTTGTTGCCGCACATGGCGGGACAGGAGGAGATGCACCTACCTTCCACGCCGCAGGTCCTGATGCCGCCGCCTACGCCCCAGGGCATGATGTACCCCCAGACGCCGGGATATCCCGTTCCACCGACGCCTTTGCAACATATCGAGGAGATGCCTCACTTACCGCCCGATCAAGTAAGTGCAATGACCGTGACTTCTCTTAATTTACCTATTATCCACCCCTCGTTTGTTTCTTTTTTCACTTAATTTATGTGCATTCCGTCATTTTTTCTTTTAATTTTGTGGAAAAAAGTAAGTACGAAATATTTTGTTCTCATTTCCCGTTGGATGAGCTAGTTTGTCGAAGTGGTGCATTAGAACTATTTTTCTAGCAGCTCTAAAGGGCTAATACACAATTTTATGATTCCAATAAACCTACACGATTTTTGGTTACGATTCGTCAAAAGAGAAATATTTACATTGCTGATACATCGTAACAGGCATATCGATAGATAGATAAAAATTTAGTATCCAAGTAAAAATTTTAAAGTACCCAATACCTGTTGCCTTTTAATTACCCGATACCTGATACCAGATAGTTACCTGATACTCGATAATTACCCGATACCCGGTTATTATTTTATCGGCAAAAGGTCATTTTTTACCTCTTAGATTATTATTAAAACACGTATACACCAAGCAAATGCGAAGCCAAGAACTGCCGTTATTACCAATTTTGTAAGTTGCACTGTAACAAAAGGCCGACCGAGTTCCGTTGTGGAATTGGTGCATTAGAACTATTTTTTTTTAGCAGCTCTAAAGGGCAAACACAGTTTTTTAGGATTCCAATAAACCTACATGATTTGAGGTTTATAATTCGTCAAAAGAGTGAAATGTTTACATTGCTGATCGATCGTAACAGACATAGTGATAGATACCCGCGTACTAGATAAAAATTTGGTATCCAAGTCATAATTTTAAGTACCCAATACCTGTTAATTACCTGTTACCTTTTAATTACCCGATAGTTACCCTATACCTGGTAATTACCTGATACCTGGCAATTACCCGATACCTGGTAATTACACTATACCCAATAATTACCCGATATCCGGTAATTACCAATTACTCGTTAATGTGATAACTTGAGCTAGGGGTTTTCTTCGGCTAGTCCTAAGCGTGTTCGTCGTAAACAAATAAATAAAAAGGTAGGTACGAATAAAAATAAATAAATTTGTGTATTTTATCAGCGAAAGGTAATTTTTTACCCCTTAGAATATTAATACACGTATACACCAAGCAAACGCGAAGCCAATAACTGCCGTTATTATCGGTTTAGTAAGGTACCCTGTAGCGAAAGGTGGCGGCTTTGATCATCCGTCTGAGTGCCAAGCTCTAGTGATAACCGACTACGTCTTGCCACTAATATTATTGGCTGTTGTTGGCACTGCAACTTAGCAATGTAGCAACGTAATAAGATATGACAGAATTACCGATATAAATGTAATAAAGGTTTCTAATTTTCAATGTTTCAGTAAAGACATTATCAATAACCTACTTTGTTATTATTTTGTAGAATTCTAATGGAACATGATAACCAGAAAGATTAAATAATTAAAGTATTTTATGTTTATATTGAATTTACTTACAAAAACGACTACGATGCAACAGATCTCCGTTAATTATGTTATCAATTTTTTTTCAGGTACGTTCTATCCTCCAAGAACAAGAGAGCATAGCTCACATACCCCCGATGACACCCGCTCATACCGCAGAGGACCTTTTGGGCCACGGGATGGCATCGGCGCCTACCCCCCACCATCCCGGCATCGACGCTAACCTGCCCCCCGAGCCGTTGGATAATCTACAGCACGACCTACCCGCCATGGAGAATATGGGTTACGACCAGGTAAGGTTATTTAATTCACGGAAATCGACAAGACGTAAAACGTTTTTCTTTTACAGATGGCGAACATGGGTTACGACGAGCATCTAAGGGCGCAAACACCGAACGGCGGGATGTCCGAGAGGGTGCATTCGCCGTGGACGGGCGACTATGACTTCCCCCATTCGGCCGGACCTGTAAGTGATTCTTCTTTATTGGTCATTTTTTTGAGTGTGTTTTTGAGGTATTGCGTGCGGTTTTGAGGTATTTTTAAAATCAGATAGAATGAAAAATTTTGTACGGTGCGCTTCAAATTAGACGATGTTGGGGCATCGTTGTTTTGGAAGCTGTCGGAGATCGGATATCGGTTAAATCCGATAGTCTGCATTTCTAAAATGTGGCGAATAAAAAAAAAAATGGTAAATTTTAAAATTATCAAATTTCAGAGCATTTAGAAAAAATCGTGTAGTGTTCGGAATGTTTTGAAAGTTATTTCGGGACGTTGAATAAGTTCTCGCTATTTTTTCGTGAAAATTATTGCTTTATAGTAAAAAACAAATTTTTTCCATCTTTGCGTCAACAAATTAATTCTACATCAGAAAAACGACGCGTCTTTTGAGGCTATCCAAAAATCGACCCATTTTTTGGCTTCTTCATAAGAATGGAAGTGCTGAAAGGGTCAACGTCCGGTAAATATGACGGGTGGGGTGAGACTTCTGCGCAGAGCGCACAGATTCGATGTTTTCATTTGTTGAGATTGTGCGGGAACGGCCCATTGTCTCAACCATCACAAAACCTCTCGAACCAGAGAAAGACTGTCAATTGTGATACATACTCCTCACCGTACGCCGTTTGTAACAGTTGATACGTTTCCGTGGCTGTTTTACCGCCGCCTGGTCGAAAACAGCGAGAACTTATTGAACGTGATTTGGTCTATTTTTTTTATAGGCGGAGGAGCAACAGGTGGACGAGACGGACGAGCAGTTCGAGGAGAGGGTTTTGAACAAACGGGCATATCAGATGTTTACGGTGGTCAGGCAGAAACTTCAGCAACAGGACCAGCTGACGTTGTCGGACATGTGCCACCGGAACACCAAAAAACAGGTCGGTTTCACGCCGTACCGTGCGGTTTTTGCTGTAATAAAAATTTTACGATTTTCGCAGGCGGCGCAGAAGTTTTACAGTTTGCTCGTGCTGAAGAAGTTCCAGGTCCTGGAGCTGGAACAAGAGGACGCGTACGAGGAGATCTACGTGACGAAAGGACCCAAATTTGACAACCCGGTATTGTAAATTGCTTTATTTATTACACTTTATAGTTATTTTTCACCTATAAATTTATATTTCATACGACCTTGTACAAAATCTTTATATATATATAATATATTTTGTAACGTTAGAAAGTTATTGTAAATAAACACACTTTTTACTTTGACGTAAATCGGGAACAAAGTATCCAAATTCTCTTTAAGTTTTTACCAAAGTTTACACTTTTATATTTACAACAAAGTTGTCAAGTTGGATTTTTTTTTATTATTGTACATGTACATTTAACATTAAACATTACAGGTTTTGCGTTCGAACGTCCGCTTTGCGAACTGTCGAGTAATTTTTTTATTGTACAGAGTGCCGCTAGGAATTTTACATACTTCTACCGTAAGCAGAGTTCCTTAACGGAAATATTAAATCTCCCATTAAAAAGTGTCTACTTTTACAGGGTCATTTGTAGATTTTGAAAAAAAATTCTTTTCGATACTATATTTGAACAGTTTGTTCAAATTTTCTAATTATTTTGGTGAAACTATACACCGTTGACTGGCATATGACTGACAACCTCAGACAATCGGATATTTCCGAAGATCAGTCGTAAAAAATTTAGAGTTCATATAAAAAAATTCACCCTGTATGCGTTTTTTTTTTTAACATAACTAGGAATTCAAGACAAATGGATAGCGAAAGCTATGTATATGGTATTTTTGTCACTTTTGTTGAATTTTTAATAAATAATAAATTTTGACACTGGAAATTCAGCTTAACGGGGCTTCATAGCAAATAGGCAACCAGCAATACATTTTTATAGATTTTATTGAGACAGTTTGTCTAAATATGAATTAATTCACAAATTGCAGACTTTCCTCCATTCTAATGCAGATTTTCTATAAAATGAAGTTAGTTTGAAACTCGAGTTACTTTTTGTTGTAAAGAAATTTGTAATTTGCCGCTTTTCAACATGCAAATTACAAATTTATTTACACCGAAAAGTAATTTGAGTTTCAAACCAAGTCCATTTTATAGAAAATCTTCATTAGAATGGAGGAAAGTCTGTGATTTGTGGATTAATTCATATTTAGACAAACTGTCTAAATAAAATCTATAAAAATGTATTCCTGGTTGCCTATTTGCTATAGAGCCCTCTTAAAATAAAACATTTAACCTAGCTATTAAATAAAAGCAAACTTTTTAATTATAATTAGTTATTTTGTCTAATTTCCAGGGCAGTCTTTAATAATTTTTATTATTTATCATTACAACTAAAAAATCGAACAAATATTCCGTTGTTCTAAACTTTCTCATACGTTTTTGAATTTACGAAATAAATTTGTGTACAATAAGGAAAAACCATAAAACAAAATTAAAAAATAAGGCAAATTCATAAGTGTATGAAAAAATTTAAAATAAACAGAATTTTCGTTACTTTTTTTGTTTTTTTACTACTTGGGATGTCAATAAAAACCAAACCACACAAAGCAAAGAAAAAAGTTTTTTATTTTTAGAAACTACATATGCCATTTTGAAACGTTATTTGAAAAATTATATCTTTTAAATGACAACAATTATTGTCGATACACTCTTGAAGGTTTTCACGGAAGCCCGCCTTTCCTCTATGGACCATCTGTTGCGGAATCACGGCAATTTCTTATGCCTGCTTTTAATCCTTCCAAGTTCTGTGGTCGAGGTTTAAAAACTCGCGATTTGAGGTATCCCCAAAGAAAAAAATTGCAGGGGGACAAATTATTCCGATTACGGAAGGCACGCTATGTCGCTATTATGTTCGCTATTTCTAATGAACTCCTCGACTGCAAAAGCGCTTTTCGCACTGGTCAAAGCCATGTCGATAACTGAAAATGCACAGCGTTGTCGCTTCCGCAAACCGAGCAATGACTATTTGAAATCGTGCCTATCATTGTGTCGCATCCTGTACATCTAGTTAAAAATAATAGATTTTGTTTCTAATAACAAAAAATTAAAAATGATTAAATACTGCCCTGAAAATTGGACGAAATGGCAGACGAATGTAATTGAAGCAAAAACTATCCGCAATAAAAAAGTTTGCTGTTAGCAATTTCGTTAAATACTGATTTTTGTGTTGAATTTTGAGTTCTAGTCAAAACTGTTTATTTGTAAAAAATTCAAGTTTGACAAAAATGTGAAATACAGCGCTTTCATTGCCCATTTGTCCTAGTCCTAGTTGCATTAAAAAAAAAAATTGCATACAGGGTGAATTTTTTTATAAGACCGGCCCTGGAATTTCTGAATGTCTGAGAATGTCTGTCGAATGCCAGCCAACAGTGTATAGTATGATCATTTGATAACGAATTCTATTTATTGTAGAAGTATGTAAAATTCCCTTCGACTCACCCTGTATTAAAAAAAAAAACATTCAATGGTAATTTTTTTAATATATATTTTTTCATAAATTTAACATTTAATAAACTTATATTATGTTTTTTGCGAAATCAAAAGCATGATATAATTTTTCTTTCCAACGATATGTAACTTGTTACACATTTTAAGAAAAAATGGTTAAAAAAATATATTGAGTGGCTGTGAAAAAAAAAAGACAAAAATAACTTTTTGCGATCGTTGAAAAATGTAGGAAGAACGAAGTAATAAAAATGCATATTTTTTAAATGATCGATGGGAAAAGTAGATATAAAAAATTAATTTACATTCAAAAAGGTTCATACATAATTAATATATTTGTTTAAATTTGGGAAAGCTTGAGTTAATTTTTTTACACCTAATTACGACTCCTCCTGTATATTAATTGGGAACTTAAAAATTGCAATCACAGTAATGTATAGATTACAAAATGCAATGCAATACTTCTCTTCCTCGTTAGAAAAAAATTGTTTAATTATATTTTTTACACATTTATATTTCTACAAATGGCTACTTTATATTTTCAAGAATTTTTTATCCACCTTATACCTTAAAAATGGCATTATTTTTCATTTAAATATCAAATTAGCTAATTTATAGCAGAAATATAGCCACAATTTCAGTATCGTCCACCATATAATTTCCTGTCCACGTCTTCAAAAAAATTTAAATTTTAAGGAATGTTCATACACAGACTGAATAGCTAATGCGTCAGACCGCACGTTAAATGCTGGTAATTGGCAATTCAAAAAGGCATCCAACAATAAAATTAGGCTCTACTCGATAGTGTGGCAGTGTTGCTAAGTAATAATTGGGCATACATATAAATGGCATTTGTGTTAAATACTAAATAAAATAAATCAAGTTATATGCATCGATAAAAAAAATGTACAAAATAAATCCGTGCGTGCACGTGACAACATTGCCAAACCGGTGTTGCTAGGATAAGCGTAGGCATCGTCTGTCGGCAATTCGAAAATTTAAAACTGCCGTCCTATTCCAGACGCGGTCTGTTGCGTTAGCTATCTAGTCTGTGGTTCATATAACAAAATGTTTTTTAAGATATGTGTTCTCCGATTTTAACACTTTATTATGTCGCAATTTCTATACCATTAAATGTTTAATGTTAATTGTAATTTATATTTTTGTTTTTCTAGTGGTTTGACTGTTTTACAAATATGTCGTAACTTTTATTTATACTTATAACTTTATTAATCGTTTCACTGCTTTTATTTTTACATACCTTTTTGTGGTGGAAGGAATTTGATGTAATTCTGTGAAACAGTCAAATACTTTTAACGATGTAAGCGGACTTTGCCTGAAATATCCTTTTAACAATTAGAATACGATGCAAAACGTCAATTTATTTTTGTACATATTTATGAAACTTTGTTTTGGATTGTTTTCTATCGATCTCTTGAATGTTTTGGGCAGGTTTCCTGGTTTTTTTTTCTACGATTGTTAATTATGTATATTGTTATTTACTATTTTTATATAAATTTTAAATAACAAGATAGATTTTAAGTATTACGTTTAAGATTTAGGGATTATTATTTAAACGTTTATCATATTTCCATTGTAAATTCATCTACATTGTTAGGTTTAGTTTTGATGCAGATTTGATAACTAAAAGTAATGTTTAATATTGTTACTACATTAATAGTCTTTATAGTAAATTAATATGCCAACAATAAACAGTCTTTGTTTATTTTTGCAGCTCTGTAATATCGGAAAGCTAGTTTGTCATTTTTTAACCAATTGTTTGTAAAAAAAATTATAATAAAAAATGTCTCAAACTATGACTTTCAGTCAACGACTCAAGCTGAAGTTTCATTAAAAAGTACAGGATAGTGCCGTTTTTATTGCGATTTACTTCATTAATAAAAATTTTTTAATATCTGCTGACTTACCACATTGACAAGATGAAAACTTTTTTGGAACTGCTGATTTCACCGATAGCTCTGTGCCTTTTTGGTAATCCTATATAACACACACTACAGACATAATTAAAACTAAAGTAAAACTGATGTTTACCTAAAATTAGACTAGCAATTTTTCTGTCTTACAATAAAAAACGGGAAGAAGCGCTATGCACCTCTTTTTGTAGTATGTAACTCGAGAACGATTCCAGAGGTTCTCAATAAGTTTTAACAATTTTGATTATTATTCATTTTAAGTGCTGTTTTGCATGAAAACTGATAAATTCGAAACTGGCCTATGTCTGACAATTCTGTTGATTTCCCTAAGTAAATATGTTCATACCTAGATCCGATAAATTGCATGCTTCGACCTGGCGGTCGAGAACCAGTGATGGCAAAATACAGGGAAAGGGAGTGTAGAAATCACTAGTGTTACGCCTACTTAGAACAGGTTCAGATTAAGTAATATTTCCTGTATTAAATAATATAATCTTTTCAAAATCTGTCCGTGAAGAATGTAACAGACATAAAAATTGTGTATGGGACGATCCATGTCAACCGGGTCAGTGCTATGACCATAATTTGTAGTAACCAAAAAAAATCAACCAAGAGCTCATTTTAAAGCTTAGTGCATCTACTTTCAAATGCCGAGTGGGCCTTTGCAAAATTCAATATGGTGCCTGAATATTGATTTGTAATTGATATTTTTGAGGTTAGAAACAACTGAGACGTGCCAACTTAATTCTGGAGGATAAAATACATTGGAAAGCATATACAGGGTGGCCGCAAATTTCACCGACAACATTTGACTGCATATTCACGACGATAAATAAATACGATCTACAAAAATGTTAAATCAAAAATGTTTGGTTTTTGAGTTACAAGCCTCCAAAGTTGTCAAAAATAAAATTGGCGATCGGTAAAAGGGTTATGAAGTTGTTAATTAAATCAGTTTTATTTTTGACAACTTTGAAAGGTCTGTAACTCAATAACCAAAAAGTTTTTATTGAACTTTTTTTTCATAGATCGTATTTATTTATCGTTGTCAATATGCAGTGAAACGTCGGTGAAACTTGTGGACATCCTGTATAGCACTATATGGACAAAATATTTTTTGGTTTTAAATTTTTTTTCAGAGCCTTCGGGCGCCATATTGGATTTTGCGCACTCAGCCGTAAGCTTTAAAATGAGCCCTTTGTTGATTTTTCTTGGTTATTCCAAGTTATGGTCGTAGCACTGATTCGGTTGACATGACTTAAAATCCCACATTGGCAAATTTACCTCTAATTTTTCTTAACCTTTATTAAAAAAAAATTTCCGATCATTTCCCGTTCAAGAGATATAGAAGTGTATATACAAGGAAAAACACTGGTTCGATCAAGTCTGTTACTGATTTTATAGGGTTGCCATTGAACAGAAGATACTTTCACAAAGTTTGTGGTCATTATTGACATTTATCTCTGTAAAACTGTATCGCTAATTTGAAATTTCCCAAACTTCCCCAAAAAACAAAAATAAATCTACTTTTTCCATATTCATTTTTTTTTTAAATGCTATAAATTTGCACAAAAATTTAACGTCGATAATGAATGTAAATGTTGAGAGTATCTTGTTTTCCACGACATCGCCGACAAAATCAGTAACAGACTTGATCGAACCAGTGTTTTATCGGTATATATCGTTTTATATCTTTTGAACGGAAAGCGATATCGAAAAACTTAGTTAATAAAAGTTGTTGGGAAAAATGATAACTTTTATTTGATGTAACTGTGTGAAATTGAGAGAAATAATTTTGAGGGCATCATAATCTTTAGGGTTCTCATCTCAAGACGGAATTTTACGTCAAATACTTATAATGCCATGAAGATCCCTTCTTACGGTTTCCTGTTTCCATTTTTTTGCAATGGCAGCCAACTATGAGCTCTGGGTCACTATGTATGTGGAATATTGGGACAAGGCGAATAAGAATAGAAAAATAGAGGCAAACTGATTTATTAAAAAAAAAGAACACGATTAGTGCCAAAATGCAATATTAATGTGTAAACGAGGCTAATTAGTAATAAATTATGAAACTAAAACTAATCGTATAATTCTCCGCTTTCCATGGCCTGCTGATAGTTCTTCCCTCCTCTCTGTTCCGCGTCGAGTTTAATCATGTCGTCGATCCTCAAAATGGTAATAGCCGCTTCCGTAGCGAACTTCAACGACTTAATTTTCGACATGGTCGGCTCAAGCACGCCCGCCTTCTTGTTATCCCGAACGGTACCGTTGATAAGATCGAGACCGACGTATTTCAGATGAGCGTGATCCTTTTTGGTCTGGCTCGAATTCTGGTAGGCCCTCAGTTTTGCCACCAAGTCCGTGGCGTCCTGAGCGGCGTTCACCGCGAGGGTCTTCGGTATTATGAGGAGGCTCTTCGCGAACTCGGCGATGGCCAGCTGTTCTCTAGAACTCAACGTAGTGGCGAAATTTTCCAAGTAGATAGAAAGGGCGGCCTCGACGGAACCTCCGCCGGTCACTACGCTCTTAGATTCCAGCACTCTTTTGACGACGCACAGGGCGTCGTGAACGGAACGCTCCATTTCGTCGCAGTAGAAGTCGTTGGGGCCTCGGAGGATGATCGAGGCCGCGGTGCGGGCCTTCGGTCTGAAAAATCAATAAAAAATTCAATACTCGACACCAGCCGTCGCATGGATTGAAATCTGGCGATCGAGCAGGCCATGCAACTGGACGAGTTAAATTGTAGTTAAATGTTTGGCATTTATTACTAGGCCTCCATATAAATATGACCCCCATCCCAACGTACACCCCCTGTATAAAATATATATTTTTTTACGAGCAGGACGTCGCCGTTACTAAATGTTTATGTAAACTGAGTGGCTAACATACCCTTTAATGATTATAAGCTCGTCGTCGGAGATACGTTCTTGAACCACCTCCGCCGCCTCGCCTACCATACTCGAGTCGAACGATTCCTCACCTACGAAAACATAAGACGTCAACTCCCGACTAGAATAAGAAAAAAAAATAATCACCTTCCATATTAGTAAGGGATGTTAGGAATGTGGCTCCTGTGGCTTTAGCGATACGTTTCAGATCTGCTTTCTTCACTCTCCTCACACCCATGGCACCGTGCTCGACAAAGTATTTCAGACACAAATCGTCGATTCCCCCAGATACGAGGATTACGTTGACGCCTGTCGCTAGGATTTTCTGGATACGTTCTTTGGTGATGTCAAGTTCCCTTGTACGGATCCCTTCTAATTTGTCAGGATCGTTTATTAGAACCTGAATATGAAACGGTTTTTTAACAATTGTCGACACAATAAACTGTTCAAAAATTGCCACAATATTTGATTTTTGTGGGGCCGTTTTATATGTTACAATAAATTTTTGAAATGGGTTAATTTGCTAATAGAAAGAATTTTGTGAACAATTGAGTACAAAAATTGGTAATGTAATATGGGTTTAAATAAGAGAAAAAAAGAAAGGATTACCTGCACCCCCATCTTCATTTTGGCCTTTTGCAAAGAAAAATCTAAGCAAGCTACTTTGGCGTTGACGATTTTCTTGGGCATAGCCTGACTGGCCACAGTGCAGTTCAAGGCATAGCCTTGTACGAGGAAACTTTCCCTGGCGCTTTTACCGTGTGCCTTTAGGACATTCACCGCTTTTATAGGATACATAGCGTTTCCTCTTACATCGTTGACTTTGACGGCATTGGCAGCATCAACCACCATTGCGGAGAAAAAGTCTGCGTCACTGTGATGTTATTAAGGAAATGACATAATTTTTGTAAATAAATTTTTAATATTTATGATTCCCATCATTTTGTAATAGAAGAGTCATAATGAAAACATATAAATTCTGTGTAAATGGATTTACCAAATAATTCGAATAAACTGAAAATTGGTTCCAAAAAAAAACCTGACAAATAAAAAAACATTTATACTCTCTTCGATATCAGACTGAAAAGGATACGCTCCAATAATCTTTGAACTCATGGAAGTTTTAGCAACATTGATGATGCATTCTTTTCCGAGCTCTTCAACTGGAATTGTAAGATGGTCTTGTATATACCGGCAGGCTTCTTTACAAGCTAACCTATATCCGCTGATTATTGACGTTGGATGAATTTTTTGCTTTACCAATTCATCTGCATTCTGAAAAAAAAACATGGTACATATCCACAAGTGGCTCAACATTGAATCTTTTTAAAGTTTTAGTCCTAGAGGGTGTTAGTCGAACTATAGTGCTGCACCAATATAAACAATTCTAAAAAACTTTATTTCACTGTTCTCATATCATACTATCATACTTATTTGTACAATTTACCAACCAATAAATTATCAATGGAGACTTTAGTAGTCAATATTTAAATATTTAAAAAAAGTGCCACACCTTATGTGTTTATATGTACTTACAAATCTCAAAAGAAATTTGCCAACTAATAAATGTTAACAACTTTTCCTTAAAGAAAAAAGAACAAGTAAAATTTTATATCAGTACCTTTAGTAACTCTGCTGCGATTATAACGACAGATGTGGTACCATCTCCAACTTCTTCATCCTGAAGTTGAGCCAATTCCACAAGCACTCTCGCGGCGGGGTGTTCTACTTCCAAAAGACGTAGAATAGTGGCCCCATCATTCGTAACAGTTACGTCTCCTATATCGTCTACTAACATTTTGTCTAGACCCACAGGACCTAGAGAGCTCTTTACTATGTTTGCAATAGTTGCCGCTGCCATTACTAAAGAAAATTAATAACACGTTATCTTTTGAATTAAATATTTTGTCTAATTCTTATACATTTGTAAATTGTACCGCGTGACATTGCTATTTCGTTTAGTTTAAATTGGTTAACATAGAATATATAGTAACAAAAATTTGTTGTATTTACCATTTTGAGCGCGTACCGGAGTTCCCGATGTTCGGGAACCGGCAACTGATAAAGGGCTTGCTAAAATCGACATTTTTTAACACATAAGTTTTTAGACTGGAACTAAGTAACCACGAAATATTTTACTTTACAAGAACAACCACAAACCACAGAACATGTAGCGCAGAAACACCAGTTTGAGGTAGGATCACAAACATCTAGATTGCGTAGTTTATTAATTATGCCACACGGCGTGGTACTAAAAATGGCTGATTTACTAAGATCCACTAAACTTTCAGTCAGTGTGGATCACTTTGAGTACTGTTAAAAGTATGTCTCCAATTGCACTAGAACAAAGTTTCGACCAGCGTTTCTGTATCTATGAATTTGCGCTAATCGTTTCAATCCAGGGACGTAATTAGGGGTGTTCATTGCCCACCTAAAAATATGCTGTCCCATCCAAATAAGGATGAAGATTTTTCATTGATTTTGAAAATATGGCAAAACGTGTAAGAATGTTTCATTTTTGTCTATTAAAGCAGTTCGGGAAAGTGGTATGAAGCAGGGTAATTTGCGTAGGTTTCTCATTTTCTTTTGGAAGTCGGAAGGTTAAACAGTACAAGACGATGGCTCACTGGTTCTGTCCTGCCCAATCATTAGCTCTATAAGCCCTTCAATTAAGCAAAGATGTGCAAATTCTTAAAAACTCTCTAGAAGCAGACTAAAATTTCAAATGCCGAATATAACCCCAATTTTACTAATGCGCTGGTGTGTGACATACCTATTCCAATTAAAATTAAGATAACGCACCCAAAATAATGTTTTATTAAACTTTTTCTTCCTACATAAAAATATAGTTTATATTTTAAAAAATTATAAAACATCTTTAATTCAATAAGAAATCAGTCACCATTTTATTAAATTCCCGAGCATATTTTAAATGAATGTTATGTTTACCTTCTGGAAATCTGTGCAACCTAAAACAAAAATCAAAATTACAATTATAATATTTGAAAAAGAAGACGGATATTACTTAGCGTTGCTTATGCGAGACATTAAATATTCTGGATGCCCAGCAGCAAGCATTGGATCTTTGTCACCGTGCAAAATAAAAGTGGGGCATTTTATATTTTGTAAATCGTTTTTGCAGATGTCTCCCCCATTTATCTGAATGTTCTTAAGTGTGTCGCACCAACCGTTCGACATATCCTGTAGGCCCCTTTCTGTGTACAATTTTATAAGGGGTTCTTTCATTCTTTCTGACCAATTATTAATATCTCTGATCTCTTAAAAAATTCAGTATATTAATTAAATGGTAAAAAATTCAATTTGAAAAGGATACAACAGTTTTTGTCAAAACATGCCACTGAAAATGGGTAGGTATCCAATTTAAAATACATTACACATACAGATCTCTCCTATATTTGTCTCCGTTTTTTTAAGATATTAAAAAATAAAATAGTTTATGTGAACACGTATTTCTAAAATTAAACTTTTTGGACTAAAACTTATGCCCTAATTTCTTACCTTCATAATAACGTACTTCTTCCGGTAAAACATAAGAAGTTGCACCCCATACTACTAATTTTTCTACATGTTCTGGATATTTAGAACTTAAAATCAAACTGGATTTGGCGCCATCACTCCATCCCAATAAAGAAAATTTGTTAATATCCAACTTCTAAAAGCAAATCTTGAATGCGCAGCTTTGGATAATCGAATGAAAAAAATTACCTTCATAAATTTAAATGCTACTTCTGCGTCATTTTTGTAAACATCTAAATTAAAATTTCTGTTTGGAGGTCGACTACGGCCATACCCAGGAGGTTCCCATACTACGATTGTAAATTTTTCCCTATCCAATTCTTCAATCTGAGGTTTAAAATCAGTCCAAATTGTTCCCATAGCTCCAGGAAAGCATAGAATTTTTTTCTCTCCATTTCCAACTTTTATATAATTTATAGTTTGTCCATCAACATCAATCTTTTGTTCCTAAAAATGAAGAGAAGGGCACCTTTATGAGGACACCTTTGCCGAGGTACTTGTATTTTTTACAGAAATGCTCAGTAAGTTGTATTTAGAAATGGGGATAAGCTTAATGGCAGGTACCTAGTACTTTTACATAGTAAATAATTTGAGTTACCTTCTCCCTGCTGATATTTCTTATAAAGTTTTTAATAGGAAAGTATCTATTATATAGGCGTAAATTTATAGCTCTAATTGGCAAAACCATCATTTACAATGCATCCATATCAACTATATTTTTTATCGAAAGTTAACAAGTTAAAATCCGTCATATTTGTATAATCACTGATGTGTGATTGGAATTGGATGAACATCACTGATGATATAAAAAAATAAACCTTTCTTAATAAAAAGGTCTAAAGGTCATTCATAAGTCATGTCATGACGTAACAGTTCACCAGTTCAGTACAATCTATTGTCTCTGGTTCAGTAGTTCACATTACTTTACCAGTGTTGCCGTTGCCAACGTTGCAACAAAATATTCCTCTCCATGATGGACAAACCCAAGATCTCTAAAAGAAGTCCTTTAGCGACTGGGTCAATCCCCTACTTTAGGATAAAATGGGAACAACGTTTTCGGTACATAGTGAAATACATACTTATGTAACACCATATGAGTAAATAAATTACTCATATGTATATACTCATACCTTAGAGCATATACTACTGGAAACAGCGTTCTAGTGGTCGAGAATGTAGAGGAGGTTTAGAGAGAGAGAGGTAAAGGAGGGCATTTGCTATTTCTCTCTAGTAACACGCAATCGCGTGCTGCTAGAGAGACATAGCAAATACTGCTATACCTCTCTCTCTCTCTAAATCTCCGCTACACTCTCGTCCACTGAGACGCTGCCTCCAGTTTCCAGTAGTATATGCTCTAAGGCTAAGATAACAACACATGTATGTAACAGTACTCATTTCACTGGCGGTACATGGTCAATCTAGGAACTTTAATTCCTAGATAGGTCAATCTAGGAACTTAATATTATGTAGAAGGTAGAAGGTCTGCCTATACTACAGGAAATAATTTGGCCGCAGACATACTGAACATACTGAGAAAGTTAAGGTAGTATAGCCATCACAAAATATAATAATAGAAGGTAGCCGCTTTCAGATGCATGTCCGTCTTTCTTATCGACTGCAAAACAGTACTTTTATTAACTAACCAATAACATTGTTTATACACGACTATTGTATAATGTACCCATTATACGTCTGTTTGCTCGACCTTAATAATACCCATTAATCACGGCAGTGATTAATGAGTCATTAATCACTACTGTCAGATGCTTCCTTAATTTAGCTATAATATTATATTGTTCTGCTACAAACAATCCGTTTTTAAAATTTTATCGTGTAAACCACTAAATATTTTCAATTGAGTGCTGTACATATAAAAAAAAATTAAAGAAGTGAATTTTCCTAGACCGGATTCGAACCCGGGACTCGCGGTTGGAAGGGAAAGAGCATCTACACTGAGCCATCAGCGACTTCATTTGTGCGAGTCGTATATCTGTTTCTTAACATACCATGTTTTCCGAAACATTTCAAAAAAAACTTCAACAAAAATATTTAGTAGTCGTGGATAAAGTATAGTATTCTACTCCCGTATAATGGGTATTATTCACTCGGTGATTTAGGCCACTCGCCTGCGGCTCGTGGCCGTAAACTTCACCTCGTGAATAATACCCATCATTATACGCTCGTTGAATAATATACTATTTTAGAAGATCTTCTAAAAACAGTGCCAATAAGCAATAAGGAGACATACCGATCACAACAGCTTGAAGCCTACATTTGCAGTAGGCATTAGATTCTAGACAGAAATATTGTCACAAATAGTAGAATTTTTCAATTATGGTTACTGTACCAATAAATTAACAGCAAGGACAATAATAATAAAAATACAATCATTTTGTAAAAATTATTTCTAGGAAATATGAATTTACCGCCCGATTTATTTCTGTATAACATGGTTCGTCGGCAATACAGGACAATTGGCTTCTACATCATGGCCTGTTTTAGGTTTAAAAAAATTACTGCCGTTTAAAATTGTTAATATGTGGATATTTTTAGAAAAAAACTCATTTTTAAATTTTAAATTCTCACATGGTCCCCTTTCTACTTCTTTGGTATGCAACATAAAATACACAAGAGTGATAGAGTTCAAACAGCGTCTAGTGTTAGTACAATATTTTTAGTTGACGATCTTTTTACAGTTTTGTTTTATATTTATAAATAGGTACAAACATTAGTTAATAATTAATATTTGAATTTGCTTGACGCCTAGTTTGATCCCTGTTTAGGGATTTTTTTTTAACACGATTGGCCACTGGCCACTATCTACTATGTACAACACACGACTGACGTGACGTTTGAAATTATGAGGTTATAAGGAAACCCTTCTGTTGTTATTTTCAGTTGTGTGTAACATGGCGATATATTCGTCTCGTCTCGTACAAAAACTAATATGTTTCCTAATCGTTCTATCCATTAATCCTCTCTCGTCCACTTATGTACCGGGTACGGAATTTGCGCCCGAATTTAATTCATTGAAACAAATATCAGTTATTGACAGTTTTATTCACGATGAGGACTACAAAAAGGTGTTATTCGAAGTGCGCGGTAGGAATATATACAATGGCATGCAAATTAAGATTACGAAAAGTAAATCTGAAAGAAATACTGAGTGTGAGGACTCCATCGCGAATTACAACGTAAGTGAACTATCAACTGACGAGTTTAAAACGGCACAGTATGAGTTAACAGTACCAAATAGTGTAGGGGGTATTATTTACCTTTGTTTACCACGCCAAGTTAAGGAAAGCAGTGAACTTATTCCTCCCAGTTTATTTAAAAGTGGGTTTTTAAAGTGGTATCATCAGGGACCTAATGTAACTCTTAACTTAACCAGCAGCGAAAGTCGGAAGAAACTGTAAGTATTTCAAATTCGTAAAAAAAAATCTATCTGTAACATTGATCATTGATCACTGATCAGACACAAATACCTAAATCAAAGTTATCGGTGCATTTTGTGAAGATTGTAAAAATCTCGATAAAAGTTTAAACAATTCTTATTTGTTAAGTATCTTTCCTGGGCCATTCTCAAGAAAATATGTTGTTCCTCGATTTTGTTTACATTTTTGACTTGAGTAAATAGCAAGCAATATTTAATCATTTCTCTAATCGGTTTTATCGATATTATTATTATTGTTTTTTTATATTTAAAGCAATACTATGAGTGTGTAGGTATGTAAAGTTTGAAAAAGTAGTTTACTTACCAGATAAATTCTTGCACTAAAAAAATAACCTAGTGTAGGTAATAATACATGTGCACAATAGATACTGTGTAATAGAAGATTGCTGAAATGTATAAGTAAAATCAAGTATGTTAAATATATAATTTAACTAAACCCCATCCTGACCTAAGCTATTCTAATATTAGTTAATGTTAATCGATTTTCAAATATGTACCTGAAACTTAAATTTAATTAGAATTCGATGTGCTGTGGAAGGAGTAAGAGATATAATAACAGTAACGAAGTTATTAGAATTGTAAACATAATATGCATTACATTGTGCCAATAACTATAATTTTGTTTTTAATTTATATTTCCACGATTCATTCTTCCTCGTTATCTCTATTATGAAAGTGACCTTGCATAATATCTATAGTGATTTTAAGGCTTTCGTTGCGTAGGGGTTTTGATAGCGGGTCCGCCCCCACAGAGCATAGACCGAGAACAACAAGAAATTGTTCTTAGCCTTGTTTTAGACCATCTCTAATGCAACTGATTTATTAAGTGATAACATTTTGCGTTTACGCTTTAATTAAAATGTATCATCGGCTGTAGGTACTTAACGAAATTATATGCTAAAAGTAATAAAAACAAAATTGTTTTTAACTTCGTTTTTGTCAAATCTTTCGTTGTTTGAGGAATAAAATAGTGTCTAAAGAGTAGAGGTGTCTAATTATCACTGTTTCGCGCTAAATGTAAACATTTTTTACGTAAGTGGGAAATGAGAAGCCATTTTAACAGACGTATATAAGTGAAATAGTAAAATTTAAGGCTTCTCGTCGTTTATTTTTTCTGAACGTTGTTATCAAATGGTTTGTGGTTGTTATTTAATTGAAATGTTGAAAGTATGTGTACCGTTCTCAGTCACGTCATTTGTATTCATTTTTAAATGCAATATGTACAAATAATGTCTGGGTCTTAGACTTGAAAGTACTGGGTTGCCTACATATAATATTAAATTTATTTTTTTAATATTACATATACATATATTTTTTATAGATATGGCTTGTTACATGAAAATTTTCTTTATTTTGATATCAAGACAACATGCCTTTATCACTAGGTTTATCCTTGGTGATTTTTGAGATATGACTCAAATAAAAAACCGGGACCTATTTTGTAATAAAAATAGTACGAAAATTTACTGAAAAATGTGTTCAAAATTAATTAAAATGTTCCATTAAAATAATATATCTTTCCTCGAAATTCAAAGTCTGTAGTTACAATTCGTGACGTGGGAAATCCTGAGACAACATGATGTCATAGACAATCTAACAATAAGAAAACGTTTGGAAATGTGGAATATAAATAAATAGAAAACTGTTTCAAACGAATAATTACTTAGAGGTGTTGAGTTTATAGTTTTATTTAATGGAAACGTAATTATTATTGTTTTGAAATTAAATAAAACATTTTGCGAGCTGTCGATGTTTTCTGAGACAAATGGTGTAATAAAAATCGATAAATCGAATGAACGTTTTGTTTGTCTCGAGCTCACTAGAAAATTATAGAAATATCTAAGATTACGGTCATTGCGATAAAACATATTGTTAAAAAACAATTACAATTTAGGTAGTTGTATTATCAGGCTTTATTCCAAGATTTCAATGAACAGTTTTAACGGTATTTCTGCCATTCAGTAAACAATATTTAGTAACTAGGTCGTAGTTACATGATTGCTTTGAAATCGCTAAGATCTCCCAACTTCTCATTCATTCATACAATCGATTTGGTTGACATTGTTGGACGATAAAAGAAAGTGAAAGTTGTGTAATTTCATTCTTGTGCACCTATGCATATTTTAGTATCGTTTGGAGTTTGTGAATAATTCTATTTTAGTTGAACATAGGTATCTCGCAAACCAAGTTATTTTTATTTGTCTCGGCGAAATCGTTTTCCTTTAAATTGTGCAACCTTATCCCACTTTCCTATCACTGATCATTTGAATCTACAGAAATGTTTGTTTTGGAATAAAAAATGGTCCTTTTTCTTGAAAATAAAGGCTAAAATAGCAGACAGCACGGCAGTGTAGACTGCAAGTTGTTCCGAGTTTCTGTTTATTTTCGGAACTACTAATTCGTTTTTTTTTTGCTTTAAATATGTACATATTTTTAAATAAAAGATCTGTTGCCTTCAATGACAGCCACATTTATTTTTTCGTATCACATGCTAATATTAAATTGCAATTAAACAACTTATAGAAATCAATAATTATTAAATTTTTGTAATGATTAATGTACCAATTAATTCTATTTTTTAAAGTTGCAAAAGTGTGTATACCATTATCTTTAAACAGATAAACAATAAAAGTATGTGTTTATTTCGAAAGATATTGTATGTCCTGTATTTTCTCAGATATCTTAGGGTCGATTTTGCTCATCCCGACTAGTCGCCACTGTATCTCGACTCAAATGATGTCCGACTAATGTAGGCTGTATATAACTGCGTATCAATTTAAAACAATTATTAAACCAAAAGGAATTATTATTATAGAGTTGTAAAAGATATGTAGCGTATTTTTTGTGCTAAACTATGTATTTTATAAAAATACCAGACGGTCTTATTTATTCGATATAACATAATAATTTTTGTAGTTGAATAAAATTAATAGACCAGGGCGGACCTGTCGAAATATCAAACTTCAAAAAAGGGTAAAATAATCAAGTTTTTTGGATAATTTTTTAAAAATATTTTAATTGCTCCGAGGGCATTCTAATGTTGGTAAAAAAAAAACTTTAGAGTATAATAAAACAACACACAACAAAGCTTAATAAATTTTTTATTATTTAGTTTTTGGGAAAATATTTACCTACTTTCAAAATAGCATTATCATTGTTGTCATGACAAAAAGGTTTTAATGTTCATTCAAACAAAAGCTTAATCAGAATGTTACAATTTTTGCCCAAAAAATGCCTGATACTGGAAATTCTTAATCAAAGTACTACTGTTAATGAATGAAATGAATGACATTTGAAGTTAATTCAATTATTTTTGTTCAAATGGACATTCAAAACTTATTGTAATCTTCCCGTATTCCTTGAAACCTTATTAAGAAATTTTGAAATCTTCTTTTAATTTCTAATAATCCTATTGAAATCTTAAATAATCATTGAAATCTACTAAAATAACTGAAATCTCCTGAAATGTTTTATAATCTGTTGAAAGATATTGTAATCTTGATTTTTTATATGAAATTTGTAATCTTTTTTGAATTGATATGGAAATCTGCAGATACATTACAAGAGATTTCAGAAATTTTGGATCTTCGTATGTTTTTTTCCTTAGCGGATTGCCCTTCGGCACACACCAATCACACTATATAGGTTTCTGTGGCATCTTTTGGAAATTGAGGTAGGGGGTGGGGGGGTGGGGGGCGTTGTATAACGACTACATCGACGAAATTCGTTAGCTGATTACACAGATTACAGCGAGGATTACATATAAGATTACATAGATTACAGATAGATTACATAGATTACAGATAAGATTACATATATTACAGATGAGATTACGTAGATTACAGATAAAATTTCATAGATTTCAATTTTAAAGAGATTCTTAGATGATTACAAAGTGTCAAAAGGATAAATATTAAAACGTCTTAATTACACGGAGATTGCAAAGATTTCAGAAACGATTACATAAGATTCCAGGGCAAACGTACGAAGATTACATCAGCGGATCGCCCCTCGGTCTGCTCTGTAATTTGACGGAAACATTGTTGAATCCGTATTTTCATATCGTCTGCCGTTGTTGGAGGCATTCTATATACTTGTTCTGAGACATATCCCCACAAAAAGAAGTCCATCGGCGTCAGATCAGGGGATCTGGCCGGCCACACAATCGGACAACCACGGCCAATCCACCGATTTCTCTTCCAGTTGTTTAAGTAATTTCGTACATTTATGTGAAAATGTGGCGGGGCTCCGTCATGTTGAAACCAGAAAGAATTTCTTAGTGTTAAATTTAAATTTTCTAAAAACAGCAGCAATTCATTTTCTAAAAAATTTAAATAGATTTCACCAGTGAGATGATCCTCGAAAAAATAAGGGCCTATCACGTGAGTACCAATTATTCCACCCCAAAAATTTATAGACCACTTATTTTGGTGATCAATTTAGCGAACCCAGTGAGGGTTTTCTACTGAATAAAAGTGCATATTAGGTATGGCGATTAATCACACCGTTACTTTTAAAAGTTGCTTAATCGGAAAACAGCACTTTATCTATAAAATTGGGATCATCCCTAATCCTGTTTAACATCAAAATAGAAAAGTTTTCCCTGCTGTTAAAATCCCGATCATAAAGTTGCTGATGTAATTCCATATGATAGGCGTGATATTTATGCTGTTTCAAAATTCTCTTGACGCTAGTGCGGTCTATACCTAAGCTTCTCTCAATTTCTCTAGTACTTGTTTGTGGATTTTCTTGTACAGTTAGTAATACTGCTAGTTGATTTTCTTCATTTGTTACTGGTTTGTTAACCAACTACCTATTGTACGTTTTCTGAATGCAACACTTCCTGTCTCTTCAAATCGGTTCAATAATGAGCGAAAAGCTTCAGGCCTTGGTTTTTTTCTCGTTTTCCGGATATCGTGCCGCATACACTCTACTAGCTAATAACGGATTTCTTTGAC